GCGGTTACGGGAACGGTTTCTTTACACCCCGTGTATGCATCGGTTTGCCATTTTACACGAAATTAATTTANACGTAAAATGTACAGTCTTGAGAGAACATTCATTTTACATTGCGTTCGTGACCCCGAAATAAAACTACATATATACCTTACCTGCTTTTTATAATTTTATTTATTGCTTTATTTATTTTATTTATCATTGATTCCCGTTGCGGTTACGGGAACGGTTTCTTTACACCCCGTGTATGCATCGGTTTGCCATTTTACACGAAATTAATTTATTTCATCCTTTTTTCACTTATAGGTTGGAGAAAATCTCCCACTCCAAATCTAGGAACATCAGCTTATTCATTAGATTCCGAAGCGATCGAACCACTCACGACATCAGTTAGAAATTTGATGGAACCGTTCAAAATTGAGAAGGAGGAAAATAGGCGACCATTTTTCAAGAGATTAATGTCTTGTCTGGTGATGCGATCGAAAATTTCGCAAATTAAAATACCGACGAATCCGTCTCCGTTACCAATGGAAACATCTATGGATTCTTATCACATTAGTACGTCGCTCGGTGTAAGTACAAGTTAAAATTTCGCACATAATGTTTTATTTTATTTTATGAAAGGCGATTGCATGCAGCAGAGATGCGAATGTTGCGATGGATGTGTGGAGTAACGAGAATGGATAGAATACGGAATGAATATGTTAGAGGAAATCTGAAAGTGACACCTGTGACAGAGAAGCTGAGAAGTGCGCGTTTGGGATGGTATGGACATGTGATGAGACGAAATGAAAATGAGGTCGGTAAGAAAATATTAACTATGAATGTGGAAGGATATAGAGGAAGAAGTAGACCTAAGAAGAAATGGATGGATTGCGTGAAAGACGATATGGGTAAGAGGGGAGTGAGCGAAGGAATGGTATATGATAGAAGAGTATGGAAGGAGAAAACATGCTGCGCCGACCCTAGGTAACTGGGAGAAGGGCAGGATAATGATGATGAAATGATGAATGTTTTATTTTTCTGTTTGTCCCCTAGCAGCTGGAATTCGTTGTGATATAATAATATCAAGTAAGAATCAGGTAGGTACCGATTTTTATGAATGTTAAATGTACCTAACATGAGCCATTGATTGGCTTCTTCCACGATTCATGAAAAATGAATGTATCATAAATCGCTTGTGATCATATTAATTAAGACTTTATGAATAATGACTTGTGGCAAGGGGTAAATCTGAGAAAATATAATAAAATTATAGCGTTGCATTCTAATATAATCGCGATGTAAACGCCTATAAGTCTCTATTCGTATCTATGGTATTTTATTTTCAGAAATTATAATTATTGCCATGAATGAAGTAATTACGCATATATGTTTTTGTCTTTTTCAGGCAATGGAAATGACTTCGTCCATGTATGACACGTCGATTTCGTTCTACAGCGACCACAACGTGTTCGAAACTAGCAGTAAAACAAAACGAAGCTTCTTTAATTCCGTGAGAGGCTTTCTAACAAATCGTAAGAGTTAAGAAACTTTATAGATACTTACTCTGTTAATCTGATATTTCTGTTTAAAATTCATTAATGGCATTGTATTAATTGTATTCTTAATGTTTTTAGAGTTATTAGGCATTGTGATAATGTTTATTTTCTAATAAAGTTTTTGTCTCATTATTAGTTTATTTTAATTTATCATACCTCTATTTCAGAACACTTGCCGAATAAAGAAGTAAAGGCGATATGCCATTTTTTTTAAAGCATTCGTAATTTTTGCTCAATTCCAAGAGGGCTATTTATTTAGACTTTTCAGTCTGTTTTATTTTCTATTCAAAAAGCGATTACTGCTATTTGCTATATTTTAACCAATTTCATTAGGTGTCGCCTTTAAAAGTATGGATTTCGTTATTTGTTTAAAATTGAAGTTTTTATGTGGACATTTTGATATGGCGTTTTTAACTAATACAGCTTATTTAAATGCAATTTTACGACTAATTGAAATTTACTTACTTCTACGATGTATTTCCAGAGATAGTTATTGCAGCTCTGGGCGAGTACAATGTGGCAACACCTCTGAAAACCCCCCTACTGTTTTTCCTGAGCTATTGCTAAATGCTAATGTCTATGAGCGACGGTAATGACTTACGGAGTCGAAACGTGGACACTCACAGTACGGTTGGTCCGTTAGCTCAAAGTCGCTCAGCGAGCCATGGAAAGAGCCATGCTCGGAGTTTCTCTGAAGGATAAAATCCGGAATGAGATTATTCGACAGAGAACTAAAGTCATCGATATAGCTCAAAGAGTCAGCAAGCTGAAGTGGCAGTGGGCTGGCCATATATGCCGTAGGACTGACGATCGCTGGAACAGACGGGTTCTCGAGTGGAGACCGCGCAGCGGAAGACGTAACGTGGGACGCCCCTTGGCTAGGTGGTGCGATGACCTCCGCACGGTGGCCGGCAAGAAGTGGATGAGGAGAGCCGCAGATCGGGCTCAGTGGTGTGGATTGAGAGAGGCCTATGTCCAGCAGTGGACGACTGTGGGCTGTTAATGATGATGATGATGATAAGCGACGGTGGCCACTTACCATTGGATTGGTCGCATACCTTTTTTTCAGTGTAAAAGTCTCAGTACATTCTAACAATTTGACAGGGACATTATTTTCATGTTATCCCATGTCATCGGGTTTCGTTCAATTCAATCCCGATTTTAATTCATCATTTCTTTCCGCTTTATTAAGTATGCATCAGTATGTAACAATGGTATTGTAAGAAGATGATTCCTATACTGAAAAAAAGAAAGAAAAAGAAATTACATCCGACAACTTTGTTTCATTTTCATATACTTAAGCACTTTCACAGGTGCGAAACGGTTTATAAGCCACGATTATTACACTCCTAAAGAAACACTAAGCTAACAAGGTAAAACTGTTAACATAATTTCGCTCTTCGCGTTCCCACAGGAAAGTCCATTATGCCTTTGAATCTTAAAAGGAATAAAAAAAAAATCAAAAAGCTGGCATAACGTAAACACCACAAGAAATGTGAAACTACAGCATACCTGTGGACCGAATGTTAAACAGTCGACGTCGCCCTAAACACGTCATTACGGATCCTCCCGATCCATTGACGGTGCTTTTAGGTACCACAAGCACCGGTCGAGGTCCTCGTCGAACCCGTCGCTTGCGACGAAGGGCTCGATGAGTGAATTAACCCATAGACACAGCCCACTGAATTTCTCGCCGGATCTTCTCAGTGGGTCGCGTTTCCGATCCGATGGTAGATTCTGCGAAGCACTGCACTTACTAGGACCAGTGTTAGCAAACCTCCCGGCTTGAGCCCCGTGAGCTCACCTACACGTCAAGGAGAAACTGAAATAGCCTCTAAAGGCTATCAGCACAGAAAGGAAAAAAAAGAAACAACAGTGAAAAAATGGGTTACAGAACTATAATGTGGACGAGCTCATGCCCTCATACAACTTTAAGTATTGAAATATACTTAAGTAGCTATCTTAAATGTTATTTTTTTTAGCTGGATTCGCCGTATTATTGCTCTCTGAGACGTCTGCTTTGAATTTTAAAAGAAAAAAAAAACGACCTTAAATTACAATATTTAAACTTCAAACTTATGGAGGGTAGAGGTAAGGAGCACCATCTTGTATAGGGGACAAGTTGAAAAAGTTCGAAAACTCATCGAATTAGCGCTAGTGTAGCAAGGGGAAATAATATGAATGTAGAAGTTTTAAACTGAGTGAAGTGTGCTGGATTGCAGGCTATGTTCCGATTTACACTGCGAGCACTGTTCAGTGCTCTCACTGCTATTCGTTACCTGCGTTAAGGGCTGACAGTATACAGTCGCAGTAACTTAAGAAATTATTGATGATACATGATGATGAATGGAATGGGGGAATGAATGGAATAGAGGAATGATACATGATTTCATAAATCTTCACTTCAGCACTTTTACCCTGCATAACCTCATTTCAATAATACGGTTATTAAGTCATTATAGATTAAATTGCTTGAAAAACAATATTTTCTTTTACTAAATAATATACTTACTTTTAGCGATTAATTCAACTGACAATAACTTGAATATTCTATTTTCAAATATAACTAAATTTAAGCAAGATTTTTTTGCTGAAGCGAAAACACCGCCATGACAACGTCGATGACAGTATACTGTACTGTAAAGGAACGGCTTCGCAGTATACTAATTTGACGTCACACCTTACAGTGCTCGCAGTGCAAATCGGAATATACCAGAAGTTTGGTAGCGTATGGCGCTGTTTTTAAATTCTTTCCTCTTGCTACTATGGCGTCGTCTTAATTTGCTGCCCTTCAGTGGACACTTTTTCATATACTAAGATGGTTCTCCTTACCTATACCCTCCTTTCAAACTATCACAAAACAAACCAAAGAGACTTTTTGGTGGGAACGCGAGGAGTGAAGTTGTGTGATTTGTTTTATTTTGTCTATTTAGTGTTTCTTCAGGTTTGATATGTAATAACGGTGGTTTATTAACTGTGACAGTGCACAAATGTGGGAAAATGAAACAAAGCTGCTGGACGTAACTTCTCGGGATCCTCCAAAAAGTCCATTGAAAAAATCTCAGTAAATGACCACCATTTTACTAAGATTATATTTCATCCCATATCATCTTATTTCATCCCAGTTGATTAATGTCTCAAATTAATCATCTTCATTTCATTTCACTTCATATTATCATTTTTCATAAAAATAACAATATAAATTAAAATAAGACATGACTTAAAGGTCTTAGTTACCAGGTCATAAAACCCTTTAAAAAAAATCTGTATGGCATAGATTATACACAGGAAACGCCACAATCCTAAGAGATAGATATAGATTATACACTGTTGTATGGGCTTAGATCCCTTTGCCTTTCCTAATAAGGAAAAATTGTACCAAAAAAAATCTATGGAGTAACCTATCAACAAAAACAAAACATTCAAACTGAAATAAATACATTGAAACAAAAAGTAATTAAAATGGCACTAATGAGAAGATGTGCTCCGCTTTTTGCTAGGTGTATCAAAATACCACCTATGACTTTACAGAGTACGTAATAAAATCTAAGCTTCAAGAGGTTATGTGTAGAAGATTTTTAGTTTTCATGATTAACGTTTGAATTTTATAGGTCAAAAAATTCATCGATGGGTAGCTCCTACGCTTGTAGAATTAAAGAGGAGAGAAAAAAAGTTAGGCGGAAAGAAAACAAATCCCCGTAACACTTTTCTGGAATGGAATTTGGAGGCTGAACTTTATGCTTTTGGAAAACGTTTGAATGAAGAATTCGACTCGGATTTGTTACTACAAGCGTTTACTGACAGAACTTATATTATAAAGGAAGAAATGAAACAAAAAGAAATGGGAGTAGATATTCCTATGAAGGACAATATGGAGTTGATTGCAGAAGGTTTGACATTAGGCATTAAATTCCACAGAGTTTATACTTTACCACAGCTTAACAACTATCCCACTTGAAATTTTAGTATCAAAATTAGATAGATTGCTGATTTTATCAAGTGAAGATTAACATGACTATGGTCACCTTTTTCACTGTTTATAAGACATTTTTTATTTCTCTTGTGATGTTCCTTCGTCATAGAAATCACCTATCTACACATATTAGGTACAAAATTATTTAAGTTCCAAACATCAATTATAAGCACAATAAAATGTTAATTAGTACTTATTTGATAAAATGTTAAGTAGTTATAATCTGAATTGACAATAGTTTTGTACAGTGCTTTTCCCTGCCACACTTTAAAACAGAATGAAATGAAAGCCAAATCCTTTATGGGAGAAATAGGGAGAATGCTCAAACATGCTCCTTAAACCATACAACACCCGAGACCAAAGTTTGAATATTGCTGAATACAATTTGTTGGATAAATTTTAATGCTATTATGAAACAATTATTGAAGATAGAATGAAAATCTTTTATTATTTTAGGAGAAAAGTTCATAAATGAATATGTGCAGCTCTACCTAGAGACAGTTTTACCGAAATTTCCATTAGAGGGAGTGAATGAAGTGAGAAATTATCTTACAAATGAGGACAGACTGGCTAAAATCTCCTTGAGTCTGGGAACTAAGGACATCATACTAGCTGCAGTAACTATTTTTTAGTTTTTTAATATGTTTATATTATATATAAAACTCTATTGATGCTATAAATAAAAAAATAGAAGCAAATCTTGTAATAATACAAAATAGTATTTAGAGCAGTTTTTGTTAGGAAAGACAACCCTGTACTAAAAACATTACTTAAAAAGAAATTGTTATATAAGATTTAAATATTTTCTTTTTTTAATTAAGCTGTTTTTATGTATATACAATAGTCTGGACATTATAAGAAGCTTTCATGCTCGTGAAAATGTATAATAGACAATTGTTAATAAAAACGAGTGTTCATCCAATGATGATTTGACAATAATAACGGACACTTTGAAGATTTAGATTTATTTTATGTATTTTATTTTTTCACTTGCCATTGACAAAAAAGGACTTCTATTTAAAAAATATATATTTTTAATAATGCCTATAGGCACCAAGAAGCAGTTCATTAATATCTATTAAAAATGAAAATAATGTTATTGACAAATGGAGCAGAGAAGTAAGTTAGTTAGTAAGTTAAAATTATTTTTGTAATCTATAGTACACAGATTTGAAATCCAAATTTTTCGTATCAAATATCATATTGTTCTGTAATGTGTTTTCTGTAAATTTTAATATTTTTTCAGGAATATCCAGTTGATAATTACATTTTAGCAAATACTTTTAAAGCCATTGTAGCTGCTTTGTTAGAATCAACAAGTGAAGAAAGAGCAGCACATTTTGTTAGAGATTTTGTTATCACACAGTTACAAGGTAAAGAAAAACTATTTTTTGTAAGGATTATTCTACAGTTTAAAGAAATTTGGTTAGGATCATTTGCTTGTGCATGTTTTTGCATAGTAAATTGATGGTTACAATTATTTTTTTAAACATTGGTGTGAAGTTCTTGCAAATTACTACTAAGCAAGAAACTGGTTATATTTAATCAACACAGTGCCCTTTACTTTTTAAATGATTTTAAATTGTATATTTAACACCATATGGTCCAACACTGTTTTTATTTCATTGGGACTTACCTTCTTATGCATCAATTTTAACTTCTAATTGCCAATTCATGATCTATTGGGTGCGGTTTGAGGAAGCAGACAGAAACACTTTTTTAATTAACTATTTTTAAATTTTCTCCACAATCTACATGACAAACTAGATGTGTGATGATTTCAATTAAGTAAATTAATAATTGTACAATATATTATGATAGGTAAAGATGTGAATGAGTATTGGAACATTGAAGACCCTTGGACTATGCTTACTGGCTTCATAGAAAAAGATGGAAGTAAAGTAGAACCTCGACTAATTGGAGAAGTTGGAAAAAATACGTTACTTGCCTGTTACAGAATTGGCCTTTATGTGAACAAGAAAATGATATCTGAAGGTAAAATCTTTAGATTTTAAAATAAAAATAGAAATTGATAATTAGAAACTAAAATTGATAGGAAAAGATATATATTTTTTATTGCCTACTAAGGCAGATGATAAGGGCCCATCTGATAGTAAATGTCATGAATGTAATTAATGCTTGGAGTACAGACAAGTCACCATACAAGATTCTTCTCAAACCTCGTTTAAAGAAGGATATATCATAGCACTCAGGAAACACTGCAGAGGTGCTCATTCCAGAGACGGATGGTATTTAGCAAAAATGGAAAACTATTTTGAATATTAATAAAAAGGAGTAGACGCCTCATCTCGAACAATTACTTAATTTAGTATTTACATTACTTAGATTTATTTTTATATTATTTAGACTACAATACTGAAAAATCATTTGAACGTGGATCCCAAGAATCATATAGTTATAAAAGTTCAGAGATAGTATTCAGCACAATAGCTCCATAAAAGTACAGTCAATGCTAATTTTCTTTTATATTTTGTTATGAATTACAGGTTTCGGTGAAAAAATTGAAATAGCAAAAGAAATGGCTGCTAGAGAAGCTCTTAAAAGAATATTTGGTACCGAAGATCACATGAAACCTATTAATTTTAAAATTTCTGGTATACCAAAGGGGTCTTCCCAAGAACGTTATCAGATTGCCAGTAATTAACTATACCTTTGTAGCGTAAAACAAATAAAAATTCAATTAAGTAACATTTATTAAATATTTTTCCTTATAAAATTAATTTCATATTTTTTAAATGAATGTATAAATATAATTCATCACAAACAAAATTGGCACCAGTCAACTTTACAAATAATCACATAGTCAATAGCAAAACATTTACAAAATTTTTTTTTAATCTCCACTTTAGCAATTATCCCTATACAACTAAACGGGTTGCAGAGTATAATACTAAGTGTGGAATTCAATTCCGTGCAGAGTCCATAATCAAACTTCCGTGTTTATCCTTTATTCTGATACGTCCTGATGCATAGCGAGTCTCAGAAGTACCATCGTGATATACCAGCTTAACAGTACCATCTGGAAACTCGCGACGCTGAAAAGTTGAAAAAAAAAAAATGTTTTTTTTATTGAAGCAACAGTGTATTGTTCGATAGTACTGGGGTGTCTTAACTACTTAGAAAAATAGATGCGATCTTAAGCGAGTTACTGTCCTTGTGTGAAGATCAGGGAAGTAAAAATCATCCATAAGTAATTAATTAATAGTCCCTAATGACTATTCCATTTTTCAAACTGGAAAGCATGACTGATTCATGGTAGAAATGAGAGTGCTGGTAATTTTTCCTAAAAGCCATGAATGTCAATACATATTTATGTCAGTGTATTTATAAAAAAAACCTTATTATATATCTATTGGTTGTGGAGAGGCTGAAAACCCCTTCATTGAACTAGATATTTGCCATGTTAAATCTATGGACAGGAAATTGTTAACTAGACACTTAAACATTATATCAGACCAGACCTATAGCTTGTTATTAGTAGAAATCTTGTACCATATACATACATATACATGATAATGAAATTGTAGAGATGCTAACCTTATGATCTGCTGCATGCACTTCAATTTGACCATTACTAAAAATGATGCGTTGTTCCCCACTAGCAGAAATGGTGAGTGCAGCTCCATCAGGGAACCTCCACTCCTCACGAACATGTTCATTCTTAGGGTCGAAATATCGGATACTGCCATTCGGTAAGCGTATTTCAGAGGAACCATCTTTATATCTTTTTTCTACTTGACCACTGAAATATTAATATAAATGATGTCACAAGATTTAATTTGGAAATTATTAGTCCGAGGTAATAGGTGATTAGGAATATAGAGATTTTCATTTGATATTGGTTGATATTTCAGTTAAAAAGGTCGAAACTTATTATTATTGCACTAGATGGGTGAACATGTTCACAATCCCGCAATTGTTATGAAGCTGCAGGAGCGCACATTGTGAATACTGCCACTGATACAAGAAACAAGATGTTACGTCACATAATGATGTCATCCGTTATGTTAACTGCTTAACACTAGATAGGCAATCAGTTGCTTCACCCATCGCCATGCCATAAAATAAAAACCAAATTTTGTTTATTTTTACTTTTTACAATTAGTTCAACTTACTCTGGAAACTCCAGCACCTCCAAACCATCTGGATGGGTCGTGTGATATGTTTTTGTTTCAGCATAATAATATTTGATTATCCCATCACTGTAAAAATTCTCCTTGACATCACCATTATAATAAATAAATTTACTATATTTACCATCAGCAGATATGTGTTTAACATTCCCATTTGGAAACCTTAATTCCCGTGATCCATCTGATCTTTTAATTTCCATTGGATTCAGATTTGTTTTTGTCAAGCTAGATGAACTGGTTTGTTTTGTAGCATCTGCACTCTTTTCATTGAAAATAACTGTTTCTGATCTTAACGATGAATGATTGCTGAGCATAGTGGATATTGGTGATTTTGTTCTAAGATTTTCGTTGATTCCAAAAAAATCTGAACAGCTTTCAGGAGAGTAACCGGAAGTTTGAGATCTGTTGCTCAAAATAGATACTGGTGATTTACTTCTATTTGTACTGTAGTTCTGGTATGTCCTAGTTGTTGAATTTGGAGATTTAGAAGTTCTTATTGAATTTGAAAAAGAATTGGATTTGGTAATGAAATTGTTGTCTCTTTTTTCTTGAATATTAGAATTACTATCAACAGAACTTGTACTAGACCTGAAGCTTTTTGGAGAGTTACATCTAAATGTTTGCAAATAAATCTTTTCTAAATTATTTACACCTTCACTGTTGGATTTTTCATTTGGATTGTCTTGGATGTCAGATACTTGTTCATCTTCCAGTTCCTCTAAATCATTATCATTATCTGAATAACTTATATTGATCTTATCCTTATTCAATGTCCGATTTTGTTCTATTTGACTAAGAGCATCTCTTTGACTGAAATACTTGGCATATGCTGAAGACACATTTAGGTTTGGTACACTCTTAGCTCTTTGTCTTGTATTACTTTTGGCTATTGGAGCAGTTTTATTTCTACTTTGTCTTTCTATCTCAAAATCTTTATACTTTGCATCATCATCTAAATCAGGTTCAGATCTAATATCTTTTGGATTCACATTTTTTAATTTTTTATTTATTTCAGCTAAATATTTCATGTTGGATAAACGCCTTGTAATATCATTGCTATGTTGAATTCTTTTATTTTCCTTTTTCAATTTTTCTATTGTTGTCTCCTTATCTTTTTTTTCTTTTTCAATTATCTTAATTTGATTTCGGAGTCTAGCTATGGTTGATGTTGATTTTGCATCTTTAACTCTTATTTCTTCTTTGAGACTTTCTATTTCCTTTTTCAGATTGATTACTTCATCTTTTTCTTTTTTACTAAGCCTGCCTCTGATTTCTCTTATGTTTCTTTCATACATTTGCTTTTGTTTTGTTAGTTTTTCTTTTTCTTCAGCTAGGTAATATTCAGACAAAATTTTCTCCTCATTAAACTTTTGTTCAAAAGCAGCTTTTTCTTGATAGAACTTTTGTCTCTCTAAATCAATATCTTCTCTAAGTTTTGCTAAATTTGAATTTTCCTTTCTAAATATTTCTATTTCACCTTCTAGTTCCTGCAACCTTTCTTTTAATAGTTCACTTGTGTTTACTAATTTGGCATTCATTTCCACTAAGTTGTTTTTCATTATGTCATGTTCAGTGTCATTATTATGACAACTATCTGCTTTTTCTTTGTCAACCTTTTTTTCCTTTGATTTTAGATTCTGTTTTATTTGTACTGGAGTTGTTTTGCAAGAGGTATTATCGTCAGTGTGCTCAGTAGCTTTACATGAGCAACAAGTTGATACAGAAGAACAATTGTCAGTACAACATTCTGTACAATCATAGCTTCTACATCTATCAACATCAATTTCTGTATATGTACTACTAACCTCTGGTAGACTTAAGCCTGCAGATATATGCCTTAAAGCAGGATTGTTCATTATGAACTTTTGTACGACCAAAGGAGTACTTTCTCCAGAAGAATCAAGATTCTTGGGTTTTAAAAATTTATTAAGAAATGAATTTTCTAATGTAAAACTATCATGAGAGACCTTGTTCTCTAAAAGCTCAAACATATTTTGCTCAGCTGCTTCTCTTCGCTGTCTTATATTGATTAAGCTCTCGTTACAACTAATATCAGATACTGAGCTTTTAGTTGGAGAAGCAAAGTTCTTGTAAAATTCACTTTGCTTAAGTTGCCTCAAAAAGTCATTCTGTTCATTTGTTAGAACAGAGGCCCATGTCTTTCCTTTATTTGCAACAAAGGGGTGTTTTTCTTTTGGTATTTCAATTATTTTGTTAGAGTCTGTTTTGTTAGTATGAATTTCAGAAATATTGGATTCTACAAGACTTTTAATGCTATCTTTCTTCATTTCATGTGCTACATTTTCTGGTTTTAAAGAATTGCTTTGCTTAACTAATATCTTCGGCTTCGGACACAGACTTTGTGGTTTATCTGCCACTTTTTTAATTTCATTCCTTTTATTATTTTGTTTAATTTGCTTTATAGGAGATTGGTAACATTTAGTCTCAAAGCTTTTACGCCTCCAGGGCAGTGAGCGTGTGTTTTGAATTTTTAAATCGTTTTTATTAAGTCCAAACCTAGCCGTGCCTTCTCCTCTTTTCAGAAAAGGCTTTTTTATTATCCCTGGAACAATTTTGAANTCTGCCACTTTTTTAATTTCATTCCTTTTATTATTTTGTTTAATTTGCTTTATAGGAGATTGGTAACATTTAGTCTCAAAGCTTTTACGCCTCCAGGGCAGTGAGCGTGTGTTTTGAATTTTTAAATCGTTTTTATTAAGTCCAAACCTAGCCGTGCCTTCTCCTCTTTTCAGAAAAGGCTTTTTTATTATCCCTGGAACAATTTTGGATTTTGGACTTTTACTATCTGGAACTTCTTTACTGTTTTGAAGTTTTTCCATTAATAAGCCTTCAAAATCTTTTTTTGGAGAAAGTATTGGCATTTCATCCAGTGATATTTGTTTGCTTTGTACAGAGTGTATTTTTACACTGTTATTACTGAAGGGAAGATTTGGTGTCAATTTCACATTATCAACCTTCAGGTGCGAATCCGAACTTTTTGTAGAAGCTGGAGATTTCACAATAAATTCTGATTCTTGAGATAAGTTCAAAACAGTCACTCCCTCAATCATATCATTTTCTTTTACTTTGGGCGCCATATCACCACTGTTGCGCCGTGGTGTTTCTTCATAAGTTACTTCAGAAGAATGCAACAAACTTTGGAAAGTGTTATAGCTAGTACTATTGCTGAAATGGCTCACAATTTCTGTTACGTTTGAGCTTACTGGAGATTCCTGGTACTGCAAACGCTGATTCTTAAGCTTTCCGCGTTGCATTAACTGTAACTGTCGAAGAACTTGTAACCGTTCCAGTATTTGTGTAGGAGACATAGAAACATCGCTGTCCGTATATGAATCTTCCATTTTCACTTCAGTATTTATCCAGTTTTAATTTATTTTATTTTCTAAGCACATTGTAATTTTGGTTCAAAATAACTCTGTTTTATTGACTGTGTAGATACAAAAAATCAAATCAACGAACTTTTATTTTGATGGCTTCTGTCTGTTCGTTTAATTCATCCATTAAACAAGCAAATGAAATTGTGGCATACAGCTCAATTATTTAATACCAAACAGATAAACAGTAAAATATTTTGTGGCAAGCCACGTCTATTGTATAAAATTATAATGGAAAGAAATTAAATGTGGTGAGATAAGACAACATCATTCTTGTTGGATGAGTTCACAGAACACTCTTACTTCTAGCGAAGGATGAGTTGTAATGATCCTTAATATTCGTAGGTACCTATATATTTTATAATATTTATAAGGTAGGTATAATATTCTATAACATTAATTTTATGAATTGAGCAGTTGTTAACTGATTCAAGTATGCTGAGTTAGGAAATTTAATATACTTATATAATGATTAGAGTAGTTAGTGACAGTGTAATATACAAGACCTCACATGTTTACGTAGTCCAAACTAATTTCGTCAATATAACCTAAAATTATTACTATGGTAAAACGCGGAAACATCGATTGCATTTTCTTATCAGCTTTAAATAAAATACTTTTTGTGATTTTGTAGTACTTACTAAACAGTTCTTTCGTCTTTTTTTATTTCTCTATCTTATTCTAATTACTTAAAGCGCCTTTTTTTAAATTTACCCGGGTGTTACTGTAGCTCCACCCTTATTTAGTAGATTTTAACGGACACTTTTTATACACAGAGACGGTTCTCCTTACCTCTACCCTCCATAGTTGAAATGAAGATACTGCCGAAAAACGTCGATGACAGTAATACCGGTCACTCACATTCACACGAATACGCAACCCGCAAGTGTAGGACGACATTTGCAAATGGTTATGCAAAGTTTTCGCTGCATTCGTGGTTTTCCAAGCTGTGTCGGTTTTTTAACAGACATCAAAGCGTGCGAACCACGATCCTTCGCGTAGTCTCCCACACATTCGCGTGGCCAGTTGCGCCCAGGATTGCGAAGGCAACGGACGTTTCGCTATTTTCATAGATCATGACGTCTACTGTGTAGCGTATCTTCATCAAAAGAAATCCCATAAAAACAGCATGGCTGTTAATGATGTCTGGGAAAGAATTCCAAACTCTTTTTCTCTTCAATGTTCTATTGACGAATTAAAAAGGAGGAGAAATTCGTGAGACATTCGTAAACAAGTGTAGGAGGAAGCGCAAACGGGTTCGCAAATTGAGTACCGAACCCATTTGCACAGCCGCTAAGTTTGCGAATGAATGTTTGACTTCACATGCGCGCAAATATTCGTACAATATACGAATATTTGCGCGCATGTGAGTGGCCGGCATAACAGTATACTGTACTGTGTTCCGTTTTAAGCAAAGACTAGTTTAAATAAGTATAAAGCAACGGCTTCGCACTAAGCTAATTTGACGTTACACTTTACAGTACTCGCAGTGCAAATCAAAATGAAAGCTGAACGGTGGAAGCTTATAGCGTTGTTTTTAAAATCTTTTCACTTCCTACTATTGCGCCACCTTAATTGGGTCTCGGATACTTTTTAATACGCTAAGGTGGTACTCCTTATTTCTACCCTCCATATTTTCCTGCCTGAGACCTGCACGAGTCGGTATTATTATCATGTATTTATCGCAAAGCAGTTTTATATTCAGGCAGGTTTGAACAAGGGGGAAACTGTATACAATACAGTGGATATTGCCGCGCAAAGTCTTGCAATGCCATTCTATTACATACATCAGGTGGGCCGTATGCTCGTCTGCCTACAAAGGCAAAAAAGAAAAATTATTAAAGTATGCACCGTTGTTATCTAAAAACCAAGGGGGGGGGGGGGCGAGAATCAATAAATTCTTTGAAGGCGGTTTGGACTACCGCATCAGAGTTGAATTTTTTTCATTGTAAGAAGTTAGCCAAATTCTGAAAAAAATCGTAATCTGTTGGTGCAAGGTCCGGGGAGTACGGTGGATGTCGCAGATGTTCCAATTGTAGCTCATTTAACTTAGTGGTTGTTTGTTGTGCACGTGGTCTTGCGTTATCGTGAAGCAGCTGTGGCCTAGACTGCAATCAGTCTTGGAGTCAGTCTCAAAGATTGGTCAATACCATCTCGATTGCTTAGCAGCTAGTTCTTCCTTCATGGTTTGCAGTTGCTGACCATAGATATCTGCCGTAATTGTTGTGAACGACACCGGCACTAGTCCACCAAACACTCACAAGTAACTTTTTCTGTGTCAATTTTCGTTTAGGGCAGGATTTGACTGGGTCTCCAGGGATCAGCCAATGCGACGAGCACTTCCGATAATCGTACAGTATCCATTTTTCATCACCAGTAATGATTCGATTTAAAATCCCTTCATTATTGTGTCGGTTGAGCAAAGTAACACAGCAATCGATGCGTGTTTGCAAGTTCGACTCACTCAATTCATGAGGTACCCATCGTTCAAGTTTTTTTATTTTCCCGATTTGCTTCAAGTGGATTAATACAGTTTCATCAATTACCATGAAGCTTGCAGCTATCTCTGAAGTGCTTTGTGATGTATTTGCTTCCACAATAGCCTTTAATATTTTATTTTCCATTTGGGCTCCGGCCGTTCACGGGTTGGTTTCGAAGGTAGAAATTTCCAGAACGAAATTGTTAAAACCAAAAACGTACCGTACAAAAGAAATGCGACATCAGCGCCGGCGCCGTACACATCATTAATATGTTGAGCTGTTTTTGCAGCACTCGTGCCACGGTAGAACTCATACTCGTAATATACCGATACTTCATGTTTTCCATTATGCGATAATAAGCGACGCCAAAGAAGAAGAAATGAGGAAAAATCAAATAAATGACTGTTTTCAAAACTCAAATGTACCAGCTAAATGAATTTTATAAATTTGAATTTGGAATTCTTAACCAAAGAGGAGATTTTCAGATCAAAGTGGTCAGTACGAACGCTAATTTCATATGTAAGAACCTAATAATAGTTACAAGGAAATGGAATAAAGTAAAAATTTGCCTTTGAAATTATTTTAAAACCACTTTTTGAATGACGCTTAGCATTGACGGGGCCACTATTAATTTAAGTGTAAGTATTATCTATGGGGGCCAATTCACAGATGTACAATAAATGTCATACAGTCCCCCACTCCCCACTCCTGCATGGCGCTCCGAAACTACACACCATAAATGTCAAATTTTTTGTATGAATTATTCATTCAAAAAACTTCTGAGATCGTGCGGAGTCGTACTGATCAAACACACATTTGCTGCCATGTCCAAAAGAAGTGGTTTTCAAAGGACACCTAAATTTAAACCCGAAATTAAGGTGTTAAATAACCGTTCTAAACGGCCAGTGACTATGTTCCATAGAAAAGAGAATGTTGAAGTGCTCCCTGAACCCATTAAATCTGAAGCTGATAAAAAGCTATACAAGTGAGTATATAAGTTTTAATTTTTTAAATGTGAATAAATATTTTTTCCTGTAAAATGAATTTCCTATTACTCTAAATAGGCTGACAAGCTCACAATCGACTTGGTATTAAGTGGTTACTGAGGTAGATAGGTATCACAATAAGAAGACTACCATTCAGCTTAGAACATAAGGTGAAATCTCAACTGTATTCTATATCAGTTATACCTTCATTCAAATTGCATTGTCAGACTGGATAGTGAAATATTATAAAACTAATTATGAAATAAAAATTTATACATACATATTAATAACGATATCTCCAATGCAGTAAAAATTATTAGCAATAATTTGAATGTCAAATTTTTACAGGACTATCAGGCTAGAGAATGGTTTGACAGCATTATTAATATCTGACCCAAGTCGACCTGCTGTGACAGAAGAATTCAGCTCTAGTGAGGAAGAATCAACTAGTGGTTCAGATGAGAATTCAGACCCAGAAAGTGATGGAGGTAAATCTGTTCAGTCTGCCACCAGTGACCATCACGGAACCACAAGGCGAAATGACTTTGATGAAGAAAAACTAGTAAGTATAAAAAACTGTATATTTTTGGCATTAGAGCAAAAATCAAACCAATGACTGAAGCTGCTTATGATACTAACTTTTAATGATAAATAAAAAAAAAATGTGCAGATTATTTGTAAGGTTGACTTCATATTTATTAACAATCAAATAAAAATGTGACAATATTTTTACACATTATGAATAATATTAGTTCAGAATATAAAACACACAAATTAAATAGAAATAACTATACACGTCATGTAACTTATTACAAAACAAAAAAAAAAACTGTTTAGTGCTTGCAGTCAGTGAATAATGATATTCTTGTCACCTAAATAATCGGTGATGTGTGAATTCTGGCTGCTTGTGTTTATTTTTACATTCCTGTATTAATGTATTTTTAGTCCACACCAATTATTAATTTTTGCTATTCAACTCACCGCTGGAGTTATACATGTCAAAAGATTGTCTGAAGCTTCCGTGCAATAGAATATTTAAGTACACTTAGAATAAAAGTGTAATACATAATAACCAAATTTAGAGAGATGAAGATATTTTGAATTGTAATTGGGAATTAATAGTTTAACTCGTTCCGTCACCTTACTTGTATGTCAAATTGCTTGTATCTCAAAGCAATTTTTCTCATTGAAATTAATTGAAATCCATTCTAGCTCCCAAAAAACTACCTCAGTCGTTTTTGTTTGTTCAGTGTTTTTAAATAAGAAGAATGTATTTACTAGAAGATGAATTTAAATTTTTGCAAAATTTTATGAAAAACAAATACATATTCAATCAAAACATAATAAAAGAAAAAGTAAAGTGAAGACATCATCTTCACCTTCGGACCCATGGTCATAAAAATAAATGCGTAAAAATTGCGATTTATTTTAATCTTTCTATTGGTTTTCTAGAGCGTATGACATTTATTTCATCGAAAGAGTTTTGAGAATATTTTTTCGCGGTGTTCGTGTCGTTACCGTTATCCATGGTGTATGTGACCATTTTCTATTAAGCGAAATTCATACTCTTCATTTTTTTTTAAATAAAATCTTGTAACTTAAGCCCAGAAGGAATTCTTTAAGTGAATTATGGTTCGCCAATCGTCTTGTTGACGCGTTTATTGCATTATGCTTTAGCTTGTTAATACTGAAGGGCAGAAAAGGCGTATTCTGTTTAATGTTGCCCGCGAATTACTGAACGGTCTCCGTGTATGGGCTCCGGTAACTATTTATCACCAAGAGGACCCTAGGCTTGTCTGTCCTTAAAAGCAACTATAGATTTTATTTAACGTCACATTTAATGGGTTAACGTTTTCGATAGCGTAAAAGTTAAGCCAATTTTGCATGCAGTTGGAACAGCGCCCCTAGCGGCAAACGTACGCAAACGATCCCATTCCATACAAATACATATGAGCTAACTTTTACGCTATCGAGAACGTTAAAAAACTCGCACTAAGCACACTGAAGTGCAGAACGGTAGGTAGGTACGGTACCGAAAGTCTTATGTGAAGGCTAAAACTGACGTTCGTTTCAATGCCACCAATATAATAATAAGCAAAGATTGCTAATAACTTGACCTAAAAAACGTTACCATTAAAAAAAAACTACTACACGGCTATTTTTATAGTTTATTGTTTTGATGTTCGTATCCTTGTGGTTTTTTTGCCGTTAGAAATCTGCGAAATATTTTCGACAAAAAACCAGTCTGTTATTGTCAAAATACCCTTTTTTTATCTACAATAACGCAACGTATCGTTTACTCGACGGCAATACAAATTCTAATATTAGCTTCTAAGTGGAATTATGTTTAATGTTTTCGACAGAACAATCGCCGCGGACGCAATGTATTCAGATTAGTCAAGAACACATACGAGAAAATAAGTAGAAAGCAATGCAAGACGTTGTTAAACGAGCTTTCATTCGATACGGTACTGAATCGATAGCGATCAAATCGATATTTCATTCTTTTTTTGGCTTTAAAATCGATTGTTGACGGTTGATGTAATTTTAATGCAATATTTAGTTAAATAGCTTAGTCCAGATTGCTTTTAGTGTTTCTGTTCATAGAGTACGTACTTATTTTGTGTAGGTATGTCAGAAAAGTATCGTGGTATAGTGTGAAATATTTAAAATTAGGGTTCTCGCAGTGATCGAAATTCGATTATATTCACTGACATAAGACACATCAGGACTTAAGATTCCTTTTATCTATGTAATGTTTTTTTTAAACTTATTTTTTGTTTAGTTCATTTTGAAAAAAGAAGCCTGAATATCCTTAAAAAAGCTTCATTGATGGCAGCTCGTCAATAGAAGTTAAACTCCTTTGTCTTTGCTTCTTTATGTATGGATATTTGAAGTCGTATTTACAACTCAATGCAATCAGATTGAAATATTTTTCAAACGTTTATCAAGAAAAATATCTAGTATTTATCATATGATGATTCCTTCATAGATTCGGCCCTAAGTCAAGACTTCCAGCTCGATTTGCCGATTAGGCCTACAACTCCGAAAGAAGTCGTGGCAACAATCTCAAAATTGGAGGACAAAAAGGCCCCCGGGTTTGATTTAATAGACAAAAAAGTCTTGAAGGAACTTCCCAAAAAAGCCATAGTTTTTCTAACCATCTTATTTAATGGCATACTAAGAACTGGACACTTTCCATCACTGTGGAGAGTTTCACAAGTAATTATGATACCTAAAGTAGGGAAGCCAGTGAACGAACTTAGCTCATACAGGCCGATTAGTCTCCTAACCGTAACGTCAAAACTTTTTGAGTCAGTCCTGCTGCACAGATGATTGGAGGAGATTCATCAAAGAGCCATAATCCCGGACCACCAGTTTGGCTTTCGCCAGCAGCATGGCACTGTGGAACAAGTCCATAGAATCTGTTCTGTGATAAGGAAGGCACTAGAGAGAAAGGAGTACTGCTCCTCTGCCTTCCTAGACGTGCAGCAAGCGTTTGATAGAGTATGGCACAAAGGTCTCTTGTATAAAGTAAAAACTCTTCTACCCTGTACATTCTTCCCCATCATAAAATCTTATCTAACAGAAAGAATATTTCAAATAAGAGAAGAAGAGTGTACATCGCCATTTCACTCAATCAAAGCTGGTGTACCGCAGGGGTCTGTCCTGGGTCCAGTCTTGTATACCATTTACACATGTGATTTACCACAAAGCGAACATGTTACATTAGCAACATTCGCAGACGATACCGCTGTACTGGCATGTAGCAATTGCCCAAACGAAGCTTCAGACTTCCTACAGACTGGATTGCAAGAAATTGAAACCTGGCTTTCAAAGTGGAAAATAAAACTAGTGTGACAAAATCCGTTCATGTAACCTTCACCCTCCGTAGAGGAGATTGTCCGCCAGTAACTCTGTGCAATCAACAACTCCCGCAAGAACACTGCGTAAAATACTTGGGAATACACCTTGATAGGAGACTCGTATGGAAACAACACATACAAAAGAAGAGAGAAGAAATCAACCTGAAATACAGAGGACTCTACTGGCTGCTTGGCAGAAATTCCAAGCTGTCAGTAGATAATAAGCTACTCATCTACGAAATGCTCTTGAAACCAATTTGGACATACGGGATTCAACTATGGGGTTCGGCGTGTGACTCTAACATAAATATCATACAGAGGGGTCAAAATTACATCCTGAAACAAATATCGAACTGTCCGTGGTTTATAAAAACATCGGAGATTCATGAACACCTCAAAATCAGGACTGTTAAACAGGAAATCAAGACCTGGAGTATGAAATACAGAAAAAGGCTAGAAATGCATCCTAATAAGCTTGCCACGCAACTAACCACACCTTACCTAATAAATAGGCTTAAAAGGCGACAAATCCTAAGTCTTGATAGACACGGTTGACAGAGTGGAGCAGTCTCGATGGAGATTTTGCTCTGACCGTCTAACAGCTCTCAACACATCTGCTCATAGTCTAGCTGACTGATTGCAAGATAAAGAAAAAAACATTAGGTATAAATCATTGCCAACTTTTCATAAAAAATATTCCTTTAAGAAATCGAAATGATAAAATCGTAAGAAAAATATAAAGAAATAAAAAATTCAAACAAAACAATATACACCAAAACAATCATTACTTGGGATCTTTGATCTCGATACTGCAATACTAAAAAGAACAGGTTTCGCAGTTATTTATGTACATATACATTTTATTTATATACATCTGAAATGTTATTGACCCAAATGTCAAATTAGATGTTTTTATTTAAGTATGGACCGGACGAGTCAACCACGGCTTCATTATGCAATTTCACTTACTTCTTTTCAAATTACAATGTTTAGTATTAATTTTTATATTTCGAGTTCTACATACATACGTACTATAAGCGCTGGATAGAAAGTTAAATATCTGAATAAATTACAAAATCAATTCCTCTTTCTCAAGTTCTTTACAATATATAAAGATGGTTACCGATGAATTTGACCATTTGAATCGGGATAAAAGGTAGTATAGCTATAAAAAAAATTATTTAAAAAAAACCTAAAAAAATTACCTACGCGTTCGACACATGTCGATGGTGTTTATATTATTGAAATTTGTAATTAAGCTCGCTCGTGACTGGCATCGTACGGATACGCGTCTCTCGTTAAATTCTTAGGCTTGACATTCGAAAGTACCCATAATTTACTGGTGGTAGGACCTCTTGTGAGTCCGCACGGGTAGGTACCACCACACCGCCTATTTCTGACGTGAAGCAGTAATGCGTTTCGGCTTGAAAGGTGTGAGACCTTAGAACTTACATCTCAAGGTGTGTGGCGCATTTACGTTGTAAATGTCTATGGGCTCCAGTAACTTAACACACATCTAAGCAATAAAAAAAAAAGTATTTTTTCTTTTCAAATTTTATTAAAACACTACGTAGTGTGAAACATGTTCATCAATGCCCACGGATGCATACCTCTTACCAATGCAACATGGGTTTTGGGTTTATTACTATAATAAAATATATACATATTTCATATCTTAAAGTGACCGTACTCGAAGAAATAATAGTTACAAGCTCGTATATTTCAACGATTGTTGTCCGAGGATAAATGACTTCCTTAATATCCTAGTGCGAATACGAAAACATCTCGTGAAAACAACTTTCACTCCTCAAAACGTCGGTTTCGAAAGTAGATTTATTATACGCTATCTCTGCCAGTATTTCTTATTACTTCCAGAGATTCTTGTTTGCACATATCTACTACATTATATTTTCGATTGATCCGCTTCTAAAAATCTTTATAATAGAGTTTCTGAACACTATTTTCGTGGTTTCTGTTGGACGGTTAAATTTGAGGGGATTGGGTTCTGTAGGTTAATGAGGGGCTATTTAAAAACACACTGCTTCATTATAATTATATTGCAGATAGTTTGAACACTGTTTCACCATTATGAAATTATTATCTTTATATTTTTATAAAACTCTTACATGTTTCTTTGACCGTGTCTAGATGAGAAGTCCTATACTTTTTTCTTACGAGAAGACAATCATCTGTTTTTAAACATCTATACTTCTATACTAATATTATAAAGAGGAAAGATTTGTTTGTTTCGAATAGGCTCCGAAACTACTGGACCGATTTGAAAAATTCTTTTTCCATTAGAAGCCGACATTGTCCCTGATGAACATAGGCTACTTTTTTTAAAAAAAATTTTATTTTATTTTTTTGGTTTCATGTGTGTTTTAATGTTTCCGAAGCGAAGCGAGGGCGGGTCGCTAGTTTAAAATAATTCTAATATTCGAAATCTGTAATCATGTGTCAAGTGTTGCCTTTTTTTTTATTGCTTAGATGGATGGACGAACTCACAGCCCACCTGGTGTTAAGTGGTTACTGGAGCCCATAGACATCTACAACGTAAATGCGCCACCCACCTCGAGATATAAGTTCTAAGGTCTCAGTATAGTTACAACGGCTACCCCACCCTTCGAACCGAAACGCATTACTGCTTCACGGCGGAAATAGGCGGGGCGGTGGTACCTACCCGTGCGGACTCCCAAGAGGTCCTACCACCAGTGAATTTTTGCCTGCCATTACATTTAAACTCCAATAGTTTCTTATCTTTCATCTCGTCAGATGGCCTTGCCATTAACATAAAATACGAATTTTTTATATTTATCATTTATGCCCAAACGAACTCGCGATTCGTCTGATGTGAGCTGTCAACAGAACTCATAGACAATAGTAAACAAATAAGACTTTGAAACTTTCGAATGTAGTGTAAAAAATGATTTAAATCAGGAGATTGATTACGTAATTAAAACTATTTTTTGCGGTTTAAAATTGTGTTTTTTATTTATTATTTATTACACTTCATGCCACAGCTATATTGGCGGACTTAATGCCTGACTTAATGCTTAATGCGGATTTAATTAATCTAGCAATCAACCAAAGGTAGTCCAGAGTAAATAATGATAGGTGCATTAAAATTTAAAATAAAATAAATTATAAATAAATGCATAAAACTACATACCTACCATACATTCATAAGTATATACAACATAAGTTAATATATAAATTCATACATTTTTACATATTATGTAATACATTAATACATTTTTAATTGCCATTAAATTATTTTCGATGTTTACTTTACAGTTTTCGTGGTCACGGACGACCGAGTTTAACGAAATAATATTAAGATACTGTCACGAAACTGATATGATGACCATAAAAACCCGGGATTAAGCCGTAATAGTAGCATAGTCTTAATCATGTCGTCTTCTATCTCTCACTGCTGAGGATCGCGACCACATGTGACATTCCTCCACAGTGTTCGATCATGGGTGGCACGGACCGCATGGTACAGACTACTTAGAAAAAGTCTAAGAGAATACTAGACTGATTACTTGTCACCCAAAAGATTAGCCACAGCAGTAAATCTTGCTACTTTTCCTTTAACATTGCAGATTCGAATCAGGCAGAATTTTTATTTTTTTTATTGCTTAGATGAGTGGAACGAGCGCACAGTGCATCAAGTGGTTACTGGAGCCCATAAGCATCAACAACGTGAATGCCGCCACCCACCTCGAGACGTGAGTTCTAGGGCATCAGTTTTTACATTATAACAGTTGCCGCATTACTAATTCACGGCAAAAATATGTCGAGGGAGATATACGGGCTTGCTCACAAGACGCCTGACCACTAATGCGCATATTAGAATTTTTACGGGTTTGATTTCACAATCTTGTTTTCCTTCACCGTGGAAGTCATTCGTTAATTTTTGATAAGTCATATCTTATTAGAAAATTTATATCTGTCTGCGGGATCCGAACACCGGCACAGTTGCATCGCTTGATGCGAACACACCGGAAGTCTTATCCTTCAGGCCACGACGCTTTTGTACTGAAGGGTTTTTTTTGTCTCATTTTGATGAATGTTCGCAGTTAATTGTTACATACGCGTTGCTTGCTTGCTGTAAGACGAAGTTCGACAATGTATACTTTATAAAATTTACATTGATTATGTTAAATAGAGTTTTAATATCAAACATTATTATAATTAGACAGTAAACACTTGATCCAACAACCAAAAACGTGAAAACAAATAATAATTCGTTAAATAAATCGTATTCCTTAATTTTAGCAGTATTATAAATCGAATAAATTTTTAATACGGCTCGTTTTGCGATATTAAAGGTCTTTTTACCTGTGATGTTGCCATTTTACAAAAATGCCCATTTGAAAAGTAATTTATGTATGGTTGGCAATAAATTCAAAATTCAAATGAATTTTATATCGCTGATCCTACACGACAACGCTCAACCACAGACTGCATAGCGGACTCTAAGCTACAAGAGTTAATGTTGAAAGTTTTGCTTTTACCACCGTATTCCCCAGATCTTATGCTGACCGACTTCTATGTTTTATAACTATACTGTAACTATATTGAGATCTTAGAACTTATATCACAAGGTGGGTGGCGCATTTACGTTGTAGATGTCTATGGTTCCAGTAACCACTTAACACCAGGTGGGCTGTGAGCTCGTCCACCCATCTAAGCAATAAAAAAAAAAGTTTTCCAAAGTTTGGACAACTTCTTGGCAGGAAAAAATTCTATACTCGACAGGCGGCATGATAAATTGTTTGAAAAATTATTTCGCTCCCGCACATCTGCTATCTTCGAGAAGGGCATTGAAAAATTACTTCTACACTGGCAGAGATGTATCGATACTATTATGCAGTTTTTCATTGAGAGAAATAAATAATGTTTATAAAAAAATGACTTTAACTATGTATACTTTGACTTTAATCCTTTTTTCAACTTTACAACTTGTATACAAATTTTCGACTATCAGTTAGGCCTTGAGTCCGTTCACCTCCCTATACGCTTATACGTTGGGATGTAGTACTTTTTACATGCTTCCTTTTTAAACAGGCAGCCTGCGCCCTCTGTGTTGGCGTGGGCAGCTACAGCGACCCAGCAGAAATACAGGGATTGGCGCATTTCGTCGAACATATGGTGTTTATGGGAAGCGAAAAATATCCCAAAGAAAATGAGTTCGATGCCTTCATAAAGGTACAAATAATAATCATATAAAACACAAGGTCGATCCGGTTTATTCAAATTCGTTTGGTGACCGGCACCTTAATTCGTATCAAAATCGTTTTGTTTTTTAATGCAGAAAAAGGGCGGTTCAGATAACGCTTCGACAGATTGCGAAGTGACTACATTCTACTTTGAGATACAAGAGAAGCATTTACCTCATGCCATGGATATGTTCAGCCAGTTCTTCGTGAGCCCGCTAATGATGAAGGAGGCTATGCAAAGGGAGAGAGAAGCTATTGAATCGGGTAAGTCCGAGTTCTTACTTCTAAGTGAATTATAATTATAGAACGGGATTGTTTTCAAATATTTTTTGTGTATATAACAAACCTCTTTGGTCGACTGAAATACTGGCCACTAGTAATAATGTAATGAATGTCATTTTCATGAATCATGATATCATTTCGTTTAACATTTTTAATTTAAAAAAAATTATTTATATATGCTGTATGTCCTCGATTCTAATGATCGTAATTTATATCGTCATTGTTTCATTGTAAACACGAACAATATCATATTATTATTATTGTTTATTGCTAGCTGACATATTATGCTTAATAGTAACGATAATCTATACTTCTATACTAATATTATAAGAGGAAAGATTTGTTTGTTTGTTTGTATTGAATAGGCTCCGAAACTACTGAACCGATTTGAAAAATTCTTTCACTGTTTGGAAGCTACACTATTCGAGTGACATAGGCTATTATAATCTTTTTTGAAAAAAATTAGGGATCTTTATTAAAGCTACAATAATGTAACCCAAGGTGTAAAAAAAAATTACCTAAAATATTATTTACATCGCGTGCCCTGCGAAAACTATTGATGATAGAATAAAATACTACGACTTTGTAGGACACATTATTATTTACAAAAAGTATCGCGATAGTTATGTCACAATAAGTGTTCTTTAATTTAAAAAAAAAAAAACAACGTCAAATATCGTTGAAATTTTTGTTAAAGACCCGAGCAGATCCGGAGCCGGCCGCTATCTAAAATATACAACTAAGCACACAGTCAGTATAAGCGTGTCGTATCAAACCTTTTAAAATTGCAATTTTAGATTGAATTGAATCATTAAACTATGGGAAGTGGTCAGTGTCGCTCATGGACGTCGGCGAAGCATACAATGTTCTGCAATCGTGTCATCATCACAACATGATAACCCGTCCGGGCGTAACTGGAATAGCCCCTCAGGCTACCAGCGAATTGCTAGTTTAAAAAAAGTAAATTACATACATATTGTTACTGGTTGTAGGACCTCTTGTGAGTCCGCACTGGTAGGTACCACCACCCTGCCTATTTCTGCCGTGAAGCAGTAATGCGTTTCGGTTTGAAGGGTGGGGCAGACGTTGTAACTATACTTGAGACCTTAGAACTTATATCTCAAGGTGGGTGGAGCATTTACGTTGTAGATGTCTATGGGCTCCAGTAACCATTTCACACCAGGTAGGCTGTGAGCTCGTCCACCCATCTAAGCAATAAAAAAAAAATTGATTATACTAATGTAAAATATATTACATAATAATATATATTTAAAGGCACCCATTGAATTTAGCTTGGTTTGTTAATTTAAGGTCTAACATTTTCTCGGATGCCGTCATATCGCTTCTCGATTTGAATGCATCGAAAAAAAAAAAACATAAACAAGAAAATTTGTGATTACTAAAATGAAATCACCAATCATGAGCTCCAATTAATAGTATTCGTAATTTAAGTTTTTCTCTAACGCTTTCGTAATAAATAGCCTGGAAATGTTTTAGCGTGTGTCTGAACATGGATCGCATCGTTACGTTTAGTGAGTTAAGTTGTGTTTTTTGCGTGACGATACGACCTTGAAAACGACGATAATTATTGCAAACTGTAATTAAACGAAGATCGAACGCGTTTCACTTACATACAGGGTGTTAGTTAAGATTTTACGAAAATTTAATAATCTACAATGGATTGTGAGTACAATGTAAGAAACAATGGGATGATTAAAATAGTGAATAATACAACTGAATTATATGTGATATATCGTATGCAATGTATAACATGATAACGCACTTTTACTGGTGGTAGGACCTCTTGTGAGTCCGCGCGGGTAGGTACCACCGCCCTGCCTATTTCTGCCGTGAAGCAGTAATGCGTTTCGGTTTGAAGGGTGGGACAGCCGTTGTAACTATACTGAGATCTTAGAACTTATATCTCAAGGTGGGTGGCGCATTTACGTCGTAGATGTCCATGGGCTCCAGTAACCACTTAACATCAGGTGGGCTGTGAGCTCGTCCATCCATCTAAGCAATAAAAAAAAAAATATATTATATGAAAAATGTGTGCGTTTCTTAACTGTACTTACTTAATTTATGAAATGAAACTGAAAAAAAAGACCTAAGCGCTGCCTATCGTTTTCATTAAAAAGATGGCATGCAAAGACACCGCGAATCACTCGCGTCATTAGTTATTGATCATGGTAAAGAAAAGCCAAGCCAAGAGTCAACGCCGCGCCGCTACCGGCCTTCGATATCCGAAACATTTTCTTAACACCCTGTATATGTTACAAAGCGTGATATAAATTGTCTAATCTTCATGTTTCATATTCGTTAGGTTTATGTGGCATACTAACACAAACATTGGTTTAACCTGTTTTTTTTTTGTGTTAGACATATTCATGTCGTACGTGAAGTCACATTTGAGACTTAGAACAAATGTCTCAAGTTGGTTAGTGGGCATTTACGTTGTTGATGTCTACGGGCTCCAGTTTAACACCAGATGGGGCGTGAGCTCGTTCACCGATATTATGAACAATAAAACAGCGAGTTTTTTTTAGATTCTGTGTCACGCTTAGTTTTCACGATAATAATTTACAAAAATACATGGATGGTGCATGACGGTGATATATCGGTGATTTAAAAATATGCCAATAAAATAGAAAGTTATTTAGAAAACTGATTGGCTACTGAGAGCGTGTAATTTGGAATAAAGGTAGTAGTCATCTACAAATAAGCCGGCAATGTTTATCTATACTTCATATATAAATCTACAGTGGTTTTTACGGATGTTCCGTTATAACTACTGAACCATGCATCCGATTGACTTGAAACTTGGTATCCATGTAGAAAATACATGTACATCCATTAAGGATAGGCTAATATTTATATGATTGTTGGACTCCCTACACCAGTTGCGGTGGCGTTAATGATGAGAATTTTTCTGGGGGTGAGAAATAATAATGTTAATTTTAAATGCCCAGCGAAGCGGACGGGTACAGCTAGTCGTGCATAAAACTAACGTAAAATGATAATAGAAGGTTGAGGAACGAATTCATAGGTCACTTGGTTTTTGTATGTTCGCAATTTTGCGTAAATTAACCCATGTTTATAACCACACTTGAAATGATATTATAAATTCAACCATACGAATACAAATAAAAATCGATTACGCACACAAATGTTTCCAAGTTGTGTCATCGATACGAAATAATAAACATCATCATGACATCTATATATTAATACGTGAAGCAAAAACTTTGTATCCCTTTTTACGAAAATTGCGCGGACGGAGGAGTATGAAATTTTGCACACTTATAGAGAATATAGAGAAGAAGTGCACAATGCTAATATTTTTTCAAAATAATGCATAAAAGATACATTAAATCACTAAAGAAAACATTACACACACTACATACCATGTATTTAACGCACACACGCATGTATACTATTTATTGTCAAACTTTTGTTCTTGGCGTCTGTTGTCAAATTGAGAATAGATTAAATATTGTTGTTAATATTTTTTACAGTGTAGTCTTGGCGAAATTTGTGATTATAGAAGTATAAAATACAATCATAATAGTGTACAAACTTACAATTCCAATTAATTATAGTCGAATTTCGACTACTGCGGGACCTCTAGTATTCATTAAATCATGTTTAAATTTCATTTTTAATAATTTATCCTTACCTCTGTTTATTTTGAATTCTAAAGTAGGATAAAACATTTTTATTATTTCACATATTATGCAGGGTAGAGGAAGAGAACGTACGTAAAAGTGGTGATATTTAATTTGTATTTGATTTTATTGCCCGTGCAGGCAGAAAAGCATACGGCCCACCTGATGGTGAGTGGCTACCGTCGCCCATGGACTTCTGCAATGTCAGGGGCAGAGCCAAGCCGCTGCCTGCCGCTAAGTACTCTCCACAAGCCTCGTTTAATTTCAGCACATTTCATTCCATACCAGTTGTTAGAGGTTTTAAGTTGGTAGGACCTCTTGTGAGTCCGCACGGGTAGGTACTGTTACGGGGTGGGTCCAGGAGCTCTTTTTAAAAAAAGGAAACTGTGACTGGCGCTGAATTTATTTTATAAAAGAAATAGTACAAAACGATGTGTGTTTCCGCTACTCAAGCCAAATCTGTTCTGCCACGCTTTAGTAATAAATCGTCTTTATATAAAGACGATGCATTCAAGAATGCCTTAGTCGGCATTATTATTTATATTTCGTTATTGTTGAGGGGCGTATGTAACAGTACCACCACCTTGCCGTGAAGCAGTAATGCGTTTCGGTTTGAAGGGTGGAGCAGCCGTTGTAACTATACTTGAGACCTTAGAACTTATATCTCAAGGTGGGTGGCGCATTTACGTTGTAGATGTCTATGGGCTCCAGTAACACCAGGTGGGCTGTGAGCTCGTCCACCCATCTAAGCAATAAAAAAAAAAAAAGATGTCTATGGGCTCCAGTAACCATTTAATACCAAGTGGGCTGTGAGCTCGTCCACGCATCTAAGCAATAAAAAATAATAGTAATAATTTGCTGCTCTACTCTCAATAATATACTATGAAGGTTATAACCTCAATATTTTTACATGAGTACATATTATAAACGAAGTAGATGTCGAAAATTATAATAAAAAACCATTATTAAACATAACATTCTTCATAATACTGTTAGTTAAAAAAAAATGGTTACATAGTATTTTTTCATTTATTCGAACAAAATGATTGTATGTTGTGATGGCTAGTTTACAAGAATTAAATAATAGAAAAGGATGCGTCTTCGTACGTCTTCAACAATAATTGTGTATCATTTAAACTCGTAATAACCGCGTCCCATCAATGATTACGCTATACCTATACCCGCCATATCAAATGCGCGCGTTCACGTTTCGTTATTGAAGGATGTAAAAAAGACCTGTTTAAATNACAAAATGATTGTATGTTGTGATGGCTAGTTTACAAGAATTAAATAATAGAAAAGGATGCGTCTTCGTACGTCTTCAACAATAATTGTGTATCATTTAAACTCGTAATAACCGCGTCCCATCAATGATTACGCTATACCTATACCCGCCATATCAAATGCGCGCGTTCACGTTTCGTTATTGAAGGATGTAAAAAAGACCTGTTTAAATTTGAAGGTAGTCTTTTTATTGAATGAAATTAGTTATTCGATGCATATTAATAACCATATTATTACGAAAACAAACATGGTAGCCACCAATTAATTTTAAAACTTATTTCTTTCTCACAAAATTCAATGTAAAGCGGTTTGGAAATACGAATGTTGAAAAATGTATTTTATATATCGAAATTTTGACTCGTCCATTTTTGCATTTTGGGCCACATCACTTCTGATGCGCAGCACACATAGTACTACGCATCAGAAGCGTCGCAGTTACCCGTGCGGTAGTCTGCGAGAAATGATCGAATATTCGCCGACAGGTGCGGCCAGGTTAAACGAACAAGTGGGCCGAAGTAATTGTAACTGCTGTAACACTTTTATAGAATGCTGTGAAAGAATTACTGTGACTAGTGGTCTCTCTGTAGTCGAAATTCGACTATAATTAATTGAAATTATAAGTTTGAACATTATTATGGTTCTATTGTCAAAGACTATTATACTTCTATACCGTACTCACAGATTTCGCCAAGACTACACACTATAGACAAATGATGTCAAAGACAAACAATATTAATCTATTCTCAATTTGACCACAGAGTTTCAACAATGACAAAAGTTTGACAATAAACACTGAGTATATGTCAACACATATACACACGTGTTGACTCAAATACATGGTAGTGTGTGTAATGTTTTCTTTATTTGTTTAATAAATTTTTTAGGCATAATAAAAAAAAAAAAAAACATTCTGCACTCCTTCTCTCTCTCTTCTCTATAAGTGTGGAAAATTTCATACTCCTTCATCCTCGCAATTTTCGTAAAAAGGGATACAAAGTTTTTGCTTCACGTATTAATATATAGATATTAAAAAGAAGGATTCCGTTTGCAAATGAAAGAAAGCTATTTGAATTGCTGGTTAAACAGACTCGTGTTTGGACACATTCACAACGACTCGTGTTTGGGTACATTCGTTATAATGGATTTATAAATATTTATTTATATTAAATCCACGAGTACCTGGAAATCCCAACTATATTGGACGAAGTTAAGCGATAAGAACCGCCTGACAGCTCATCTTTTTTTTTCCTACGTAAGCTGATAGCCTTGAGAGGCGATATCAGCGTCGCCTTAACTAGTAGGTGAGCTCACGAGGCTCAAACCTGATGACGTTGCTAACACGAACCCTAGCAAGAGCCGTGCTTCGCAGAATCTACCACCGGATCGGAAACGCGATCCACTGAGAAGATCCGGCGAGAAACTCAGTGGGCTGTGTCTGAGGGTTAATTTACTCGTCGAGCCCTTCGTCGCAAGCAACGGGTTCGACGAGAACGATGACCGGTCCTTGAAGTACCTAAAAGCACCGTTAGTGGATCGGGAGGATCCGAAATGACGCCAGCTCAGTAAAACCCGTTGTCCGACATATTCTTGTAGCCAAATCCGATTAGAAGACTCAAGAGACCCGATGTGCTGTCTTACTAAAGGGAGAGGGAACATTGGCTCTGCCTCTCCAAATCCTAATCTGTCGCAACTCACCTGATTTATAGCCTTGGCGACTAATCGCAGGTACCAACGACAAAATAAAAAAGTAAAAATTTAGAAACAGATTTCCGTTTTGACTCTACCTGCCTTATTGGAAAGCTAGTTTGTTAAATGGTACATTAAACAACTGAGAGTTTCACCGCAGACTTCTGAGATCCAATCGATTTGCGGACTATCGATATAAACTGGTTCTACATATATTTAAAATAAACTTTCCCGCGGCTAGCCGTAGCCAGATATTAACGAATTCGCATAGTTACTTTTCCAACATTTGGGTGCTATGTGCTCAACCAAATTCCAGTATGTGAACTATTGTTTGTTTAGCACTTAGCGATCGGGAGCTTTCGAGAATTGTCTGCATATTGGTACGGAATGTGTGGCCAGCCCATTGATTAATTTATTTAACAATTTATATTGAACTCAAATGACGCAACAATTTTTAATACGCTTTTATTAGTTTGCTATGTACATATGTATGTATCGGAATCATTTAATTTCTTTCTCACTTACTTCAAACCGTCTAATTAAATTGAAAATTGGGATTGCATTAAGGAACGATGACAATACAGTAATTTTATAACTTCGCTCTAATATCTTGACCAGTATCAACAGTATATAAAAAATATGAAATAGTTTGTTAGTTCGGTTTGTTCTCTATGCGTTTTTAATTGTCCTTGTAGTCATACTATAGCATACGGCCCAGGTAATGGTGAGTGATTACCGTCGCCCATGGACAACAGCAATTCCAGGGGCAGACCCAAAAGCCTCGTTTAGTTTTTTAAACTATACATTTTATATTTTTTGTTTAAAGAATTCGCAATAGCGTCGCCGTCTGACTCGAATCGGAAAGATCAGTTGCTGTCAAGCCTATTTCCGGAAGGACATCCGGCACGCACTTTCACTTGGGGTAACCTGCGTAGTTTGAAAGATGACATCAACGACGAGGAGAAACTACACAAAGCAGCTCATGAATTCAGGAAACGACATTATAGTGCCAACAGGATGACGGTCGCTGTTCAGGTATGAGAGTCTATGATAGTTTTGCTGACGTCAAAAGCAGACAAGTCTGCAACCTACTTAATAATAAACACGAAACGAAGCGAAAAATTCGAACATTTTTAAAGTTAACACCAGTCACAACGCGGAACATTTAATAATGCATATTGCATAATTTACGGTAGGCAGCGACTTGGCTCTGCTCCTGACATTGCTGTTATCTATGAGCGACGGTAACCACTCACCATCATGTTGGCCGTTTGCTCGTCTGCCTACAAGGGCAATAACAAAAAATATATTACAATTATTATTAATCATTTAAAATGAAATATGCTTACAAACAACAAATCTTGGTGTATTGAAAATTAGAATTTCGAAAAAAAAAAAACTTTATTGTTGATGTCAAGATCCGATCGCTACCTTCCTATCTACCTTGCCTTCCTATCTATTTCTTCCGTGAAGCAAATTTATGTACATATTGTTTAGTAGATATCTTTTGTTAACTTGTTCATTTTGGCCTTTCTTGCACATAATCATAGTTAAAAATTTTGGTAATATTGATAATTATGTGCAGTTTAAATGTATGTTTGCTCCCTTATTGCGATTTCGTTTATTTTACGCTACAACTAACCCATCCTTTTAGCCCGTCAACAAATTGTATATAGAGCAACGCCAACTGGTCTTTCTAGAAAGAATTGTATCGTTGTATTTTAGGCTCGCATGGACTTAGCCTCACTCGAACAATACGTCATAAATACGTTTGGTCGTGTCCCGACGAACAAACTTCCGGCAGACGACTTCAGTCCCTATTCGTTCCGTCCAGAAACCGTCACGCCAGAATTCCGAAGTATTTACTACGTCAAACCCATCGGAGACACAACGGAGGTAGGTGGAAATAAACAATAACAAAAATATGGAGGTAGCTGTAAATAGAATGTTATCGTAATGGTCTTAGATAAACTATGTAGTATTATGCTAATTATATACACATATTAACGAAATAGAAATCAAACGTTTTGAATCATACGTTAAAATAAAATATATAAATATAAAAAAAAAAAAACATAAATTTATAAAAAAATTAATTAAATTTTGTGATAACTCATTCTTATTTAGCTATCACGGTAAGCAGCGGCTTGGCTCTGCCTCTGGCATTGCTGACGTCCATGGGCGACCGTAACCGATCACCATCAGGTGGGCCGTATGCTCGTCTGCCTATAAGAGCAATAAAAAAACTTTTTAAAAAATAACATTGAGAAAATTGGAGCATTGAAATTTTTTAATACTTATATTGTTTGAGGCAGTAATTTATTAAGGTTAACTTGTGCTCACAATAAGTCTGTATTGCCTAGTGTGAGTTCCGTGGACGTTCAATATGTAATTTCGTTTCGATAATAAATGATTTGGTTAAAACATATATTAAAGTCGACGAAGCATGTTGCTGATAACTCTATTTCTGTAATCTGACCAAGCGTGTTGCGGATAATAACATGTACTTTTAGGTTAGGAATATTGTTCTTTTTTTATAATAAATTAATTGAAATTAACCATATAAATGTTTTTAAAAGGGTGGTAAAATCGAAACAGCTACTGAAGCTGTACACAAAGGGAGGTCATTAAAGTCACGTGTATAACTGAATAAATAGCGCAATACGTTAAATTTTTTTTGTTTAATTTACAGCTTCACTTAACTTGGTGCATGCGCTCCTTGATATCCGAATACGAATCTAAACCACATCAGTACATTTCGTACTTGCTTGGACACGAAGGAAAAGGCAGTCTTTTATCTTACCTTAAGAAGAAGTAAGTTCTCCGTTCGTCATTCTAATTTCAGATGCGGTCTTTGAATTTAACACCATTGTACTATGTATTAATAAAATATCGCCCGAAGCTAGACAAAAGACTCCCTCTAATTCTGTCTGTCTCTCTCTTTCTCTATCAGTTTTGATCTCTATCAGTCTTCCTTATGAAATGTTTGATTTCGGAATTCATTAGTAGTCTGTACAGTTTTAAAGTAAATGTCTTTGCATGTTAGTCACATTTATTGTGATAGAGTACGTATTGAGATAGTGTTACTAGAAAATAAAAATAATTTAAAATTTTCGGGAAATTTAGTCTATAGATAAATTTTGACATGTGCACGTTTTTTTAACAAATAAAACTAAACGTTTTTATTTTCACAAGACGAAACCATTTTAGTGCTGGTTTTCGCAATCTGAAAATACATTCTTGTTCAGTTGTAACTATCAAAATTTTCCTTAATAAACAATATTTTTTCATCTATTCATATATATATCATAATTCTGCCGTTTTCGCGAGTTGTCTAGAGTATTCGAAAGACAATAATAATGACAATAGTAATAAAAGCGAGATTAAAAAGTAAAAGTTGTTTTAATTATGTTCGCCGCTTGTAGACATAGTTAAAACAACTTTTACTTTTTAATCTCGCGTTTATTATAATATTATTGTTATTATTATTATGCTTCGAATACTCTACAGCTTTCGTGGTCACGGACGACTGAGGTGTTTTATTCGTCGACATTTGAATATAGTGTTAACTACCGTCTTATTATCTATAAATTTGCTTTCGGTAAAAAATATTTGGATTGTAGATCTATATCTATAGTTGCACTCGTGATGTCATTGTCATTTAGAATTGTTACTATTAAAAGAAAATATTAGTAAAAAAAAAACTATTTTTACGTAAAAATATATTGTTTATTGCAGGGTTTGGGCGTTAGGTATATACACGGGGAACTCTGAGAGCGGTATCGATTACACGTCTATGTACAGCTTGTTCTCTACACAAGTAGTTCTTACCAAGGACGGGCTCGACCACGTCGATGAGGTGAATACTTCTTAATTACTATTTCTTAATTAATTACTTTTAATGCTTTAGTTGGGTCTACCAGGAATTGTGACGTCACCGTAGTACATAGACACTGTGACCTAAACGCAGGTTTCAGTGTGCTTAATGCGAGTTATTTAACTTCTCGATCGCGTAAGAGTTAAATCGAATTAGTATGGAGTTGGAACAGCGCCACTAGCGGCAAACGAGGGGAAGCTCTTCCGACTCCATACAAATTTCAGTTAACTAACAAAAACAACTCGCAGTAAGAACACAGGACAAGAGATCAGAGTAGGAATTGTAAGTGGAGTACGCGAATTACTTCCACGATGAAGGCATAGCGTAGTGTAATTAAATTCAAATTCGCAAGAGATACAATTTGCTTTTTTTTTCCTACCTAAGCTGATGGTCTAGACAGACCAAATCAGCGTAACCTTAACTAGTAGGTGAGCTCACGGGGCTCAAACCTGACAATGTTGCTACCACGAGCACGCGCAACACCCTAGCAAGAGCCGCGCTTCGCAGAATCTACCACCGGATCGGAATCGCGATCCACTGAGATGTGGTTTAATTTACTCGCCGAGCCCTTCATCGCAAGCGACAGGTTCGACGAGAACGATGGCAGGGCAATTTGCGAAATTTTTTTGCAACTTTAACCATAAAAAGCAATTCATGATTTCTCAAATAAATTAATACACGTCATTACTTCGCTGCTGATCTTTCGATTTCCTGCGCCATTACTAGTACGTGTAATTCGAAATGTAACGGGTATTTTTTTCAGGTACTCGAAGCTATATTCTCGTACATAAACATGTTAAAGAAAATCGGACCTTCGGAAAGGATTTACAACGAGATCAAGGTAATTTTTCTTTAACGCCTCAAGCGCGAACCGTCGATATTTCGACTTTCTATTAATGCGGATAAAGTGCGGAGCATCGGAATATAGACTATTACGATAACCATTTAAAATTATTTTGTTTGTGAATTTGGCATTGATTTTTGTATTTATTATTTATGTTAAAGTTTTTGTAAGGTATTTTTTAAATCCTTTAGCAATTTTTGCAAATTTTAAATCCTTTAGCAATTTTTGCAAAATATGTGAAAATAAGCTCAGCACTAAAAGGGTTAAACATATATCGATCTTGTTTAGTTGCCGGTCCTTCCTTCCTATTAACAAGCTTCCTATTTATAAAATACACAAAAAAGGACCTATACTTGGCATATTGGTGTGGCCTTATGCGAAACTATGCAGTCATAGCGTCCAACGTGTTAATATTGTAAAAATCCCTCTTTTTTTTCCTACCTATTCGCTGGTAGCCTAAGAGGCTATTCTAGCTACGCCCGGACGGGTAGGTGAGCTCACGGGCTCAACCTGAGAGAATTTGTTAACACTAGCCCTAGCAAGAGCAGTGCAGAATCTACTAGAAGATCGGAATGGCGACCCACTGACAAGTAACTATACTGAGACCTTAGAACTTATATCTCAAAGTGGATGGCGCATTTACGTTGTAGATGTCTATGGGCTCCAGTAACCACTTAACACAAGTTGGACTGTGAGCTCGTCCAACCATCTATGCTATAAAAATAAAAAATAAAGTTCCGGCGAGTAACTCAGTGGGGTAAATTTTGATTGTTATGTTGTTTTAGACTATAGAAGAGACCAGTTTTCGCTTCGAAGAGGAGTCCCAGCCAGCGGACTATGTGGAAACTCTGGCCGAGAACATGCAGTTCTTCCCGCCCGAACACTACATAACCGGCGACAGACTCTACTACAAATACGATCCGAAGGTAAAGTGGTAGTACATCAAGCTTAGTATTTTTATTACTAACTATTACTCTAGCCGGAAGATCTTACATAATAACCGATAACCGAACCGGAAGATCTTACATGATAACCGATAACCGTGTGGGTAATGAAGCTACGTCCCTCCTGTGACTAGTACTGATTTAAAAAAGGACCATTCATTAAAACTCGCAACGACATCTAGCGTGCGTTTTTCGGTACTATAAAATTCAAGGTGCAATTTATTAATATTAATAATGTTTTCAACTATTCAGGGCTTCATGTGGTTACCACTTCCACTTGCTTCAACCGTGTGCTGACATTTCTACAAGTTTTTATAATTTATCTCCTTAAGGGCAGCAGATTGGATGTTATATTATTGCAAAACAATAGACTAAAAAAAAAGTCTCACATATGCGTGTCGATGGTTACCGTGTCTATGTAATTTCACATCTAATGGACCATAAACTAGGGCATTGTTTGTCAAAAAAAATTTTTAAGTTTTTTTTTTAAACATAAATTTGGGCACCGGGGACTTGGTCATTCTTTATTTAATTAAGTTTTTTTTGTTGTTCAATTTTTTTATATATTACAATTTGGCATTCGCAACAGGGTATCACGGAACTATTGGATTGCATGACAGCCGACAGAGTCAACATCATGATATTGTCAAACAAACACTCTAAACCCATAGCGTACGATTCCAAAGAGAAATGGTTCGGCACTGAATATAGGAGACAAGGTAACATAGAACAAATTCGTTGTATAAATGAGTAACTGATGGCTCAGTTGAGATAGTTTAAATTATACGTTATTCGCTTTAATCTTATGACATACTTTTGCTTGGCAAGAATTCGTCTTAACCCTTTTAGTGCTGGGCTTATTTTCACATATTTTGCAGAAATTGCTAAAGGATTTTTGAAAAAAAGTACTTTATAAATAACTTTAATAGCAAAATATCTTAAAGTCGATACCTAATACCTATAATCAAATTGTGCAATAGTCCAGATTCTGACGTTCTGTACCTTACACGCATTAAATAAAGTCGATCTATCGATGGTTCGCGCTCTAAGCTCTGTTCATAACCTCGCAATTCAGGTCAAGTTAAAAGCCTAATGATTTTCTCATTCTTTTTTGTTAGTTCCTACAGTTGATTTACAAGGAAAATAAATGCTATATTATTTTTTTTGCAGAAATCCCAGAGAAATGGCTCGAACGTTGGTTGAACGCCGAACCGAGCCCGCAGTTTTACCTTCCGGAGAAGAACATCTACATAACGACGAACTTTGACTTGATAGCTCCAGCTCAGCCATACCTCGAGGCGGCCAATGAACTCGGCGTCGACTTAAAGAACAGTTCAGTCAAAGACATACACAAGAAGACGGCAGCCGTCGGCNTTGCAGAAATCCCAGAGAAATGGCTCGAACGTTGGTTGAACGCCGAACCGAGCCCGCAGTTTTACCTTCCGGAGAAGAACATCTACATAACGACGAACTTTGACTTGATAGCTCCAGCTCAGCCATACCTCGAGGCGGCCAATGAACTCGGCGTCGACTTAAAGAACAGTTCAGTCAAAGACATACACAAGAAGACGGCAGCCGTCGGCGGTAAGGAGCGGGTGTTGAAACGCGCCGACTTGATTGCCACTGTTAATAATTTCAGGTGAATATTCGTTACGTTAATAGTTGGATAGAATTAGCGGTAGGCAGCGGCTTGGCTCTACCCCTGGCATTGCTGAAGTCCATGGGCGACGGTAACCACTCACCATCAGGTGGGCCGTATGCTCGTCTAAAATTATTTTCGAAATACTTTCTCCGATGTATTCTACTTGGAGAATACCGAAGGATTGCCGCTTGGTTCGAAGGGCTCGACGAGTAAATTAACCCACAGACACAGCCCACTGAGTTTTTCGACGGATCTTCTCAGTGGGTCGCCTATCCGATCCGATGATAGATACTGCGAAGCACTGCTCTTGCTAGAGCCAGTGTTAGCAACATCTCCCGGTTTGAGCCCCGTGAACTCGTCTACTCGTCCGGTTACGCTGACATAGCTTCTGAAGGCTATCAGCTTAGGAAGGAAAAAGAAACTATTTTTCATTGGACTGTTCTTAGTAGACCGATATTAGTTTAGTAGTTGGTTATCATTGCACTTGTAATATAAATGAGCTCACGGTATCTGTGAACACTGGCAATACTCCCCCCTAAGAGTCAAGTTATATCCCTAACTTGCCTAAGCGTGGCGGTTCGCCTCTCACACCGCCGCCCTTAAGGTAGGGGAAAAACCACCTCGATCAGAAGATAATAGTGATGTAATATTTTATTTTCAGACTGGACCAGCCGAACCTGCTACGCAAGAACCGTCACATGGAGCTGTGGTACAAGCCCGACTTCAAGTTCCGCTTCCCGACCGCTCTGCTGTACTTCTACTTCATAACGCCGCTCAGTCTGAAGTCGCCGCGGGAGTGAGTAGTCCACAACAATAGCCACTTACGAGGAATATTGTTGTTGATTAATTAAAAAAATTGTATTGAGAATATTATCAAAGGTTAAAGTTCTGCCATGAAGCAGTAATGTTCGTTTCGGTTTGAAGGAGGACATTTACGTCGTAGATGTCTATGGGCTCCAGTAACCACTTAACACGGGGTGGGCTGTTAGCTCGTCCAACCATCTAAGCAATAAATAAATAAAATATAAAAATTGCGTGTCTCGTGTCTTCGTCTTGTTTTGTTGAATTTTAATGGAATGTTTTGAAAAACGCTATAATTAAACTTGAACGGTAATTTAGAATACTTATTATGTCACATGAAGTTAGAAAGTAAAAATATTTAGAATATTTTTCATTTTAGTTATTCAATCAAATTATTTGCTGACGACGATTGAGGATGTGAATTTGTTTTTTACTTCTATTGAGATTCTTACCAAGTTTTTTTAAATATATTATTTCTATTCCGTTAATTAAACAGAGTATTAATTTGTGTGGCAATGTTTAGACGAATGATTTAATTTTTTTAGAAATATTATGAGCATGTCAGTTTTGTATTACAGGTCGTGCCTACTCGACTTGTGGACTGACGTACTCCAGCAGGGACTCAAGGTAAAGGAAATTTTAAAATTTTAACTTTTTAAATTATTGGTTGTAAATGAAACCTATTGCGTAAAACGAATGTGTCTTTTGATACAGGCTAAAATCAATATTGATTCTCGTTTGATTGATTATTATCATTCTACAAAACACTTTGACAGTCGTTTTATTGATATTTTTATTGGTACATTAAGTATTACAGATATCTATTTAAAAAAATTCAAAGCCATTTCCAAGTGTGACGATGTCCAAGTTAGGATAAGACATTAAAAATATAATTAAATCACTATTTCTGTATTAGTATTCAAAACTTCAGAAATAATGTAATGACAATAAAAAACCTATGGAGTCTATGACTCGCGAAAACCAAAGATAATTCTAAATGTTTTTTTTTAATAGCTCTAGCGCATACTATCATTCACAGACATTCTTTTGTTTCAGGAAGAAGTTTACCCTGCCAATATGGCGGACTTGACCCACTCAATATACGTCTCAGATAAAGGGCTAACGTTAAAAGTCAACGGGTACAGTCAAAATTTACATGTAAGTATAAAAATCTACAAAAAGCATCAATGGCTGGGCCATTAATATTCACCAATTAAAACTTCACAGTAACATCCGGTATTATAATATTTTCTCACTAAACTTAAAATTGTCACTATTTTTCTCTTTAATAATGAAGTTTTCGCGTTTGTACTCTTCATTACATAGCTAACATTAGCGTTGTTCTTGCAAAAACCAACTAAATATTGACAAATAAACTCATTAAAAATTCCAATTGATTTGGTCAGCTCGTGGAATTGGTTTAACGATTGCCCAGAAATAAGTGAAAATATTTGACTTATTTAAAATTTTTAAACACATGCAAATCTTTTTTTTAATACTCTATTATTAGCTTCAGACATATGTATGTATGTTTTATCGGAATCTTTGAACATGATTTTGATCCCCTTCAAAACGTCGCATTAACTCGAAATTTTGTATACTTATTTAGGACCCATTATTCAATCAAAAAAAATACAGAAAAAAATAATTGAAAAAATTGAAATTCAACTAAAAAATAAAAAATAAATAATAGTTTAATAAAACTAACAAAATACGCTTTTATATAAAATCAAATAAAAAAAAAAAAAAATTAAAATCGTGGAGTGCATGGTATCAGTAGTTATAAATATGTTATATGAGTAGAAGGGTTATTTTGATAATATCCTGAAAAGCACCCACGCTTTTTTTTTAAATAAAATAATTTTTTCTTCACTATTTTTAATTCAAATTTATTAAAATTTATTTTCTATTTTTTAGTTGGATTTTATATAAAAGCGTATTTTGTTATAATAGTTTTTTTAAACTATTATTTATTGCCTTTTCATACAAATTATATTTTTTTTGTGTGTAGCCATAGAAATAATAATTAACCACGGATACTTGTTACAGTTGCTAGTGGAGCTGATAACGCGCGAGATGCGCACGTCTCCCGGCGGGCTCACGGCGGCCATGTTTGAGGCGGTGCGCGAGGTGCGGGCGCGCTCGTACCACAACGTGCTGCTCAAGCCGAACCGACTCGCCAAGTACGCACGCACATTGACCCTAGCCGACATCTCATTATCTTATACGACAACTATTTTACCGTTCACCTTGCTTTAAAACTGTCTTCAGTATATATTTTTTTAATTTATTTATTAGGCACACAATACACATCACAAGCTAAAAAGATACATAAAAACACAAGTAAAAATAAAAAAAATCTGGCTTGCAACATAAGTTATGTGCGCACGACAAAACAAGACACAGTGCTGAATTTGTACAACAACGTTCCTTATAATTATACGACAATACAACACGATAACAAAAACTAATCTAACTTTTAATGTAAGGAAATGATTTTATTCACAATATAAAATTAATCAATATTAATATTTTGATTATTTTTTTACATTAATATTGTTACGCGCTGAAGCTCGGGATAACTAAAGCTTTCACCGAAGTACAAATTAAAATTCTATTAAACGCTTAGAACATAATTCGCAATTCACTTGTAGGTATAACGACAGAGTCTTAGTTTATCAATTAGTACACATCAGCTACATACCAAATTCATTATTTTGAGTACGTCCCCTAGACGTAATAATTTCACTTTTTTTTGGCCTGATGTGAGTTTTAGTTCAAAATCCTCAATATTTGTTACGGAACGAAATATTTTTCAGAGACCTCCGGATGCAAGTGTTGTTGGAACCGTACATATCGCCTCGAGACAAAGCCTTTGTTATCCACAACATAACTCTGGACGATTTGAGAGACTTCCACGATAGACTGCTCAGTAAATTGTATATGCAGGTATGCTTATAATAAAATGTTACACCGGTCACTCACATGCGCACGAATACGCAAACCCGCAAGTGTAGGACGACATTTGCAAATGATTATGCAAAGTTTTCGCTGCATTCGTGGTTTTCCAAGCTGTGTCGGTTTTTTAACAGACATCAAAGCGCGCGAACCGCGATCCTTCGCGTAGTCTCCCACACATTCGCTTGCCCAGTTGCGTCGACGATTGCGAAGGTAACGGACGTATCGCCATTTTCATAGTTCGTGACGTCTACTGTGTAGCGTATCTTCATCAAAAGAAATCTCATAAAAACAGCATGGCTGTTAATGATGTCTGGGAAAGAATTCAAAATTCTTTTTCTTTTCAATGTTCTATTGACGAATTAAAAAGGAGGAGAAATTCGTGAGACATTCGTAAACAAGTGTAGGAGGAAGCGCAAACGGGTTCGCAAATTGAGTATGCGAACCCGTTTGCACAGCCGCTAGGTTTGCGAATGAATGTTTGACGGCACTTCACATGCGCGCAAACATTCGTACAATGTACGAATATTTGCCCGCATGTGAGTGGCCGGCATTATAGTTAAAATATACGGAAATAGGAAGCACAATGGAATCTACCCGACAACTAATACCACTAAAACCACATAAACATGAGAAATGACATTCTTGCAATTTAATTGGTAGATTGCCGACTTCACCTAATAGGTGTATGGCTCTAATAAAGAATTAAAAAAAATTTGATAGATTAATAGTTAACGCTATTATTTAAACTCACAATAGTGATAAAACTAAACTTGTAAAAAATGTACTAAAGGAAAATTTGTTTCAGGTTTTGGTTCAAGGTAACCTGGCTTGGTATGATGCGATCAATATATCGCAAAATGTTTTTAGCAACATGCAGTGGGAGAGTCTGTCCGAAAGCGAAATCCCTCAAGTAAGAATATTATTTGTTTGTTAATGTATTCGAGATAACAATCGTTGTGGCTACAATGAAGCTTCAGAATGAACTTGCTCCTTCTTTAATTTTTTTTATTGCTTAGTCGGGTGGACGAGCTCACAGCCCACCCACCTTGAGATATAAGTTCTAAATCTCAAGTATAGTTACAACGGCTGCCCCACTCTTCAAACCGAAACGCATTACTGCTTCACGGCAGAAATAGACAGGGCGGTGGTACCTATCCGTGCGGACTCACAAGAGATTTTTCTTTTTATATCTAACTTTTAATTGATAACGACATTGAACATTTATGACTTTAAAAAAAAACATTAAAATGGCGAAGACTGATATCAAATCAGATCAAATCAAAAAAAATTATTCAACATTAATAAAAGTACATACTTATTGAACGTCAAAAAGAACTATCGCCAATTCACAAAATAAAATAAACCAATATAAAAAAAAAAATGATTGTTTATAGTAATGAGTTTCAAATTTAATAGTTTACAATTTATGTTATTTGTAAAGCTGCAGGTACACGAGCTACCACTGGGCGAACGTAAACTGAGGGTGATGAGTCTGAACGAAGCTTCAACGAACAGCATCATCACAAACTACTACCAGGCCGAGGTGACCACCCCCTCGGATTTGGCCGTACTCGAAGTACTAATGGTTAGTCAATACGGATATAACGGATTAAAAAAAGAGTTAGAATCATTAGATGCAGGATTCTTTCTTTTGGATATAGAAAAAATTATGTTTTTTTTTTATGGATCTGTACAGATATAAAAAAGTATAAGGAGGCAAAGGATTATATTTATATATGAACACAAACATATTATAATCTTATCAAATTGTCACGACTTTCACTGTCAGAATTGACTTTAACCAAAAAGTTGTACCTTTCCGTTGTGAAGGTGTCCCGTCCCAAATAAAGATGTGTGTACTGATATTACTACAGACATTTTGGCGGGAATACGAAGAGTGAAGTTTTGTGATTTGTTTTATTTTGTTTATTTATATGTGGCAAATTTGGGAAAATGAAAGGAAGCCGCTGAACGTAACTTCTCGGGATCCTCCAAAAACTCCACTGAAAAAGTCTCAGTAAATGACCACCATTTTACTGAGATTATATTTCATCCGATCTCATCTCATCTCATTTCATAATATCATTTTTCATATAAAAAAGTTTTTATTAAAATAAAAATAAGACTTCACCTAAAGGTCTTAGTTACCAGGTCATAAAATCCCTTTAAAAAAAAAGACATAACTACACACTAGATGCTGATGGAGGAGCCTGTGTTCGACATGCTGCGCACGAAGGAGCAGCTCGGCTACAGCGTGTTCAGCATGATGCGCTACACGTTCGGCGTGCTCGGCTTCTCCGTGTCCGTCAACACGCAGGTCGACAAGTTCAGGTGAATACTTCTATTCATTAATAAATTAGTCCGGTGTGCTCAGTGCGAGTTTTTTAACGCTCTCGATAAAAAATTGAAAATAAATTTTATTAAATTTTGAATTAAAAATAGTGTAAGAAAAAATGATTTTACTGTAAAAAAAGGGTGGGGTGCTTTTCAGGATATTATCAAAATAACCCTTCTACTCATATCTGTTCATAAAATATTTATAACTACTGATATCATGTATCCGATTGACTTGAAACTTGGTATCCATGTAGAAAATACATGTACTTAATAGATAGGCCAATATTTGTATGAATGTTGGACTCCCTAATATAATGTTAATTTTAAATGCGCAGCGAAGCGGGCAAGTACGGCTAGTATATTAATAATTTTGCTTCTTTACACATAAATAAGGTTGTCGTTTTGTTTGTTCGCACCAGCGTGTCGTACGTGGACGGTCGCGTGGAAGCCTTCCTCCGCAAGTTCTACCGCGACATGAAGCGGCTCAGCGAGAAGACGCTCGCGGCCACCAGGAACTCGCTCGTCCAACTCAAGCACACAACGGACTACGAGCTCAAAGAAGAGGTCAATATACTACCTTAAACTTACAGCTTTAGGGCTCAATTTCGCAGTCGTCTTACAATCTTCTTCTTGTCCTTATCCCGCTATGTAGGCATTTTTACTGTGGCAAGTATTTTTTAGTGTGGTAGGACCTCTTGAGAGTCCGCACGGGTAGGTACCACCAGCCTGCCTATTTAAGCCGTGAAGCCGCCGTTGTAACTACTGAGACCTTACAACTCATATCTCAAGGTGGGTGGCGCATTTACGTTGTAAATGTCTATGGACTCCAGTAACCACTTAACACCAGGTGGGCTGTGAGCTCGTGCACCCATCAAAGCAATATTTTTTTTTCTTTTTTCATTCAAATCTATCATACGTCATCTCACGTGTATCCACTTCTTCTTTATTTTTTGGCTCCGGCACGGTTTGTGCATTAGCCAGCATCAAGTAATAAGACTTTTATAATTCGCCGTTTTCATTATTTACAGTTTATGAAGAATAAAAAGCGAAGGAATCGCAAAATAATATAAATGATTACAAACGAATTAAACAAAAAATTAATGTAAACGAAATTAATTTACAAAATATAGAATATAATCTCAGTAAAATGGTGGTCATTTACTGACTCTTTCAGTGGACATTTTGGAAGATCCCGAGAAGTTACGTTCAGCGGCTTTGTTTCATTTTACAGATATTAAACAATTAATAAACCACCGTTATTACACAATTAAACCTGAAGAAACACTAAATAGACAAAATAAAACAAATCACACAACTTCACACATATCCTCTTTCGCACAGTCCATTCAAGTTTTTTTTAGGACGTCTACTTCCTTACCCAAGGTCTTTTGGCCACATTGGTGATCTCGGCATTCGTTTTATAAGTAAATATTTATTTTCAGGTTGAAAGAAACTGGAAGGAGATTGTGAGCAGAGAGTACCAATTCCAAAGACTATTTAATGAGGTAATAACAATTCTCATCTCGAAAATCTGTCCGCACTAACAGATCGATATGTAACGTGTGACCATTTTCATTGTACTAGTGGTCACCATAATTATTAATTTAAATTATAAGTTTGAACATTATGATGGTTCTGTTGTCAATATTATACTTCTAAAATCATAGATTTCGTCAAGACCACACTATAGACAAATAATATTAAAGATCAAAAATATTAATCTGTTCTGAATTTGGAATACATATATATGTGTATATGTGTTGTGTCAAATACATGGTAGTGTGTGTTATGTATTTTTTATTGATTTAATGTATTTTTATGCTTAATTTAAAAAAAAAAAAACATTCTGCGTTCCTTCTCTATAAGCGTGGAAAATTTCGTACTCCTCCGTCCGTGCAATTTTCGTAAAAAGGGGTACAAAGTTTTTGCTTCACGTATTAATATATAGATATGTTTGACTTTGCAGGCTGACGCCATAGAAAAAGTGAAGTTGGCCGACATTAAAACGTGGGTAGAGAACCACTTCCCGACCGGCAACAGAGCGCAGTTTAGGAAAATCTCGATACAAGTAAATTGTTTATTTATTTCATTAATATTTTGTTTCTGCACGAGGCTCGAGAATTGTGACTTGAGTCAAATCACTTATTGAAAGTCTTAGTTTATCGAGAAAAGCGTTGTTCAAACATGGTCGACGCCTTAGAAGAGCTTGTTGGTAAGAGAGTAGAAAAAAAAAATCTGTTAGAATACCAAAAAAACATTTGGAATTAGTGTTGTGACAACAAAAAAACGCGACATTAAACCATAAAAGAATTATTAACTACATCTACGAATCGCGAAAACTGCATTATATATTAATAACAAAATCAAAGTCGCAGCCTATACCTAGTTGGTTGTGTTCTCTCTTTGCCGATAAGATTTATCGATAATTGTTCTTAAAATTAATAGGTAAAATCGATAAAAAAAAACTACACACGGATCCCTATTAAAGCAACGGCTTAAACTTGGATGCTACCTTACGCTTCTGATTTCACAAAGTATACATTAATGTTTGATTTTGTATTTTTGACGTGACAACGTCTTATAATTCGATGGACTGCACGCACGAAAAAACATGACTCATTGAGGCGTTCCATTTAAGGCTTGAAGTGCAAGCGAGAGCGCGCAACGAGCGACAAAGAGGCACAATCGGCCTCCGCGTTCGGCAGCGTTCGACATCTGTCTCTCTCCTACTTGAGTGAGCGATGCATCCGCGTGGACAGCTGCTATACAATAATACATTTACATGTTTTCGTCAAGTATGAAGTTCAGTGAAAAGTGAATGTGGTGTCAATTGTCCATACAAAATATATATCAAACAAATAAAATTAAAATTTTCTTTTGAAAAATGAAACCATTCCATCAGTATTTTTTTATGACGTTGTCACGTTCAACTATCGTCAGTAAATCGACTTTACAGACAACCGATTTTTTTTTTCAGGTAATGGGACACAAACCGAAACAAGTCGACGATAAATCTTCGGAACAGGAAATTATAAAGCCCAAAAACTACACGTTGACTTATTTAGACGCGAGCCAGCCGGTCGGCGATACCACCGAGAACAACGCGGATTTCATAAAAGACATCGACGAATTCAAAAGCGATCTACCGATAATAAACGTCCCTAAAGTTCAACTTGCACAATGTTAGAAAAACAATATCCTGAAAAAAAAAAATGGAACCTAATAGTAAAATACATTTAAAAAAAGAACGCTAATTTTTAAAGCTAATATTCTTAATGAACCAAGTGCCTAAAATTTGTTGGTGTTCCTTTAAAAATATCTAAACCAAAAAAGAAATCATCTTAATTACAAATACTATTTGTATATTTTTTTTATTTCATTATTTTTTAGTAACTGACAAGGCCTTTATTTGTTATCAAATTATTATAATTTATAAAATTGACGATCAGAGATATTCTTTGTAAACTGTACTGTCATTTATTTGTATAGATGATTAGTAGCTCATAGCTGACCTGGTGTAAGCTTCTTGAACCGTGTTCAATGTGATAATTTTGTTATAAAACTAATAGAGTTGATTATATTAATGCCGAAACTGTATGTAAACTTGTTAGCAGTACTTAATTTTCGGTTATAAAATGAAAAGTTTACTTAATAATGTTTCATATTTTGTACATTTATAGTTTTATTATGAATATTATAAATTCATTATTTTTATGTAAATATCCTTTGTTGCCCTAGCAGATGTTACGTAACAGTAAATTTATTTCTTTTAAATCTTTGTTTTACTTTTGGAACTGAAAGAGCATAGTGCTTAAAAGAGTAAGAAATAAGGTAGCTTACTTATTTTTTGTAGTTGTACCTACAGGAGAAAATTGAATTCTGATACAAGATTTGTATGTATTAAGAGGATGCGTGTATTAATTACACACATCGAATCTATGTATAATGTGCGGTCCTATCCACTTCTTTTTTGAGTATGGCAATTAGCTTCCTACGATGCCAATGTTGCCAGTGTTGACTTTATAAAAATCTTCATTCATATCTACACCGTCCTCAGAAAAAGGGAATGAAGTAAGCTGTCGTGCATATTTCTGCTACACTGCGTGCAGTGTAGAATATCATGTCCACATGTCCATGTCTAAAGTAAAATCTCTGTCTCCCAAAAACTTTAACGGTAGGCAGCGGCTTAGCATTTCTGAAGTCCATGGGCGACGATAACCACTCACCATCAGGTGGGCCGTATGCTCGTCTGCCATAAAGGGCAATAAAAAAAAAACTAGGTTTAGTTTTTTAGGAATCTTATTTACAAACAGTAGGGCGTGTTGTAAGCCCGCACGGGCAGGTCGGACAGCCGTTATAAATTGAGACTTCGACCTCATGTCTCAAAGTGGAGTTACCCATCGTCGCTGGCACGATTCTCATTGTTACTAATAGCAGCTCGTAACTTTAACGATTTCGTTCATTTTCACTGAACATCGCATATCGAACAACTCATTCTGGCAACATGTTCTCAAGAAAGAAAGAAAAAAGGCCTTTGAATTCAATTTCGTAACATGTACAATAATAGTAAAAAAAGCAAAAGGTATGTATTTATGTTCGTATTGTATGGTAAGGAAGGTAATTCACCTCAGAAGTAATTGAATATTTATCAGAGAGAAATAATATTTACATTTAAATAATTTAGGTAGTCTTAATTGTGACCTCGGTGCAACACTAAAGTGAAACAAACATATAGGACTTAGGATTTAGTTTGCGAGAGAGTGAGATAGAACATTTCTGATACTTCGTCCACTGCGCAGGTCGTCATTTATTTAATACACAATCTGTATGCGTCCGTCCAGGTCTTGCAGTACTGTTTGTTGTCTTCGCATGTAACGTTGTAACACTACGTAGTCGACATCCAAATTCTCGAGGTTTTCTCTGTTGTTCGACAGCATCTATTAAGAGAATTTCAGTTTATTAATTTATTTTAATACTGTATCAAATCAAATAATTTTTTCTATACATCATTAATGAAAGTACATAGGTACTTGTTGAACGTCAAAAGAACTACCGCCAATTCACAAAAAACTAGCCTCCGTCCTGAGAAGAATTGGTAAGAAATTCAGCGGGCACTTTTTTTTTTTTTTTTTTTTTTAATATTAGAATTTTTTTTTTAATATTCATTTTTACAATTATTATTATAACGTAACAATTATTACATTATTATTGAAATTCCCGGAGCGAGCAACTCGATCGATTGGAAACGTGCAGAATGACGTCCTACCTAGTGTTTGAGTGGTTCGAAGGCAATGGATATCAAAGCGTGAATGCCGCCGCCTACCTTGAGACATGAAGTCGACATCTCAATTATAGTATCGCTCTCTTTTTGTTTACAGCATGGCCTTTGATCAGACAGACAGCGACAGAAATAGGCAGACTATAGACATAGTAGCGTTGGTTTAAAATACGCGATATTAAAATTTCTAAAATGGTGTTCATTTACTGAAATTTTTTCAGTGGACTTTTTGGAGGATCTCGAGAAGCTACGTCCAGCTACTATGTTTCATTTTCCCACATTTGTGCACTTTCACAGATATTACATAGTTAATAAACTACCGTTATTACACATTTAAACCTGAAGAAACACTAAATAGACAAAATAAAACAAATCGCACAACATCACTTCTCGCGTTCCCGCCAAAAAGTCCTTAAACATTAAATAAGTAGATATTTAACATCAAAATTGTTATTAATATATTAGTGAAATAAAAACGATGACAAGGCCACTTACACTGATTTTCGCGAAAAATATTTAGCTTTAAAAATTCTACACGTTAATTTTGCAATTTAGCTCTGAAAAACAGGCCAATCTGAGATACAGTATTTCAATCAGCCTGTTTTAAATTAATTTTGAACAACAGAAAAATTCCCGCCATGTTTGATGTCAATCGGTGTCGAAACATACATTACGATAACTATTCCCCGATTCAGCTTGTTGCCCACTGAGTTTCTCACCGGATCTTCTCAGTGGATCGCGTTTCTGATCCGGTAGTAGAATATGCGAAGCACTGCTCTTGTTAGGCCCAGTGCTAGCAACATCTCCGGTTTGAGCCCCAAAAGCTCACCTACACGCTAAAGTAACGCTGATATAGCCTCTCAAGGCTATTAGCATAGGTAGAATTAAAAAAAAACTGCTTGCTTCGCGCTTATAACCAGGCCGGTCGCTGGCACCATCCTTAGCCGGCCCAAGCCACGCACGACAGACAAATAAAGCTTAAATAGTGAATAACAAAGTTGCTGGATTTTCTCAATTAATGTTCACGATTGACTTCCACGGTGAAGGAATAACATCGTGTAATAAAAATGAAACCCGCAAAATTATAATTTGCGTAATTACTGGTGGTAGGACCTCTTGTGAGTCCGCGCGGGTGAGTACCACCACCCTGCCCTTTTCTGCCGCGAAGCAGTAATGTTAATAATAAGTTGTAACTATACTTGAGACCTTAGAACTTACATCTCAAGGTGGGTGCGGCATTTACGTTGTGGATGTCTATGGGCTCCAGTAACCACTTAACACCACGTGGGCTGTGAGTTCGTCCACCCATCTAAGCAATAAAAAAAAGAAAAAATTACCGTGTAACCGCCGCCTCCATCTCCGATATAGTTTTGCGTCACCACTCTGTAGGTGGCGGTGACGTCGAGGGGCTCATACTGCGGTACGTCGCACTCTATGCACCGGACCGTCGCAGAAATCACACGGGAACCGATCGGAGCTGACGCATTGTATACATTGCGCATCCCTATTAAAAAAAAAGTTTGACATTTATAAAAAAAATAATCACATATGACTTCTTTGCAATAATGCGGAAGAGAACTGCGTCGAGCGCGTGACAATGGCAACAGTCTTCTGAACAATTATATCGAGCAAGATCGAGGGACTGGTAATTAATAGTCGTAATTAATATTTCTGCCGTGAAGCAGTAATGCGTTTCGGTTTGAAGGGTCGGGCAGCCGTTGTAACTATACTGAGACATTATAACTCATATCTCAGGGTGGGTGGCGGCATTTACGTTGTAAATGTGTATAGGCTCCAGTAACCACTTAACACCAGGTGGGCTGTGACCTCGTCCAACCGCCTAAGCAATAAAAAAAACCCTATGCAACAGGCACTTGGGAAAAAAATAATTGTAATAAATAGCCAAATAGTTATGCATTAGATTTTTAAGTTACTAAAATACACAAGTAAGTTTTAATAACAAAATGTATGGTTTCTTTATTGAAATAAAGATATATAACAATAATAATAAGCTCCTTCACCATCGAAAATAATTTCTAAATGCAAATGTCGCCATTCCGAGCCGGTGGTAGTTTCAATCACTGCTCTTGTTAGAGCTAGTGTTAGCAACTTTATCAAGCCTAGATCCGTGAGCTCACTACCTCACGAGCTAAGTTACCAGCGATTAGTAAGGCTTTCAACTACCTATCAGTACTGGACTTGGGGTAAGAAAAATAAGCTCTCCAGCAATTATTACCTCCTATTTGCAACATTCGTGAACTAGAGAAGTCTCCCGGTGTTGTCTGTGACACACCCACAGAAAACTCTAACGCCTCGAGTAGGTATTCACCCTTTAGGTCGTACACTTGGATGTAATTCTCAAACGGTATAGCCATTAGCAGTCCCTCAGTTGTTACCTCTGTTAAATACAAAAAAGTAATATGTTTTATCTGAGTCGTCTATTATCAAAGGTGGCAATCTGTGAATTCGGACAAAAAAAATTTATTGATATGTCAATACAGATTGATTTGAATATAATCGTCTCCTTCAAAGAATACGGTTCAAAACCTGCATTAAATAAAGGTTAATAGTTAACCTGTTATTTATCTAAGATGTCGTTCAGAAGAGTTTTGTGACTGCCAATGGAATACAAAGTCAATAATTCGTTTTTCTGATTTACCAATCATTGTCCAAAAGTCAGATTGCCGCCTTTGATAATAGTCGACTTATATATGAGTCGTCTATTATCAAAGGTGGCAATCTGTGCATTTGGACAAAAAAATTTTATTGATATGTCAATACAGATTGATTTGAATATAATCGTCTCCTTCAAAGAATACGGTTCAAAACCTGCATTAAATAAAGGTTAATAGTTAACCTGTTATTTATCTAAGATGTCGTTCAGAAGAGTTTTGTGACTGCCAATGGAATACAAAGTCAATAATTCGTTTTTCTGATTTACCAATCATTGTCCAAAAGTCAGATTGCCGGCTTTGATAATAGACGACTCAATTCTATCGTATTGGGCGAGTCACAAAGCGGTACAATAGTAAAAACAAGGATCGTATTGGGCAGGCCTTAAAAATCAATCGTTAAAACAAGGTACTCATTTAAGTTCATAAAGAATCGTGTCTCCGATTTACATGCATTTTTTTTTTAATTCATGTAAATTGGATGCATGCAATTTAAATATATTGAAAGTCGTCGTGGCCTAACGTATAAGATGTCCGGTGCATACGTATATAGCGATGCACCGGCGTTCGAATTCCGCAGGCGGGTACCAATTTTTTTAATGAAATACGTACATAACGAAATTTATCTTTAAGCCACGGCTATTTTAAATCAAATATTAACGAATAGTTCTTAATGACTGGTTTTTTACTGGTGGTAGGACCTTTTGTGAGTCCGCACGGGTAGGTACCAGCACCCTGGCTATTTCTGCCGTGAAGCAGTAATGCGTTTCGGTTTGAAGGGCGGGGCAGCCGTTGTAACTATACTTGAGACCTTGGATCTCATATCTCAAGCTGAGTGGCGCATTTACGTTGTGAATGTCTATGGGCTCCAGTAACCACTTAACACCAGGTGGGCTGTGAGCTCGTCCACTCATCAAAGCAATAAATAAAAAATGAATTGTGGTTTGAAATATTATGGAAATAAAATTGACAGGAGGGTGGTGCCTATACGTATAGTCTCACAACCCATCCTTATTAATAAAACTGTTTGTTCATCGCGAAAGTCACAGTCAATCGAAGTTAAAGATATACAGCGGGAACATACCGCCGGGTGCTATTTGCACGCGCAGTCCGCCCGAATTTATTAAGCACAGATGAGCTCCATTCCACGCTGTACCCGTAGCTTGTGACATCATCTTTAAATTCATAGAGTATTTTAATTTACATCGCACGGGTACCAACAAAACCGCAATACAGTTAAAAAAAAACATCAAAATCTTCAACTTGTGAAAATCTAGTTTCAGTTTCGACTATTACTTGTGCTCTTCTTGTGAATAATAATAATAAATATTTACTAACAATCACGCCACGTTAACTGGTCCCGTGTTAAGTTCGTAAAGAACTTGTGTTACAGGTACCAGATAACGGAAATAAATGTAAGATTAAGACATTTATATTTGTCATACAAATATCTTCCCTTGGCGGGATTCGAACCCGCGACCCCCTTGTGTAGTGACCATGTCACTTACCACTACACCAGACGGCCGTTAGTACACAATCAATATTTAATTAAATAATATTAAAATATGAAATTTTTGTTTATCTAATTAATGCAATCGGTATGCATCAAGTTTAACTCTAAAAAAAATTCATTTAATTTTCCCTTTTTAATTTATTCAATAAAATTAAATACAAAACGAATTTTAAGAAAGTCGCTTTTAAAAATTAATTATTGCGAGAATTACTCGTTTGTTTGTTTGAAATTAAGCAAGTAATGAAGTTTTCTTTGTGTTTCGTACCTCTTCTAGAAATCCATCACACGCCCAGCTGCCGAGGTTACACTCGCGGCGCGTACATCCTCGGCTGAGACTCGTCAGTGTAGTGCCGAGCACCTCTTTACCAATCGCGTCCACCTCCTGACGCCACGGCTCTAATTCATCCAGGATCCTAGGATCTGATGATAATCGTTTCAATACAAAAAAAGAAATGTATTATAATATATATCGGCGCAACGTCACTATTTAGTTAACCTAAAAATAGTTTTTTTATTGTATAGAATTGTGGACAAGTTCACAGACAACATGGTGTTAAATGGTTACTGGAGCCCATAGACATCTATAACGTAAATGCGCCACCCACCTTATAAGTTCTAAGGTCTCATAGTTACGACGGCTGCCCCACCCTTCAAACCGAAACGCATTACTGCTTCACGGTAGAAATAGACAGGGTGGTGATACCTACCCGTGCGAACTCACAAGAGGTCCTACCACCAGTAAGAATTTAAAGTTAACTGTTCTTTTTATGTTACCTATCTCAACAACTGTTTAAGACGGTATTCAAGAGAATTCTTGACTAAGCTACCCCCCTTGCTACTATAAATACGAGTGACTATTGTTGCACAAAACAATCCAACTCGAGCATTTATTATCGTTGTAATTCATTGGAAAATTGGGACTGGATTACTGTCACTGGAAGGCTATGATAATGATGAAGAGAATGGCGTCAAAAACGCTAACATCATCATTTAAAAAAAACCATGGAACCAGCCACTCCCTCATTTATAAATCTACTTAAATACGTAACTTGGGTTAAAAGCTGAGTCACTTCACAGACTAAAAATATTTATTTTGCAAAAAAAAAACTGTACCTACCTTGTACAATAGATGATCCTAAGAAAACAGGCAGCCCTTCCCAGCTTTCAATAATGCCTCTATCGTTGATATACAGTTTTATGTCGCCCAAATACCGCGTGTAACAAGACGCCTGAACCACCAGCACCTAGGTGGGGAATTTTAACTTTAAGAATAGGTTCATTATTTTAGATCACAGGTTCTTAAAGCTTTCAATAATGCCTCTATCGTTGATATACAGTTTTATGTCGCCCAAATAACGCGTGTAACAAGACGCCTGAACCACCAGTACCTGGGTGGGGAGTTTTTTTAAGAACAGGTTCATTATTTTAGATCATAGTTTCTTATAAAATCATAATTTTAGTTAATTTTAAACGAAGATAAGGAAAAAATCTTATCCAATTGAACCTTCAAAAAGATTTTTGGGGGTTAATGATAAAGGGAAGATCTTTCACCAAGCGGGTGATAATGCTCGATGAACCGACGCGACGGTGCGAATGCTATTGTTCGGAACTTGTGTATAATAATAATATGTACATAAATATGTAAGGCCCTATCTTGAAATATGAAAATAATTTATGAACCTTCTCATTCAAAGGCGCGGGTACCAAACATGTTTAAAAAGCAATAGATACCTACAACCCACTGAGTTTCTCACCGGATCTTCTCAGCGGTTCGCGATTCCGATCCGGTGGAATATTCGCCGAAGCTCTACCCTTGCTGGGATCACCAGGGATCTTTCACCAAGAGCATAATGCTCGATGAAACGATGGTGCGAATGCTATTGTTCGGAACTTGCATATAATAATATGTACATATTATTATGTAAGCCCCTATCTTGAAAATGTCGTTAGCGAGAGGCAGGCATCTGTCAATAATCTTTTTGTGTCCTATGATGGCTACTGCTTTAATTGATTTGATTGGAAAAGTGAATTATTTAATACAGCAATGTCAGGGCACATCTTTTGTAGACAACGCGGTATTTAATGAAGGCGTAGTGACTTTTGAAAGTTATTTGTATCCAAAAAGGAAGGGATAAGTACCATTAACTACATAAGAACCATAGATAATACACATAATATTTCAAATAGGAATACGCATGGCGCTCGACGTCATTGGTTTTACCGCAACGTCAGTAAAAATAGTTGTTACAAGTAATTAACACGAACAATCAAGACCTAATGTTGTCAGTCTCACCCTGTGTCCATTATCTTGTGTGACAACAGTCGGGTATTCCCCTAATGCCGTGTCACCATTAGGAGTTTCTCCGTTGAACAACAGTGTATGGGAATGCGCGCCAACTATGATATCCACTTCCGGAACAACCCGGGCCGCTAGATTTCTGTGAAGTCGTATTAAATAAACTCTTTGTTTAGATGATAAATAAAAATAAATTTTGTTTATTAAATTTGTGAATTTTCGTGGATTCCTGAAAAATCTGTGTTTTTATGCAAAAAATCCATCACACGGAACAAATGATAGTTAAACGAATTGTTTATGGGAATATTGAAATTTTCTTAATATATTCATTTGTTTAGGAAAGTATGTAACAGCTTTTTTTAATAGGTATATACGCAGGGTCATCCGGTCCCAAAATAAGATACAGATACAGGGATGTATTATAGGAATCAGAGACTAATCTACATACGTTTAAATATTTACATGTGTATATAGATAATAAACACCCAGGCTAAGAGCAAATAAAACTTTTCATCACACAAATGTTTGCCCCTAAGGCGGGGAATGGGGATCAAAGCCACGACCCAGAACGTAACATTTAGGGACGCTAATTAATGCAACACCATTTCAGTCAGTTTATACATTCATAATAAAGATTGGTAAACAAAAACCAAACAAATTTCCACGATTAAAACTACACATGAGTGAACTCACACGATTGAACAAAAATAACTGAAATTGATTTAAAATTTATAAAAGGTTAATAAAATTAAAAACAATAAATAGTACTAGTAAACCCATAGATATAACACACTGAGTTTTTTGTCGGGTCTTCTAAGTGGTTCGCGATTCCGATCCGGTGGAAGATCCGCCGAAGCCCTACCCTTACTAGGATCATTGTTAACTAGTCTTCTTAGATTGAACCCCGTGAGCTCACCTACCAATCAGCGTATAGTTAGAAGCCCCTTAGGTGACCAATGATTAGGCAGGGAATAAAAATATAAAACTTAACAAGAGCCGCCTGAAAATCAACCCCTGATTCAAAGACACAGTATTCAGGGTCACTGATTACCTAGATTTTTACTTTTCTACTTACAAATCACTGGTGTATCCAATATGAGAGAGTACAATGATGATATCAACTCCGGCTTCGGTTAGTATGGTCGCTTCTCGATTTACAGCCTGAAGTTCATCTTCCATAATGACTTGACCAATTGGCGCTGAAAACTGATGCTTTTTTTTTCTAGAACAGCTTAATCAAAGAGATTAAATATAGCGGGAAAGTTTTGTATATTCTTCATTAAAACATTAATAATTTAATTCGAATATTTACTGTGAATATGCACATTTTATGAAATATACTAGAATGTGAATGCCGGCAGGCCGAATTATGAACATTTGCTCTGAGATTTGAGGTTAAATCGTATTTAAATTTGAACAATATATGTAATATTTTCTTCAATTTTCGAGAGCCGTAGTTATATAATAAAACCACTCCTATGGTTTAATCTTGCGTTTATAATTGTCATTATATTATTTTCGACCTTTCTTCACAGCTTTCGTGGACCCGGCAACCGTAAAGTGTTCGAAACATTGGAAAAGCAGTTCAAATTAGGTATATATATTAAACCACGAGTGCGAAAAAATCATAAGCTGTAAGCGGCGGCTAGCTTGGGACTGCCCTTTATAGTAGATGGTTACCATTAATTCTGAAGTCGTTGTGGCCTAACAGATAAGACGTCCGGTGCATTCGTGTTGAGCGATGCACCGGTGTTCGAATCTCAGGCGGGTACCAATTTTTCAAATGAAATACGTACTCAACAAATGTTCACGATTGATTTCCACGGCGAAGGAATAACATAGTGTAATAAAAATGAAATCTGCAAAAATTATAATTTGCGTAATTAGGTACTGGTGGTAGGACCTCTTGTGAATCCGCGCGGGTTGGTACCACCAACTTGCCTATTTCTGCCGTGAAGCAATAATGCATTTCGGTTTGAAGGGTGGGGCAGCCGTTGTAACTTACTTCAGACCTTAGAACTTATATCTCAAGGTGGGTGGCGCATTTACGTATTGTGGATGTCTATGGGCTCCAGTAACCACTTAACACCAGGTGGGCTGAGAACTCGTCCACCCATCAAAGCAATAAAAATAAAATATAAAAATAATAATAATGGACGTCGGCAATGCTAGAGATACAAAGGCAAACTGCTGTTTATCGTAAAATCCAGTGCGTTTAGTGCGAGTTTTCTTAACTTCTCGATCACGTAAAAGTTAACTCAAATTTGTATGGAGTTGGAACGTCGCCTCTACTTTTGCCACTAGGAGCGCTGTTCCAACTGTAAGTTAACTACGTTACTTCTCGTATAAATAAATTAATGAATGCTATATATAGTAATAAAAAAGAACGTACCACTCGCAACAAAACACCTATGATACCAATCTTCCTACCATTTCGTTCTACAATTACGTGATTTTTCACGTATGGCGTCAAAGTTGGTTCAAAAGTTGTATTAACATTAGCACCTAGCATTGGGGAATTCAAACGTTCCAAATACGGCAATAGACCTTCCACTCCATGATCGAACTCGTGGTTTCCGAGTACCTGAAATTATAATTCAACAAGAAGTCATGGGGCCCTAAAGCAAGTAATCTATTCGAGTCGGAAGATCTTATAATGCAATAGACACATTGAATTACTAAATACTTGTATCATGCGTTCGTAGAACTTTTTGGTTAATGGGATCCTTACTTTATTTCCATCACATCGATTCTTATCCATATTTCGCTGTCTAGAGTGGCGTCTAAGTGTTACTCATAATTTAGACAAATCAACGTGAAGACATTAAAGCGGCACGACACGAGAACCCTCTCATCGTGGCCGCCGGTAACTACATTCCCGATCCTGCGGACAGAATGGAAAGCAGTCGACGTCGCCCAAAACACGTCATCTCGGATCCTCCCGATCCACTAACGGTGCTTTTAGGTACTTCAAGCCCCGGTCACCGTTCTCGTCGAACCCGTCGCTTGCGACGAAGGGCTCGACGAGTAAATTAACTCTCAGACACAGCCCACTGAGTTTCTCGCCGGATCTTCTCAGTGGGTCGCGTTTCCGATCCGGTGGTAGATTCTGCGAAGCACGGCTCTTGCTAGGGTTCGTGTTAGCAACGTCATCAGGTTTGAGCCCCGTGACTCACCTACTAAAGTTAGGGTTACGCTGAAATAGCCCCTAGGGCTATCAGCTTAGGTAGGCAAAAAAAAAAAAAGTGAAGACATACCAAGTCCACTTAAGTGGTATAAGAGCAACAAAATGAAGAGATGGATAGGTGGATATACTCATTTTAATCCTTTAACAAAAACGCCAGATAGCTAAGAGTGATTACTTCAACAATTACTAAATATTTATTAGGATTTTCATCAACAAGATAGTGAGTTTTATCAAGATAAAATTTTAATGACAATTAATTATCTCTTGGATCAAATATTAACTTCGAATGCTGAAACTCACGTGTGCATCATGTGGCAGCATGTTCATAAAATGTTGAGTGACATTCCATCTCAAGAAGTTGTACCAGATTGTTCCTTGGAACGTGTCCCCTCCGTTAAGAAGTAGCGAATCTGGTTCGGCTTCGAAAATCTCCATAATAGCTGTATACAGTCTAGCAAAACCACCGATGCATGGGTCTTCGGTGGGATTACAGATCGTTCCTCGTGGACTAATCTCGTCGAAGCTTAAGAACGATTAAAAGAGATATTTTTAAATTTAATTAGATCTGTAAAAAAATCTTTTGAGGGTCTTAAGTATAGTTTTGAGGCAGAGCGTATAGTTACCCTCCATCACGGTCTTACAACTACGGGCTGGTTTTCGGAGACACGTGTTCTCACTCATGAGACGTAGGGTATAAAAAGCTGTTTGCCCTTTAAGCCCGAAAGCATATAGCCTAAATAGGCCTATCGATGGTGCCTAACCATACATTCTCATAAGGAGACCTGATTTTATGAAAGCTATTGAACTCAATTCCCTTATGACAATTTTTTATTTTAAAGATAATCTTACTTACCTCTGTTTTTGTTATTTATCTTCAGTAAAAAAGTGGATTGATACAGAAGTAAATACAAAAAACTAATGATTAGTAATTAAATATTAAGCAAAATAAATACTCACTGTGCGTGGAAATCATTATAGTGAATGATGTTTAATTCGAAAAGCCCATTGTCAGATTGTCCCAAAACTGTGCCGAGAACTACAAGATACAAAACTAGTTTCCACATTTTCTGCATTACTTTACCGGCCCTTTTGTTTCTACGGGGACGACCAACACATGAATAAATATAGATTTAAAATATTACAGGATTTAATAATTTACGATTGTGACAACATAAATTACCTACTGATAAAGTATTATAACATGAAAATATAAAGGTAGAATTATAGCAGGCGAATTTTGTAGCAATCCTAAAGATTTACTTCAAATTGTCTACGTGCGACCCAATTTGGTCCTTGAATTACTTCTTTTGTTAGACGGGTCACGACTTTGGTTTCGCTCGTGATGCCATACTACTATGGGCTTTGTCATTTCTATACGCACTCAGTCACCCTCGACCTTTGGCCAATCCTGAGCTAGGAAGGCAAGGGAGTCAGGGAGCTAGGGAATCATCCTTGCCATCCATGCCAATCTGCCTAAAATGTCCCTTGTTTACAAAACTTGCATACGACCCATTGCATGCGTAGGTATGCGATGAAGCGCCGTAGTTTGTGAGGAACGTCGACCCCATTAACGACTTAGTCCTCGAATCCATCAGAAAATACCTGAAGTCAGCGTCGGAACGGTACTTTGATGTGACGATGTGTCATGAAAACGCTTTAAAATCGACTTTTCGAATTGTTAGCTTAGTTTGACAGACGATCGCCCACTAAATGTTTAGCGAACACCACTCATAGCACATTGTTAGCGATGCTGCTCACTTTGAGACATCAGTTGCATAGAGTAACAATTATCCTCGCCTTCAGACCGAAACGTATAATTGCTCCGAAACAGTAAAGGGCAGGGCTGGTATTATTTTATTGCATTAGGGTGGACGAGCTCACGACCCAATTAATGTTAAGTGGTACAAGCTCGTAATACGGCCTAGCATCAGCACTCAAAACATCACATCCTTACGGATCCACTTGCATTAGTCGCCTTCAGCTCTAACGCTAGGAGCAGGCTTAGGGACGCCGATAACCGTAGTAGTCGAGTCTAACCAATCTAATCTAAAAAAATCTAATCAATCTAACCTAAACATCAACCCGTTGAGTTTCTCGCTGGATCTTCTCAGCGGGTCGCGATTCCGATCCGGTAGCAGATTCATTCGCGAAGCAGCTACTCTTGAGTTGTTAGGTCTCCTTTGGATGCGTTCAGGTAACTGTTAGCAAATCCCACCCCTCCTAGCTGGGCCCTTGCTCGCCCACCTGTTCTGGTGAAACTGGACAGACCTCTGGGTCAGCAGTGATCCCTCAATCATAAAAAAAAACTCATAACAGAAATTAGGAGGTAATGAGAAATTGTGAGACTTTTATTACTACGAACAGTTAATCTTCTGATGAATAAATCAGACACATTGTTTTCATATCCTTGTGTATTTATGTGACCAACCATGTTTGTGAACATGTATTAACATATATTAAGCTAGACGTAATCTTTATTTAGATATTAATTAATAACCGTTGTAAGTTAGTAACTGTTGATATGTGCGTCTTATACTAAGTGTTGTGGGGTCTTTAATTATATACCACAACAGTGGACCTGTAATAATCTGTCTTAACTATAGAGATTAATAAAAATAATAATTTACTACAATAAATTCATTCGTTTATTAAAATTTTTTTTTTTAAGCATCTCTATTTTTTATCCAATAGATTATTGTTTATGGCAGCCATTTCCCAGATACATTATCAACGTTATCAAAATAAATTATAGCTGTTACGTTTGGGAGTTCGTGGCGATTTTTTTTTGATATAATATTTCTAATGGTTCAAGCAAATTAATCTCAGCGGCAAGGACAAAGATAAAATCGATAAAACAAGTAATACATTTGAATTATTATCATTGATTACTATCGACCTTTAATACGTATTGCCTGTCTGTTCTACCGGATAGAGTCAATTAATATTTGTTTTATTTCAATAAAGTAAACATTGGTAAAACAACGAAAATTTAAACAACAAAATCAAGTTTGATAACTTTTTTATTGGTTTGGATAGAACACGAGAACGCGGCCCTTACATTTATACCTTTGGGAAGCTGATTAAAACTACACGTTTTTTTTTAATATTTATTTCTTCTATTTGTTACTGTAAAGGTTAATTACAATCATGACCAAGTTATAACATTAAAGAAGCTCCTAAAACTAAATAAAAACTCTAATTATTTTGGATTCTAACATTTTGTGTTTACAGTTTCAGTTGTTACTATATTTCGTAATTGTTCGGTTATACATATATGAAGGATATTGCCTTAAAGCCTTCGTCAAACAGAACGCGTAATTAGCGCGCGTCAGAGCGCTACGCTATGACGCCGAGATGTGTTGTACTACTACGGTATCATACCGTCAAACAGAGCGCCAGCGCTATAAGTACGAAGCGCTCTGTCGCGGCGTTAAGACGCTTTGACGTCAGGCGTTGTAATTTTTTACAAATTTTATTTTAGTGTCCGAGTGAATGTGTATTAAAATACTAGATAATGCCCGAAAAAATGATATAAATAGTTAGAAAATACCCATGCTTATACAATGCCACATTTGAATCACTCCATTTCTTAATACTTTTAAATTTTCACACTGCTATCGAAAGGCACTATGATTTAGCGAATGCGTTGCGTCAAGGAGCGTTGGACTCATCTAGTCAATTTGAAGAGCGCGACGTTAAGTACGCGGCGCTAAGTACGCGTTCTGTTTGACGAAGGCTTAACTCCTAAGACGTAACGAAACGTGACGAAAACGTGATAAAATTATCAAGGCACTTTCAAGTTCGAGTGAACGAGTACAATGCTACAGTTTGTTTCGTTTAGCGTTCATTTTAATGCCAACAATTTTCGTACTTGTAACAGCTAAAGACCGTTTAAAATGCTGATTTTCTTCGACAATTTTAGTGTGCGACTGTGAGAGCGTATCGTACGATTGTCCCCTTCTACTGTTGACAATGGCCAAAGTTTAGAACAATGTGTGACAATGGCCAAAGTTTAGAACGGTCAAGATGATGATGGGGACATTAGAAGTGAATATCTTATATATAGATAAGTGGTTAATTCTAGACAATAATGTTATTGCTTGACACATTCGAAAATATATTATTTGTAAATACTAAGTTTATAAAAAAAAATTACAAAGAAAAAACTATAAGTGTGGGTGTATGAGGTGCACAAACAGTACAAATCAAAGGCTTGTTTTAGAAGTTCTTAAAAAATCCTAATTTTATAATAGAGGTGAGTGAGATCAGGTGTTTAAATTTATGGTGTAACTTTTCTAAATCACGCAGGCAGGTACAGCAATTTTGTCTTTTTTTTTCTTCAAAAAATCTGCTGGTTTGTATACACAAAGAAAATAGCAACTGTAATTTTTTAATAAATAATACTATATTTCTATAATTATAACAAACAATGAAATAGTTAACTATGTTAACGTTCTATTAAAACATTATTTTTTTTTCTAAATAAAATACAGAGTATAGAGTAAACGCTAGAAATACACATTGAGGGTAGAGCTAAGGAGCACCATCTTGTATAGGGGACAAGTGGAAAAAATGTCCACATGTTAAAAGAACATTATTGTTCGAAGGCTCACCGAAATAGCGCTAGTGTAGAAAATGGAAATTGTATGAATATAACAGTTTTAAAGAGAGTGAAGTGTGCTAGATCAGAGCCCCGAAACGATACTTTAAGACAAATATTTTTTTGTATGGAAACTAGCGACATCTTGTAGCGCATGCCCCTAAGCTTATACGTTGTTAAAGTTAAGACTAGAAAAATGGCGACAGTTGAAAACGGAACAAATTTCTCGAGTACAAGCATTAAACAGTGCTCGCAGTATATATCAGAAAATAGCCTTCACTGCAATTCAGCACATAGATAATACACATAAATTAGTTATAGATAAGCAAGCACTAAACAAAAATGTTAACGGGGGTCGGCTACTAGATGGCTTCGCTTCGATTAGTTTCTCATTGCTCCTGTAGAAGGCAGTAACATATTATTACCTGTCCTGTATTTTATTTTTGATGAAGGATTTTGTATATTTTCAGAAAATACAAATTGATAAAATTTAATCAATTTGTCTATAACAAATAAAGACTTGAATGATTTGTTATTCGTTTATTTTCTGTGTTTAGTTATACCATAATTAAATACCTTAACTTTAATAAAATAAAAGTTTAGAGGCATCCGCTACAAGATGTCGCTAGTTTCCATACAGAAAAAATATTTGTCTTAAAGTATGGCAGGTCCTGCTTACTGTGTTCGCAGTGCACATCGGAACATAGCCAAATTGGTGGTAGCTTATAACGATGATTTAAATTATTTTCTCCTATGGCGCCACCTTAATTGGTTCTCTTTCATTTCATTTTAATATACTGAGATGGCACTCCTTCCATAGATGATATAAACAACAGCCTTAAGTAAGCTGTTCACTACGCAATCGATAGATAGCCTCTCTAAGAGTAGATCAAATAATTAATATTAGTCAATAATCGAAAACAGCAATTTTATTAATAAAATTTTAATACAACATATTTAATAACTATATATTATTCCCGCTATCCTCTTGTAGCTTACACGAAATGTTAACAAGATTAGTAAGTTAAATACAATTTAAATGCCGACATAGCGGTATTCAGAAGAATTTTTTTTTATTGCCCTTGTAGGCAGACGAGCATACGGCCCACCTGATGGTGAGTGGTTACCGTCGCCCATGGACTTCAGCAATTCCAGGGGCAGAGCCAAGCCGCTGCCTACAGCTAGAAGGTTCTTTATTTTCAAGAAGTAGTTGAAACAAGGTTGAAGGTAATAACTTAACAGTGAACAAGAGGTTTTTTTTATAATTACACCAATGAGGCCTTTATGTCGTGTATATCAGAATTATCTTGATCTCTGAAGTCTCTTTATCGTCCACATTGAATGTAGAGTTCGATTCAACAAACAATACATTCCACCGTTTTTGTTACTTTAAAACAGTTCTAAATTAAATATTATTAAGTTCGATTTTCGCGTGTCATTGACATAATTAAAACTACTTTTACGGATTAATATCGCGTTGCTTATTACCATTATAATATTTCCGAAGTTTCTAGTACTTTACAAAAAATAAATTAAACAGTTTTCGTGTTCTCAAACGAATACGTCATATATTACAAAACAAGTAATAAATCACGCGAGGTTATACAGTAATAGTAGTTCTAATTGGTTCCGCATATTGATTAATACATTTTTATATTTAAAAATAGATTAAAAGTGTTACGAAAAAGCACAAAAGCCCAACACAAACTCAACGTTGTTTAAAATATAACTTTTGCTGTTTCTAAAGTATTCTAACACAACGATGAAATAATTCACTTAGTGCACTGACATACAAAGCTACTACTAAGTTTCTAGTGTATTTATGTACTTCGACTTTTATATTGATTTCCTTAAACATTCGCTTTAAGAACAGTTTTTTTCTTTTTCAATACACCAAAATCAATAATACTTGTGAAAGCAATAATTTTTAACACAAATGATTCTTTCCAGAACGTAATCACTAGAAATGTTTGTTAAATATATGAATTAAATTACATTTTCTTTGTCAAAATCTACAAATCGTTGATATTGTTCTATTATTGATGAACTATGACGTCACCGTTCAAGAGTACGGCGTGCGCGGGTTCACGTTGATCATTTCGGTTGTGCTGTAAGAGATATTAATAAAAATGATTTTCTATTACATTCATACATATATAGATGCAAACTAGATGTTATCTTACACTCCAACATACCAGAAATAACGTAAAATGATAATCAACAAACAACAATCAAGGAAAATTCAATAATATTAATTATTTATCGGACTAAATAGTTTTGTGTTCTGTAGTGATTACAAATATTACTAGCTAACATTAACATTGAATCTATCTACGTAACTCTAAATATTTTTTTTAATTTTGTACAGTATACAATACTTGTTTACAAACAAATTTAATTAAGAATCTTCCGTTGAAATTCTTCAAATTACAACTAAGCAAGCCTAGCGACATTGATAAAAGCGTTTGATTCCGCCGCTGCCAATCAAACGATACGACTGTATCTACATTTTGTAAATAGATTTTTGTTAATTTCATAAACTCACAGGACTTGTGTATTCGGTTCGCGTATGTAGTACGTTTGGGGTGTTGGATATCTAAATGAAACCAATTTTCTTTTAAATCCGATATTACGTTAGCTAAGACGAATCCGTCTGCTTTATTGAAATAATAATTTAAAAGTATTTTAGAAGATCAAATTCAATGTAACAAAAACTGCGAATCTGCATTTTTTTTATTGCTTAGATTATTGCTTATTAGCCCACTTGGTTTTAAGTGGTTACTGGAGTCCATAGACATCTACAACATAAATGCGCCACCCACCTTGAGATATTATAAGTTCTAAGGTCTCAAGTATAGTTACAACTGCTACCCCACCCTTTAAACCGATACGCATTACTGCTTCACGACCGAAACGGGCAGGGTGGTCCTACCACCAGTAATTACGCTAATTTTGCGGGTCTGATTTTTATTACACGAGATTTGTTTATTTATTGCCTTTGTAAGCAGACGAGCATACGGCCCACCTGATGGTGAGTGGTTACCGTCGCCCATGGACTTAAGCAATGCCAGGGGCAGAGCCAAGCCGCTGCCTACCGTACCGTAAAAGTAACGAGGTTATTCCTTCACCGTGGAAGTCAATCGTGAACATTTGTTGAGTACGTATTTCATTGAAAAAAATTGGAATCCAACTGGGATTCGAACACCGATGCATCGCTCAACACGAATGCACCGGACATCTTATCGTTTAGGCCACTACGATTTGAAGTAGTTTCTAGATGATAAGCTATCATGAATCTAGCAATGAAGTGTTCATGGCCTAATGTGTAAGTCGATAAGACGCCTCGTATATCCGTATAGTGATGGGACAATGCCGATGTTCAACTCCTGTGGTGCTTATTAACAATTTATGTGTTGAAGGAATCGCATCGTGTAGTAATCAAACTAGTAAACCCGATTAGGTAAAATCATTCCACATATTTCTGCCGCAAACAAGACACGAGTTGCGGTTTGAAAAAAATGATTGAAACTTCTACCGCTTATCTTTTAGGCAAATAACTAGCAATGCGTTATGGTTATAATCCGACATATGATTTTCTCGGTTGTTCAAATATCGTAATGATGCTCGATGACAATTCGTTTCTGTCAAAGTAGTTTACATACACTTTTTAAATTTTATCTTAATCGATTTTTTGGAATCGATTGTTGACTCGATTGAAAATTTCCGTTTCACTTTTTAATATATTTTGGAATCGATCATTGAATTAACCCACAGACGCAGGCCACTGAGTTTCTCGCCGGATCTTCTCAGTGGGTCGCGTTTCCGACCCAGTGGTAGATTCTGCGAAGCACTATTCTTGCCAGAGCCAGTGTTAGCAACACACCCGGTTTGAGCCGCCCTGAGAGCTCACATACACGATAGGGTAACGCTGATATAGACTCTCAAGGCCCTCATGGCCATAGACAAAAAAAACATGAAACTTACCTCTTGGAACATCTGACGTGTATGACGAGTAGCACTATGCCCAGTAAGAGACACAGGGTACCGACGACTACATAAGCCACTCCTAAGAACGGATTCTTTCCCCCCAGCAACGATGTGGTCGAAATTATAAATGATTTCGTCCCATGGAAGTCAACTACTGGGTAATCTATGACAAATATACATATTAAATCGCACCTTTAGAACTGAAATGGCTTAAGTAGAAATTTTAAGAAAATGATTTTTATATTTCGAACGACTTATAAACATGTATTATATCAGTTTATAAAATTATAAATTTTAATTTTAATCTAAAAATGGACACAGTACACATTTCGTCTCTTTTATTATAAATCAAGCGCACACTTTAAACTTTAAGGTATGCGCTTTAAGGCTTAAAATAATCGTAACTGAAAAATTACAATTGATCAATTTACATTTTTGGTGTTTACAAAAAACATGACTTTTCGATTAAGCCACTTCAATTCTAAAGGTGCATACATATAGAATTATTAACTTGACTCTCAGGGTATTAATACAAAGTATTAATTAGTACGATCGGCAATTAAACGTAGAACACTCCGGATCTAAACCGAAATTTAGACTATGACAATGACCAGTATTTTACTTTTACTTCTTCGTGCCTGTTATTATAATAATTTTGAAGCGTTTGTAATTTTTATTAGTTTTAATTTATGATAATTAAATGGCATTTTTAATAATATTTCAATGTTTCTATGTACATGTCTGACAGGACTAGTATCTGAAATAACTGATTTTGAATTTAATTTCCTTTAAATAAAATACAAACTTTGAATTTTGAGAGTGGACGACTGGACTGATCATAATGATACGAAGCTACATTTGAGTCGACTATTATCAAAGGCGGCATCTGACTTTTGGACAATGATTGGTAAATCAGAAAAACGAATTATTGACTTTGTATTCCATTGGCAGTCACAAAACTCTTCGGAACGACATCTTAGATAAATAACAGGTTAACTATTAACCTTTATTTAATGCAGGTTTTGAACCGTATTCTTTGAAGGAGACGATTATATTCAAATCAATCTGTATTGACATATCAATAANCGGCAATCTGACTTTTGGACAATGATTGGTAAATCAGAAAAACGAATTATTGACTTTGTATTCCATTGGCAGTCACAAAACTCTTCGGAACGACATCTTAGATAAATAACAGGTTAACTATTAACCTTTATTTAATGCAGGTTTTGAACCGTATTCTTTGAAGGAGACGATTATATTCAAATCAATCTGTATTGACATATCAATTTTTTTTTTTTGTCCAAATGCACAGATTGCCACCTTTGATAATAGACGACTCATTTATTTTATTTTGTAATTCTACAGTGAACAATAACCACTTAATTTAACCAAGTGAGCCGTGAGCTCCATCCCCGATTTACACAATACAAATTGTTTTATGTTAAAATCCGAATTATTTACCATTTTAAAACATGGATTGGTAAAATTAACAAGCAATTAGTGTCCAAATAAATTTCGTTAGTTTAATATTATAGCATAGAAGCAATTTCTAGAATAAAGTGAACTAGATTACTTACTGTAGTCGACTTTGAGAATATACGGGCCTTTGACGAGTCCACCACCGAACCCTACCTGACTGTGGTCCACGCGCCGATACAACTTGCGGAATGTCGGCAGGGCGGCTGTGCGCATCCACACGATCAAGTCTTCATTCTATTAGAACGAGATCAGAATTTATATATAGTATTTATAAATATGAAGTCGTCGTGGCCTAAAGGATAAAACGTCCGGTGCATTCATATGTAGCGATGCATCAGTGTTCGAATCCCGCAGGCAGGCAGGTACCAATTTTTCCAATGAAATACGTACTTAACATCATGTAGTAAAAATCAAACCCTCAAAATTATAATTTGCGTAATTACTGGTGGTAGGACGTCTTATGAGTCCGCACGGGTAGGTACCACCACCCTGCCTATTTCTGCCGTAAAGCAGTAATGCGTTTCGGTTTGAAGGGTAGGGCAGTCATTATAACTATACTGAGACCTTAGAACCCATTGTGGGTGGCGCATTTACGTTGTAGATGTCTATGGGCTCTAGTGACCACTTAACACCAGGTGAGCTGTGAGCTCGTCCACCCATCTAAGCAATAAAAAAAAGACCACAAATGGACTGGCAACGTTTATGGATTAGACATTATTGTGAATGTTTCATTATTACTGAGTTGCAGATGAAACGCGAGCGAAACAAATGTTTGAGTTTTATTTAGTTAATCACTACATAGTATAATACAAAGTCACTTTCTCTGTCCCTATATCTGTACCTATGTATGCTTAAATCTTTAAAACTACGCAAAGGATTTTGATGCGGTTTTTTTTAATAGATAGAGTGATTGAAGAGGAAGGTTTATATGTATAATAACATCCATTAAATAGTGGAGAAATCAATAATAAATTAGAGTTTCCGAAGCGAAGCGAGGAGGGATTATTATAAAAGAAAAATGTATATCCCATTTGATTCCCACGCAGAAGTATTATATTCACCTACGAATTTCGCGATGAACGAATGATGGTTGTGAGTGAGACCGCGGCTCACTACCAGCTTTTGTTGATTTAGAATATGACTTTACTCGTGTTAAGATGAACAAAAAGTAATATAGATGCCGTGGTGTAAACATAGCATGGTGGTGGTTCATTTTCAACTGTATGCGGCTCGCTAAAGTATATTAACATAACACGTGACCTTGACCTCTTTGGTCGCCCCAATCCTGACCAATTAGGGGCTGACTCCTAAAAGAAACAGGCTTGGGGTTAACGACCGCAGGGAAGACCTTCCACCGTGAAAATGGTTGGTAGATCGACGGCCTGAATGTTATTCGGAACTCATATATACCTAGTCAGGTCATAAATTCTGTCACATGTTTAATGTAAAATAATTGAAACAAGTTTATTCATTATGTAACCATTCATATACCAAAATGAACTTAACAAAACATAGATTCTTATGACACAAGTTTATTCAAAATGACCTCCGTGATTTTGAATACAGGCCTTCAATCTGCGCGGCCAGTCATCTATCGCAGCACGAACGAGGTCCATGTCAATATCGGCAGCTGCCTTAATCAAGGATGTCTTGAGTGACTCCAAATTGGGATGAGGCTTTGAGCACGCCTTTTCCTCCAAGTGTTGCCATATCTTGTAATCTAACGTATTCAAATCTGGACTGGAGGAGGGCCAGTCTTCGTGCCGGATGAAGTCGATTTCACGCGCCGCCAGCCAATCTTGTGTGCTCTTCGCTCTATGAACTGGCGCCGAATCTTGTTGGAATACCCAGTGCCTGTTATTGAACATGGTATGAGAAACAGGTTCCACAAGGTTCGTCAGGACTGTATTTTGATACACAACTGCATTCGTTTTTACACCTTTCTCACAAAAATGTACCTCTGTTAAGCCCCAATAAGAAACTCCCAACCATACCATGAGCGAGGATGGAAAATGACCTCGTTGGACACGCGGAATACGGTTGCTCGCTTCTTCACTACTGTGTGCGTACACCTTATCATTTTGTTTGTTGTAGCTCTCTTCTACGGTAAAAATTTTTTCATCCGAAAAAAGAATTTCCCGATATTTTTTTCCCGCGTACCGCTTCAACAAAGCGCGGCATCTCTTCAGTCTCAGGTCCATTAGACGAGCATTCAAACGATGTCCTGTTTTTCTTCGATATGCCCGAAGCCCTAAGTCTTCATTTAACACCCTTTTCACCGTGGTTCTGCTTAACCCCATCTGAAGGGCCAACAGTTTCTGCTTACGTTTGGGATTTCTTTGAATTCGCGCCTTCACAGCTTTTATCACTGCTGGAGTCCTAACAGACCGAGGGCGACCACTTCTTGACCTGTCATCTACACTAGAGTCTTCATTGTATCGTTTGATGGTACGATAAACGAATCTTTTGGTTATATTCAAATTTTTCAGTATGTTAAAAATTTGAATTGGCGCGTAACCGCAACGATGCAACGCAATAACTGCAACACGGTCTTCTTTAAGCGTCCACTCCATATTTAAAAATGAGTAAAATTCTAAAAGTATACATTTTTATTTTCATGAACAATTCGAAATTCTAATTCAATAAACTTTTTACTGTGTGACAATACTTATGACCTGACTAGTTACATATACTCATATATACACCTATGTAATTTTATCTTGAAAATGTCGTTTAGTGAGATTCAGGCATCCGTCAAATATCTTGTTTTTTTATTATAGCTACCTGCTATACAAGTGATACTTTAGCCCTAAAGCAATCAACATACAATAATTGCCAACACAACCCAGTGAGATAAGATCAAGAAGAATTCTTACCTGAAAACCGTTGTTATCAGGATTGCCGGGATCTAACTGCCAAATGTTGACACGCCAATTCACTGGCTTTGTAAAGTTTGCAAATGCTGTAATAAAAATAACACACAAAAATATATAATTAAAAAGTTTATTCATTTAATAAGAATAAAATAATATCAAGACTATAGACACTGTTGTTGAACGGGTTCTTACAACGATTTTTACATTTAATGGGTTCCCGATATTACACTGTTTATAATGTAGATAGTAGCCACGAAAGTTTAAAGCAATTAGGGATGTCGCGATTTTTAACAGTTTTCAGAAAAATATTTTTTATTTTTTTATTGCTTAGATGGGTGGACGAGCTCACGGCCCACCTGGTGTTAAGTAGTTACTGGAACCCATAGACATCTACGACGTAAATGCGCCACCCACCTTGAGATATAAGTTCTAACGTCTCAGTATAGTTACAACGGTTGCCCCACCCTTCAAATTCTCGGAGATTCGACGGGGTGACTGGTGACGTCAGAGATTGGCGCTACGTTGTTATTACTAAAGATGACATCACCGACGCTGCTAATTACAACTGAGAGCTCGACCCTGTTGGGCTGCTTGGGCCGGAATTAATATTAAGGACCCACAAAGTTGTCATATTGATTTATCGTGCGTAAATATGCAGGTCATTACGTATGTACGATAAGTTGGCTTTTAACTTTTACTTATTTTTACTGCACATTGATCGCTTATTAGTCTTAACTGTTATTACCATAGTACTCCAGAAAGATCTAGTTATTTCCAGACTCGGGCGAACATTAATATGGTGGTAGGCTGTGTAAGAAAGAGCTGACAAATCCTCATAATATTTTTCGTTCAACATACTGAGGAAATAATCTCTTCATAAACAAAAAGGTTCCGATCGATCCGTGAGATAGAGATTATCGATTATCCAAACCTCTTCCGTGGTCAGGGGGAAGTACCATCAAACATGGCATTTTAGCGGTAGGTAGCGGCTTGGCTCTGCTCCTGGCATTGCTGAACTCCATGGGCGACGGTAACCACTCACCATAATGTGGGCCGTGTGCTCGTCTGACTACAAGGGCAATAAAAAAAACATGACTACACTACAGAGTTGGTAGCCACGTGAAATCGGACCTTTGCTACACAGTAGCAACGAATCAAGAGCATCCCATAAAACATATTTAGTTCAATACAAAACGAAAAGTCAACCAAGTGATATTTAGCCGCAAAGGCGTGAGGTAATCACAGCCTTGACCTAATAATTTTATTACAGTGGCAAAGTACCCGACACACCTTGAAGCCTTAGTTCAGACATGATTTTCATGAAAATAAACGGTTCTAGACAAACCCTGCTACTGTTGTTACATGGTTCATCTTTAAAATTATTTATTCAATTCAAATACTAAAGGGTTGAAATTGACAATGATTTATTATTTTTTAATTAAGGATATTAGTCAACCTAGAAATATACCTGTACTTTGTTATATTTCTGCCACAAATCCATCATTCATTATTTTAGTATCTAGGGGTTCCAGTAACTTATTAGCTTCATGTGAATCAAGTTATATGTATCTGCTATTGAAATCCATTGTCAGTAGGTATTATTCTCTAATATTTTTTTATTATTTTTTTATTGCTTAGATAGGTGGACGAGCTCACAACCCACCTGGTGTTAAGTGGTTACTGGAGCCCATAAACATTTACAACGTAAATGCGCCACCCACCTTCAGATATAAGTTCTAAGCTCTCAGTATAGTTACAACGGCTGCCCCACCCTTCAAACCGAAACGCATTACTGCTTCACGGCAGAAATAGTCGGGGCTGTGTTACCTACCAGTGCAGACTCACAAGTGGTCCTATCACCAGTAAATCTAAGCTTAGTAAAGAAAAAAACATAACACATACATGTACCGTGCCAGTTCTACCTACAGAGGTAAAAACAGTAAGTTACCTTCTTCGAGATTGCCTTCTGGGTTCCGGAACTTGGTCCTCTTATCAGATGCCCAGGCAATACCAGTTCGTAGTACAGGAACATCGCCATTCGATTCCACTGAATGCAATGTAAGTGTATCTGCATGGAACAGAAATATTGGTTGACTAGCTGACCCGGCAGACTTCGTAGTGCCTCAATCGAGAAATAAAACCCCTAAGCTTTTGTATAAAATAAACTTAAAACAAACAAAAGTAATCCGTCCGATGGGGGACACATCAAAAGAAAAACAAAATTGTTATTTTTATTTAATTCCGAGCATTCTTTTAATTGTAGCTACCTTTTAAACCTTCTCTGGACTTTCACAAATAATTCAAGACCAAAATTATCCAAATCGGTCCAGACGTTCTCGAGTTTTAGCGAGACTAACGAACAGCAATTCATTTTTATATATTATAGAAATAGAATATAGATATAGATAGAAGAAGAAGATATTTGCACAAATATTGTACACTTTTGTGTTTAATTTCGGTACCTATACTTTTTACTGATAGAAGGAGTAAAATAGTTTTGAAACCGACCAGAATTTTTACATCAGAATGGAAATGTTTATAAGATATTGTGAACACACTTAAAATTATACTAAGTATATTATTATAGTTAAAATATGATTATCATTTACTCTTGTGAAGAAGACATTTATACACATAAACAGTAATTTTTCAGCAACATTTACATATTATATTATTGAGTATTAGAAAAAGGGATACATAAAATTTCAATCCTTTTATGTCAATATAAATATTATTTAAAAACTATAAAACTGTGTATCTCTAGAAAATACAAACGCCATTAAAAATTACCTTGAATAAGTATACAAAACTGAAACTTCATAAAATTTTGTTTTGTTTACCTACATGCATGTAGCTGTTTGACTCAAGGATTTATAGTTCTATATTTAAAAGTGATGTAATATTCGCAAAATTATCAACTTTTATAAATAGGATTTGTAGATCAAAACTATAATAGGCTTAATGTTGAATTAAAATTTTCAAGACTATTAATTCTGTCATTGATTGCAGTGATCAGTGATTCTATACCACTCTGACACGCAAGTGCTGCATAGTTTTACCTTCAAAATTATTATAATTTACATATTTACACTATTAATATAGGCAAATTAACAATTTTAAAACTTTTATATTTCATTGGGTGCAGTCAAATATTAAAATCTTTAACGGAGTGTCAAGGAAAAGTCTAACACTCATAACTCTAGATGCTCTTATGACTCACCTGATATTTTACTGGAACCTACACCTCACAATGTGAATGCTTACTTAAAGGAGCTATTGCCATATTTTAAATTATAATCATTACGTACCATTGAACAAAGAGTTAGCTATAGCTCCACAAGGTGCTATTGGTTTCATTACTCCATTTTCTTCAGCACGTGCAAATGGATCACAATCAGAAGATGGAGTTAATGACAGGCGGCCTAAAAGCTGATTGTCATCCCTGATTCGAAAATGCATTCATATTTATTAATAATAATATAACTTTATTTAACACCACATGTGCAGAGTAAGCATATCGACGCTTGAAAGGAAAACATGACTATGTGACAATGCGTGAACTTTACAGTAGACTAATTTAAAGTTTAAATGCCTGAAAAAAATTCTATTTTAACGAATCTAGTTGTAAGATTTTAGTAGACCTAGAAATATATATTTTTTTTGCGCATCGAATATGGTTATAGCCTATAATTTATGTACAAAGCAGTTATTGTCGCTTAGTCACGTTTGCCTTTCAAGCGTCGATATAAAACAAATAATAGACGGTGACATAAATTGGTGTTGACATAAATATTAATTTTGGAAACTAGTTTATATATTAACATCAAAATTAAAGTCTGAACCTATAACTAAAATATATGTATGTAATTTAAAATACAGCATGGACTTTACTGTTTTGTATATGAATTTACCTTTTAACAATAACTAAGGGAGAGTAAATTATTGGAGTGTATGTGTGCCAATTTTGCATGCTTTACAGCCCTTTAAATAATATATCACGTAAGATATACAGGGTGCCCCAAAAAGGATAAATCAAGAAGACTTCTTTATTGCTTATATGGGGGGACGATCTTACGGCCCACCTGGTGTTAAGTGATTTCCAGAGCCCATAGACATCAAAAATGTAAATGTCGCCCCCCACCTTGAGACACTTGCAAGAGGCTCTACCACCAATTTCTAATTTTATATTAATACTTATTAGTATTCTTAAAGCAGTCAAGTTTTTGTTTTATTTAATAGTTTATATGTTATATAATATATGGAATTGTTAGATAAAAATGTATATACCTGGATTTTACATATCGTCTATGATTCTGGTAATAATTGGTCAGTCCATAATAGAAATAAACTTCTCCTTTGAAGTCCTCAGTAAGATTGAAGGGAAGATGACAAGTGCATATTTCTTCAGTGTTGTTTTTTAAAAAATCTGCACATGTGACGTTCATATCATCTTTCATGCAATAAGTGTAGTCAATAACATGCTCTTTAACCTGTAAGTTATTTATACTTTAATAATAGAAATTTGATATAATTTTATTCTTGAAATTATTAAGAGACTTGAATTCTACTCTGTGACATTGATAACATTTTTTATTTATTTATATCTTTATATCTTTATTAGAGCTATACGCCTATTAGGTTAAGGCTAGTTGATAACATTGAATCAGATAATAACTGGTTTTAAGTTTAGTTTTTTGCTGGGTAAAGCAGGAAGAGAAATATGCAAGTGAGAGTAAGATGAATGTAAACCTTACTAGAAAAAAAAAGCTTCTGTTTGAATCTAGTAGAAATATAGAATTACATCAATATCAGTAGTACCAAATATTTCAAAGAAGCTTTATAGAGTGCTATTAATAAATTCTCATAATACACTGAATAATAGCTAATATAATTCCCAGCCAGCTCTAATTGGTGACGAGTAACGTAACAACGGTCGAAAAACGTAACGTACAAACATACCTCATCAGAAAAATAGAGCAGACCTATCCCGACTGGTATAAAAGCGATTCCGATTACAAAGAACGTAGGTAGCACAGTTCCAGCAGTCAGTATTGGTTGCCATGCAGGTAGACGTTGCTGCTTAAAAGCAGATTCTACAAAAAGCCCGTGTTTTAACAATCAATATATCATCAAGGTTAATTTGGTAGCAAATTAACAGATTCTCTTACCAGCAGGTCGTCTTGACTTTACATTTTGCTCCGACGTATCACTAGACGTCGCCATGGTTTGTTAAGAATTATGCGTATTAATTCGTTTTTTAGGAATTACCAGGTAAAACCAATAAATTAAACTTTCACAGTCATTGCATCAGACAAATTTGATAAAAAATTATGTATGTTTAACACTGAAGTAGGAAATGCTTAGGATACCAGCAATTGACAGTTGACAGTTTTGACTTTTCACTTTCTTATCGGGCTCGGTTTTTTTGTATTATTTTAATCAGCAACAGAGAATCCCATTCTTATATCTATTTTTTTTATATTGTTTGGGATGAATTGACCGCCGTAGATATTGGTTGAGATGAAGTGAACACAATAATTAAAAGATGAAATGAAATGAAATAGCCTTTGAAAAGCATAGGGGGAGTTTATTGAGAGTTAGATAGACTTTTTGGAAACTCCTAATATCACGTTTAATGGCTTCGTGACAATTTCCAACTTGTGTACAGTCATCGATGCTACACGGTTAATAAACCACCGTCATTAGACGTTTAGATGTGCAGAAACAGCAAATTAATCAAATAAAATAGTTTGATACTTCGCGTTTCGGTTAAAAGTATCCAGACCCAAGACTTTATCTGACTTCCAACCAAGTTCGACGAGTACGGTTACCGAGGTTCCTCAGTCTGCTCCTAGTGTTAGAGCTGAAGGTATCTAATGCAAGAGTTATTGGATCTGATGGATCCGTAAGGACGTGTCTAGGGCGACGACGGTGACTTGCTCCTGCGTGATCAGGATTCGGGGAGTAGTCAGCGGCGGCAACGATAAGACGATTACCATGACGGGGTAAAACGTGAAGACATCTATTAGTCTGTGAATTTTACCAAAAATATTTTCATATTTTTTAATGAGATTATATTTCATCACATATCACCTCATTTCCTTTAATTTCATCCCAGTTGATTAATATCTACAATTAGTCATCTTCATTTTATTTCATTTCATTCCATATTATCATTTTTCATAAAAATAAGAATAATTAAAATAAGACATGACCTTAAAGGTCTTAGTTACCGGGTGATAAAAACACTTAAAAAAAGTAGAGTCATAAATATTATGTGGGTTATTTATAAACATAGAACAGACAAGGCTGTATGGGCTCAGATCCCCTTGCCTTTCCTAACAAGGAATGAATAAAAAAAAAATTTCTATGAACTAAGAAACGCACTCAGTTGAAGTTGATTGGTTTTGAATGAGTTTTAATTTCTATTATTTCCAATTTAGAGAGCCTTTAAACTTAATTTAAATATCCCTAATCATTGCTTATTCAGCCACCGCAATTACCGCAAGTTTAAATTGAATATAATATTAAAAAATTGTTGAAAATGTCAAATGAAACAAATAAAACAGTAAGTACTAACTACCATTTTACCGTTTCTAATGTGATAAAGTACACAACATTGCAAAGTTATGTTTTCAATAAAAGTTGTATTAAAATCACAGTAAAGTAGTCAACCTGAAAAAATGAATCAACTTTCCCAATTTTTTCGTACCAACTTATTTTAAGCTACGTTAGTAATGATTCATCATAAACCTTCTAAGACAACATTCTGAACGCTATACGCACTTCTAAATTAATTGGATTAACAAGAAAGATAACTAAACACGGAGTAAACAAACATCTAAATTTAATTAAAATTATAACTCAGTCTTGTCATGTTGCAAATGTTATTTTTCCTGGTAACTTTTGATTTCATTATACAGAAAGAAATAGGATGCTCCCTCTCTTACCACCAAACAAGTACTACACAGATGTCTACTAGTAGTGCCTATAACAAATAGATGTTTTTTAAAAGTACTGTGATTATTTAAGGCGTTTGCCACTAGACATAATTCTACCTTTTTATATTGATTAAAACTTGGGAGAGTCTTCTATCAACATTTTGTTGGGCTTTCCTAGGCTTGGAAATGTCAAAGACAAGTCTGAAAATTATTAGACTTTCATTTTACTTGTATCTATTTGTGGCAATGACCCCGGAACACTTAATCAATATCTCATTTCCTGTATGAGTGAGTCATTTACAAGTAGTGTATGTTTTGGTCATTATATTTTACATTCTGTATTAGTATTCTAAAGTTTGAAGAGAGCATAAGAGTATTCTGAATTTACGCAGTGGCTATATTTATTCTATCTTAGCTCTGCATTGGTTATAAGTGTGAATGAATATTCCTTAAATGTATGTAAGTTCTTTAGTGCTTGAACAGGTGAAAGTAAACAAACTAATAGCTTATCCTGTGTTAAGTGTTTACTGGGGCCCCTAGACATCAACAACATAGATACCGCTACCAACGTTTAGAAATGAGTTTCAAGTCACTCAAACAACGGCTGCCCTACCCTTCAAACTAGGACTTAATACTGCTTTCTGACAGAAATAAGCAGTGTTGTGGTACCCACCTTTACGGGATTATGACATGACGTAGAATTAGTAAATGCCAGTTAGTGGTTGCAGTATGCTGATATGATACTGAGAATGCTGCTGTCTGTCTACCTACTTACAGATTTTGTTCCATAATGTTGAATCTGCTATTTCTTAGAAGAGTGTTTAATAGTCAACAATAAGTATATTTCATTTGCCTTCATAAGACAGAAAAACTGTTAGTAATAACAACAGTATGGTAAAATTATGCTGGTTGTAGGGTTTTTTGTAAGACAGTACAGTTAGATACCACCATCTTGCTTTTAAGAATTATTTCTGTATTTATGTATGCTGTTTTAAATCACTTTACAATAAATTGACTTAGACCTTATGTGTCATACTGGGTGATGGCATTCACAGCACTATGTTTATAGGCTTCAATAAACAATTGAAACATGAGTTTATTACACACACATACAAAAAATATATATTTGAGACTAAACATCTTGATTGCACCATTCACATTATATGGTATCACGGACTTTAACTACCTATTCACTATAATAATAATAAATCACACATTATGTCTTCATTATATCATTTTACTTGTGATATGTTCCGTTATGACTTCTCTAAATTGCCTTATCTTTACATTGACAGTACTATGTAAAAAGCTGTCTTGCGCTGCCAACAATAATTTCCATCATTAATGAATGATTGTAATAAATATAGGACAAAAATATTATATAAATTACATTATTTTTTATTAATACAGATAGATTTCATACATTAAGTCTAATTAATTTAAGAGCTAATTTTGTAGAAATGTTGTTTGCAATATTTTTGTTTTGAAAAAGAATCTTCATACATCCTGCCCAACATAAAAATGTGCATTCTCTTCATTGTGATACTTAAAAAACAAACAAGAACAAAGTGTGTCAGTTGAATTGTGTCAGTTAATCGAAGTGAAGACTGAATACCAGATATGTGTGTTACTTGTGACTATCATACATAATTAGCTACAACCAATTTTGCTTACATTCGATTTACAACTAGAGAAAGTTTCTTGAATAAAAATTAAATAAAATTAAAGTAAAATATTACTTTTGTAATTTTGATTTAAAAAAAAAGAAAACATTAAGTGGAATGACATTTAGAGACGGCTTTCTTTGTCCAAGACTAATATAAAGAGTGATCAAAATATTATGTCAACAAATGATAATATTATTATATATTGATGTCATGTCCATATTTAGTAAAGCAAACAAGCAAGAAAGTTAAATTAAAAGGAACACACAGTGTTGAAAAAGAATGTTGAAGCGTAAGAAATTGGTACATTTGGTAAAAGTACAAATATTATTTTCCTTGTACAATATTCTTTCAATAACTCTCAATAAGCTATATATATAGCTAGCTATATGGTTCATTTAGTTATTAGTAATTAATTAGACTCACACAGCCGGCGGGCTTGGTATAGCTCGCCGACGGTAAGACCCGACTGTCGTGGCGCTGACCAACGCTGGTTTCGTATTCAATGTGGGCAGGGTAAGAGATGTACTCCGCCCAAAACTCGTCGTTTTGCCTTCAGTACATTGTGGTCTAATTCTCTCCCGTCTGAACTCGGACGCGGATTGTTGACCGATAGGGGGTTCAGGAGGGACAATGGTCGGTTGAACTTCGACATGACTCGCCTATCGCACCTAACACACTTAGGCGAAAGACCAGCAATTTCCTCCTGACCATACAAAAAAATCCATGCTATGAAACAGGAATGCAGATAAAATGAGACCTAACTATTCTGCCTTAGGATAAATTTTTACTGTCATCACGGTCAATGCCGAATTAATTTGCCCTGTTGCATACTGTGTCAAATGATGAATTAAAATTCAAAGTACACTCTGACTGCAACGTAATTAATATAACGACAGGTTCTAGATGATGATGCTCAATTTTTCTACAATGATAGATACAACAAGAAACTGCAAACATGTTTTTTTTCCCCAGATTTTCCCCTCTATTGTTCTCCTCGAGAATAATCTCGATGTAGATTTATACTTTCTGACATTATCCGTTAATCGTTTTTATTTACAGTTCTCAAATCTGGAAACACCTGGTTATGTTGGATTTGCCAATCTGCCTAATCAGGTACACAGAAAATCTGTAAAAAAGGGTTTCGAGTTCACCCTTATGGTGGTCGGGGAAAGTGGACTGGGCAAATCTACTCTGGTCAACTCTTTGTTCTTGACCGATTTATACCCTGAACGAGTAATCCCTGATGCTACTGGTAAGCAAGTTGAAGAAAAAACTTGGAACTTTAGTCAAGTTTCATTGTAACTAATTTCTAATATATCATTGAAATACGTGCTTTCGTAGCTATCCTCTTCATATCCTATTCTCTTTAGTGGTAGTAGGACGCCATGTGAGTCTGCACGAGTAGGTACCAACGTCCTGTCCATTTCTGCCATCAATAGTAATGCGTTTCGGCTTAAAAGATTGAGCAGCTGTTGTACTTGTAATTACTGAGACTTTAGAACTCATGCCCAGGTGAGTAGTGGCATTTACGTTGTCGATGTATATGGGCTCTGGTAACCGCTTACACCAGGTGATCTGTGAGTTCCATCCACCCATCCAAGCAATAAAAAAATAGTAGCTATTCCCCCTTTTTAAGAGAGTTTAATAGTTTGATTAATAATAAAATGTTTTCCTATGAATGATTAATAGTAGAATCTGGCTAGTGAAACACTTGTGACATGTGCAAATCGAGAGTGTTGTAAACAATTTTTTTTAAACAGTCCAATCAGTGTTTTAAATTGTTACAGAGAAAACAAACCAGACCGTGAAATTAGACGCATCGACGGTCGAGATAGAAGAGCGCGGCGTGAAGCTGCGTTTGACCGTCGTGGACACGCCCGGCTACGGAGACGCGATTGATAACACGGATTGTTTTCGAGTGAGTCTACAGCAACGGTCGGGGAACTTTTTTAATTATTACCCCAAAATATTTTTGTCTAAGTTGATATTACCCCATGGCGAAGAACAAAAAAAAAAACAAAATTGCTTCTTTTTAGTATCTTTCATATTATAGGCCCCATGATAATTTTGAAAAGAAAACAATAAGTAAAAATTTAACGATTCTAAAGAAGTTTCACTTAAATGTATATATTTTTCTCACAAGTTTCATTTTTACCTCACAAAATTTCATTTTACCCCATTTGGGGTAATTTACCCCGGTTCCCCGACCGCTGGTCTACAGTCATTCATGGACTTACAAAAAGCTCTTATTCATCGACTTTGGAGGTCAAGAAACAAATTGTCAGAAATGAAAACATAAGTTCATTTAATAATATAATGTAAATCATCTTGCTTCGTGACTGTGATTCCGAGTCTTTCTAAATATATAATGATTAAACTAGTAGTAGTAGGTAGTAGTAATGAGTAGTCGGCCATTAAATTTTTTTAGTATCACACCAGGCATTCATGTGGATTTTGTAGTTTCCTTTTTTATTCACCGGAAATACTCGCAAGCATAATCATTTATCCAAACCGCATTGAGCAACTTTAAATATTATTACATATGTACTCGAACGCCTACCGCCAGTGAAACATTTAAAAAAAACACAGATTTCTATTAATAGATAAATGTTTCTGAAACTACCATGTGTAGTGGTGGCTACATTGAATGTGGTACATTGAACTTTCCGTAAGTAATCGTTTCTGTATTCAGAGATAGCGATGGTGACTAATGTCTCGACAAGGACTTTGTTTAAATATGCAGTTGTTTGCCTTGTTAATAATGTGGCGTTAATCGTTCATATATGTACTAGTGTGATGTGAGACCTGAGAGAGATTAATATTAATTTTAAGAGATTAATATTATTCTGAAGTTGTCGTGGCCTAACGGATAAGACGTCCGGTGCATTCGTGTTGAGCGATGCACCGCACCGGTGTTCGAATCTCGCTGGCGGGTACCAATTTTTCTAATGAAATACGTACTCAACAAATGTTCACGATTAACTTCCACGGTGAAGGAATAACATCGTGTAGTAAAAATGAAACCCGCAAAATTATAATTTGTGTAATTACTGGTGGTAGGACCTCTTGTGAGTCCGCGCGGGTGGGTACCACCGCCCTGCCTATTTCTGCCGTGAAGCAGTAATGCGTTTCGGTTTGAAGGGTGGGGCAGCCGTCGTAACTTTACTGAGACCTTAGAACTTATATCTCAAGGTGTGTGGCGCATTTACGTTGTAGATGTCTATGGGTTCAAGTAACCACTTAACACCAGGTGGGCTGTGAGCTCGTCCACATACCTAGGCAATAAAAATAAAAAAAAAGTAAAATCAAACCTCAATATCTCCATGCTAACTGTTCTATGTTAAGCTTAGGCCACTTTTGCGCTGACGACTTCAATTAAAATAATTTCTTCCGGTTTCTCGAGTCATAGACGATACCGCTTCTACAGTTTAAGCCCGCGTTTTTAATATCATTAAATTGTTTCCATCTTTTGGAATACTTTACATGCTTAGGAGAGACATAGAACAATTTTTTTATCATAACATGAGTCCAGATCATTGAAATCGTTAATGAAATAAAAACTTAGTGTTGACATAATAAGGGCTCAACAATTATTTATTCGAGGAGGGGGCGTTTTAACTATACTGAGACCTTAGAACTTATATCTCAAGGTGGGTGGCGCATTTACGTTGTGGATGTCTATGGGTTCCAGTAACCACTTAACACCAGGTGGGCTGTGAGCGAGTCCAACCATGCAAGCAATAAAAAAAAAATCTTACTTTTTTCTTGATACAAAACAGCATTAAAATACACTTTAAAAGTCCTCTGCAATAGGTATTAAAATTTATAGTAAATATCCTGTTACTCCATATAATTTTTAGTTTTAATGTGGTTAATGGATCAACAAAAAGTTTTTCCGGCTGGATTCTATTTTGTTTTCAACTGCAATAAGAAATGGGGATGACCGTAATAAGTCTCAGAAATGAACAGTAATTGGATCTCAGGGCAAACTTTAAATTGCATTCAATCCAAAAAATAACAACGCCTTGCTATATTTAAGAATTTAACATCCTTGGGCCCGCGGTCCGCTTCCAACATTATGCAGACCATCAAAATCTACATAAGCTGCGCGCTCCCTAGGCGTGGAAACCTCAGCCCCCTGCTCTCAAAAAATACAAGTTTTCTGTACCCAAAGAAAAGGTTATTCCGACGTTCAATACTGGTGGAAGGACCTCTTGTGAGAGTAGGTACCACCACCCTGCCTATTTCTGCCGTGAAGCAGTAATGCGGTTCGGCTTGAATGGTGGGGCAGCCGTTGATACTTGAGATCTTAGAACTTATACCTCAAGGTGGGTGGCGCATTTAAGCTATAGATGTCTATGGGCTCCGGTAACCACTTAACACCAGGTGGGCCGTGAGCTTGTCCACCCATCTAAGCAATAAATAAATAAAAGCTACCTTCGTAACACGGTCTGGTATCAAGATACGATAATAAACAAATCTCTAGATTAATAAAAAATAATCCAAGTTTTCTTTATTTTTCTCAGTCCATAATTCAATACATTGACGAGCAGTTCGAAAGATTTCTTCGAGACGAGAGCGGCCTAAACCGTCGTAACATTGTGGACAATCGTATTCATTGCTGTTTCTACTTCATATCACCGTTTGGACACGGGTGAGTTAGTTTTTCGAATAGTGTGAGCCCAAGCGGTCATTTTAAGTCCTGCTAGCTTAAAAACCTCGGCGAGGCTGATCGCGGCGCTAGCCGACGTTTTACTATAACTAGTGGTCCCGCCGTAGTCGAAATTCGACTATAATTAATTGAAACTTTAAGTTTGTACTTATTATGATTTTAATGTAAAAGACTATTTATTATACTTCTGTAATCACAAATTTCGTCAAGACTACACTTCAGACAAATATTAATAAAGACAAACAATCTATTCTCAATGTGACCACAGACTTTAAGCAATAAGAAAAGTTTGAAAATAAACAAATAGTATGCATGCGTTTGTGTATTAAATACATGGTAGTGTGTATAATGTTTTTTTTTATTGATTTAATATATTTTTTATGCATAATTAAAAACAAATTTACATTCTGCACTCCTCTATAGGTGTGGAAAATTTCGTACTCCTCCGTCCGCACAATTTTCATAATAAGGGGTACAATATTTTTCCTCACGTATTAATATATAGATAAGATGGGCTTAATATTTTCTGCGGATTTTTGGTAAAAGAGCTGGTGCTCTAGATATAACATAATTTAAAAAAAACTACATACTTTCAAATTTCGAATCTACTCATTTTCGAGAAAAGAGATTGTAATGATTTGTTAATTTTTAACCAGGTTAAAGCCTCTTGATATTGAGTTCATGAAACAGCTGCACAACAAAGTTAACATCGTACCGGTTATCGCCAAAGCGGACTGTCTCACTAAGAAAGAAGTTCAGCGACTGAAATCTAGGGTATGATGTTTTAATGTGCTCTAAGAATTTATGTTCAGTAGAAAACTATGGATCAATTTATTCAGTTGCTATAAAATACGTTTCAAACTATGGATCTGAAGTTGTACAACACGAACATTTAAGCTATGTGCCAATTAATGCATATCAGTTCAGTTAATAAAAAAAATGCATTGATTTTAATTTTGTGAAATAAATACTTGTCTCATTATTATCAGTTTTTGTAGTATTGTTTACAAACTTCTTAGAGGAACTTTCTCTTTAGTAATTCCATTTAGAATACATTGCTCGTTGAAAATACATATTCAACTAGTTTTTTTATTTTATTTTACTCAAATCTTGAAGTGTGTACATTTAAATAAATAATCTGATACAAAAATAATACTCGTTAAGGTTATGGAAGAAATCGAAAGGGAAGGCATAAAGATATACCCGCTGCCCGATTGCGACAGTGACGAAGACGAAGATTACAAAGAACAGGTAATAATAATATACCGGTATTAACAATAATAATTTTACCTAACGATACCATAACGTTTGCTATAGTTTTTTTGCATTCACCACACAAAGAGGGAACTTAAACTAATACGGAGTGGAAACGTTTCTAAAGCCGGAACAGCATTAAAGTGCATTATTATGGTTTTTTTTGTTTGATTAATTTCAATCATTTTTATTATTATAGCAATCACATTTTCACAACAATCTATCTGTAACATATACTTATAAATCTCCGATAACGCATTAAAAAGACTAGTGCTTTCATTTTCTGAAAGGCTAATGTCATAATAATTCAATTAATCGGGATTTAATTCGTATTTTATATACTGTGTTTTATTTAACTACTTCAATTATTGTATTTTCAAAAATCCTTGATATGTTTGTAAATTTGATGTCTTGAAGTTCATAATGCTTAAGTTGGGAAACCATATGGTTCCTAAGGAACGTGGATCTCCATGATGACCTGGAGCTTTACTCAGTCAGTAAGTATCTACAGACGCCATCATTGTGCCACTTTGAGAAGGCGGCACGATATGAGAACCTTCTTGTCGTGGCTGCTGGGGATTTATACCCGATCCTGTAGACCGAATGGTAAATAGTCGACGTCGCCCAAAACACGTCATTACGGATCCTTCCGATTCGTTAACGGTGATTTTAGGTACCACAAGCACCGGTCACCGTCCTCGCCGAACCCGTCGCTTGCGACGAAGGGCTCTGCGAGTAAATTAACCCTCAGACACAGCCCACTGAGTTTCTCGCCGGATCTTCTCAGTGGGTCGCGTTTCCGATCCGGTGGTAGATTCTGCAAAGCACGGCTCTTGCTAGGGTTCGTGTTAGCAACGTCATCAGGTTTGAGCCCCGTGAGCTCACCTACTAGTTAAGGTGACGCTGATCGACGCCCTCAAGGCTATCAGCTTAGGTAGGAAAAAAAATATCTCAGTAAGTTAGTGCTAAACCCACGGTTCTCAGGTCCGCCAGCTGAAGGAGGCGGTGCCGTTCGCAGTGTGCGGCGCGGGCCAGCAGCTGGAGGTGCGCGGGCGGCGGGTGCGCGGCCGCCTCTACCCCTGGGGAGTCGTCGAGGTCGAGAACCCTGAGCACTGCGACTTCATCAAACTCAGGACCATGCTCATGTAATTTATTTTATCTTATTGGCTTCGAACAGACGCTCTGAGAAGAGGCCTCATGGATCGTTTGGAATCTCTGCGTCTGCGGTGGTACTTCGGTTCCCTCTGTGTTGTGTACCGTATATTCCATGGGCGGAGTAGAGTTCATTTATACTACCTGGAGCCACTGCGGTCATCCACAGTGCGTTTCCAGAGATATTTATGCCACGTACCATCCGGCTATGGAATACTGATTTTGTGTAGGTCATTGTAGAACTGCAATTACTATAACATAGACGTTCGCACGATGAGACGATTCGCAAATGGCATACATGCTAACACCGAAATCTCACTGTAACTAGAAATAGAGACCAATCATCGAAATTAGTGATTTTGTTACCGACTGTACGCAATATGTATCGCCATTGATTGTACATTGATTGACATGTAACCATTGATTAATTTTAAATGTTTTAGTACCCACATGCAGGACCTCCAAGAGGTCACACAGGAAGTTCACTATGAGAACTATCGTTCGGAGAGACTCGCCCGCACCGGCCAAGTTCCGAAACGCCACACGTGAGTGTTTGCAACTCAAATGCATGTTTAAATACTTTTATAGCAGATAGAAGATAGTTAAAAAGAAGAAAATGAAATAGGGTTTATTTTATTACTGGATAAAGTGAGACGAGCTCACAATCCCCTGGTGTAAAGTGATTACTAGAGCAAATAGATATTATTGGCATACCGTATAAGTCTGGAAATTAGATCACATGACTGCAGCCAGTACAAATACATAGTATGGTGGTACCTATCCTTATTTCGGTAAGTTAGTCGGAGCCAAATGAATTATAATAGAATAATTTAAAACCAGTGAAACTGCAGAACCTAAGGTGACTGCCCTTAGGGGGAGCCTAAAGACTATGGACCCTCGTGACATTGTAATTCAACAAATGAAGTATTAATATCAATTTTATTGAAGAAGTTAGGATATTTTTTATGTTCAAAAATTTACTAAATTTCATTCCTTCAGATACAGTATTCTGAAGCAAAACAATGCATTATCTCTAGATGTGATTTCTTAAATAGTATTCTTAAATTGTCGTTTACTAGGTCAACTGAAAGCGGACTTAGTGAGGCGGACTCTGCGCTCACCAATGGCTCCGCGGAAGACTCCACCGAGCGCGAGCGTGCCCTACGTGAAAAGGTGAAATCTACCAACACCTTCATATTGTTAGTGTAGAATCTACCATTCTACCAAGTCACTCAACCAATTTGGTGGCAAACTGTTACCGGAGACCATAGATAACGCTACAATTATGACTTCACATACTGACTCAGAGATGTAGACTTTTTTACTAAAAAGTTACGTTATCTATAATCTAAAACAGATAGTCAAGGCACTAGAGGGAACTTTGATTAGTATTAAGAAAACTACTGGACGAAATAATAGTACTAGCATAACAAACAGACTTAATAATAATTTTAAGATTTTTAAGAGTTCTGGAAAACAAATCAAAATTGTTAGTAATAATTAATAAAATAAACTTTAATAAATTAGAATTGAAAATAGTGTAAGAAAAAAGCGTGGGTGCTTTTCAGGATATTATTAAAATAACCCCTCTACTCATATCTGTTCATAAAATATTTATAACTACTGATACTATCTATTCCACGCTTTTTTTTACAATAAAATCATTTTTTATTACACTATTTTTAATTCAAATTTATGAAAATTTATTTTCTATTTTTTAGTAGGATTTTCTATAAAAGCGTATTTTGTTAGTTTTTTTAAACTATTATTTATTTTTCATTTTTTAGTTGAATTTGAATTTTTTCAATATTTTTTTTAAATGTTGAGTAGTCATCAGTCCTTAATAAGTATACCAAATTTTGAGTTAATCCAACGTTTTGGAGGAGGTCAAAATCATGTTCAAAGATTCCGTTACAAGTTAAAGTAAGGCTATTGATTCGTTTTGCAGGAGGCAGAATTACGTCGCATGCAAGAGATGTTGGAGCAGATGCAGCGGCAAATGCAATTGCAGGCCGCCGGTGCTACCACCGCCACCTCAACCACTGCATAGTGTACGCTAACGGCGCAGGTACTATATTATTCGCTCTGTTTTTATTATCACTTTTACGGAGAAAACAAATTCAGCTGCAGCACTGTAATCAATGACTAATGTATTTAAGTATGACTAAAACTAACTCTTACTACCTACTGGTGGTAGGACGTCTTGTGAGTCCGCACGGGTAGTGTTTGAATTCGGAACGACAAAAGTGTCAACGAGCGACGTCCGCTATGACACTTTCCCCTTTCAATTCCAGCCGCCAAGGGCGATGCATCGATTTCATATCTATCTTCTAATATATAAAATTCTCGTGTCACAGTTTTCGTTGCCATACTCCTCCGAAACGGCTTGACCGATTTTGATAAAAATTTTTATGCTTATCTGGTATCTATGAGAATCGGCCAACATCTATTTTTCATCCCCCTAAATGTTAGGGGTAGTCCACCCTTAAATTTTTATTTTCATTTTTTAGACAAAATTTTTAATTTCTATATTTTTATGATACAACATACAAAAATACATACAATCCTCAATTTTCACCCCTCTACGATCAACCCTTATTTTTTATTTACTAATTAAAAACTTAAAATTTTTTTGCGAGAATTTTGTTTTTATTTTGTCATGACGTAGAATAAAAAAATTCATATTACTCTGAAATTTTCACCCCTCTACGATCAACCCCTATTTTTTATTTGTTAATTATAAACTAAAATTTTTTTGGCAAGATTTTCATTTTTATTTTTATTTTGTCATGAATTAAAATAAAAAATCTGATGTTACTCTCAATTTTTCATCCCTCTATGATCAACCCCTATTTTTTATTTGTTAATTATAAACTTTAATTTTTTTGGCAAGTTTTATATTTTGTTTTGTCATGACTTAAAATAAAAAAATCATATTACTCTCAATTTTCACTCTTATACGATCAAGCCCTATTTTTTCATCCTGATTAATATTTTTTTTATTCTATGCACAGATCCGCAATAAGGTTGCAAGATGGCAATCAAATATTATAATTGAATTGTAGTACGATAAATTCTTATTCAGAGTTTATAATAATTATGATTTTTTTTAAATTGAATTTGATCTCCCGCCCTCTCCGGTCGACTACTGATCAACTATCAATCGATCAGCTATCCCCGCCAGGTGTCACCACTCATCCAGCAAACATCACGTAGTAGGGATGAGGACGAAGCCGGTCTCCTGTCTTACTTACTCACTATACATCATAGATTATACACTTAATATATTTGAAAGCTATACAATACTATACTTTTTCAGCCATGTTTTTTTGGTTTTGTTTGTGTATCAATAGTATGTTCAGTAAGTCTGAGAATCGGCTACTATCTATTTTTCATACCCCTAAGTGAAAAGGGTTGTCCACCCCAAACATTTCTTTTTTATTTTAATTTGTTGGATTTTTTTTTGTTTATTAGGTATTATGTGGTTAAATGGGGGTTTTTTTCGACAGTAGAATTTCCCTAGAAATCTTATTTAAGGCAACACAACGTTTGCCGGGTCAGCTAGTACTAATATATAAATCTACAGTGGTTTTTACTGATGTTCCGTTATAACTACTGAACCATGCATCCGATGACTTGAAACGTGGTATTCATGTAGAGAATACATGTACTTAATGGATAGGCTAATATTTATATGAGTGTTGGACTCCCTACACCAATTGCGGAGGCGATAATGATGAGAATCTTTGTGGGGGTGAGAAATAATAATGTTAATTTTAAATGGCCAGCGAAGCGAACGGGTACAGCTAGTATTCATATATCTTTAATTTGTTACATAAGGACTAATAAAGATATCCAAACAAATAAATACAGTCCACTCTCATTTACCATAACGCAACAGGTAGGTACCACCATCCTGCCTAGTTCTGCCGTGAAGCAGTAATGTGTTTCGATTTGAAGGGCGGGGCAGCCGTTATATTGTTAAAAGAAACCTTACAGCTCGTGTTTCGAGATGGGTGGCGTTTACATTGTAGATGTCTATGGGCTATGGTAACCACTTTAGATCAAGTGAACCGTGAGATCGTCCAGCAATCCAAACAAAAAAAATACTGTAAAAAATACATGAAGTAAGGACTGCCTGCACTTGAATTAATTTATGTTTCTATTTACAGTGGGACACACAAATGTTTCGGCTGCCTGACATGTGCGACGTGGTCAATTCCATACTGCGCGCCATTCCCTACTGTGCTACTTCCACTTGACTGTACACTATGACGATATCATTTAAAGTATGGCAAATGTTAAAAATGTCTCAAAAAAATTTATTATGCAATGACTAGGTACGAGGGGCATTTTGAAATTCTTTGGAGTCTCTATCGATTTGGTACCTTAAATATGACTTTATTAAAAGCCATGTCATGACATTTTTACATCATTTGCGTTGAAACAAGTTTATCTCCTCGTCATTTTAAGGATACTAGAGTATTAAAATTTTATCTCAAATAATTATTTTATAGATGTTTTTATAGATCGAATATTTCTCTCTATTGTAGTTGTCTAAGATAAACTATACGTAAATTCAATGATACATTTGAATCTAGCACATGGCTTGGAAGTTTTTTGGATTTACTTTGACGAAATTGAATTGATTTTAAAATAATAAACATACCATAACCTGGTAGACGAAATATGTTATTTAGACATATACTGTAAGTTCTTTATAAGATCTAATTAATAGTGATCTGATGTTTGATTGTATTCATTATTCTCGTGCCATTGTCGACTTTTTATTTCGTATTTAAACTCTTGCATGAAATATTTTCATTGATCCCAATAATTGTATGTACTTAATAAGTATCTAAACTGTAGTAAGGAGAGCCAAATCGGATTATCTGCGTTTTTTTTTTGTAAAATATCCCTTTGCCACAAATAATATTGATCTGGTCCCACTTTAAAGAAGAATTAAGCTTAGAAATACTATATATATAGCATTTATGGCGTTCGCATCTAAAGGTAATTTGGTAAATTAACTTATACTTAAAAAAATCAGCAATGTCACTAGCGTATTACAGCATCGCATATATTGCTGTAGACCTCACATCCCCTTATTCAAAGTTTATGTGAGAGACTTGTAAACTCGAATAAAAACTATTTTAGATTATAATAAATGTATCATCTCAATTTTTGATACCTACTAATAGTGGTGATGACGTTTATTTCCTTTTTAAAATATGTTCACAAAATATTTAATATTGCAGAAGACAAAGTTATTATTCTTCCATTTAGATTTGAGTTAGTAAGTATCAGAACATTTTAATTTCGTGTTAACATTAAGAGAATATTTACTCTATTTTATATCATCATTTTAGTATATTGTGTTGTTATTTAATGAGTGTAATGCAATATTTTATCGGATGTCCATTACAAGACTGAAGTTGTGAGTGAATATGATTGGTATAATAATTTCTTGAATGGTACTTAATAGTTTGAATCATTCTGTTACAAACCCATTCCCTATTGGTGCATTTATATCCTAGTTGATGTTAATAGAACAACGATTTCATAGTTTCTTGTAGGATTAACATGATTCTAACTTTCAAATTCTAGATTCTAGATCGGTGCCAAAGTTGGTTATATTATGAGGTTTGCTAAGTAAAGTTTGTGATCGGATGTAGTAGATTTGAATTATTTCACTCGTTAGAGAAAACCTATTAGAAAATTAAATGTAATGAATGAATACTCTTATGTAATCATATTTTTATAAAATAAAGAGTTTCTAACTAAAGCCATTTATTTTACTGTCCTGTATATTATTCTGTTATAACGCATCGCCAAAGAGGAAAGTAACTATATTATAAGTGTCCGCTGAAAGAGAGAAAATTGAGGCGGCGCTATAGTAGCAAGTGGAAAGATTAAAAAAACTGCATCATAAACTATCGCTACCACTTTCACTTACGTAACTTGCGTTCCGTCATTTCCACCTGCGAGATGGTGGACTCAATAATCTGTGGATGAACTTACAAAAGTCAATCGTGTGCCCAGCGACACGGTATAAGTAACGGTCTTTTGGGCTCTTCAAGCACCGGGCATCGTCCTCGTCTTGGTTCATGGCAGACCACTGAGTATCCCCCCGGATCATCACAATGGGTTGCAATTTCGGTCCAGTGGTAAATTCTGCGAAGCAAGCACTGCTTCTACTAGGGCTGGCGTTGACAAATTCTCTCAGGCTGAGCCCGTGAGCTTACCAACCAGTCCATGCGAAGCTAAATATAGGCCCGCATTTTTTTTTTACCTGTGCTGATAAACTTGAGAGGCTATTTCAGCTTCGCCCTAACATGTAGGTGAGCTCATGGGGCTCAAACCTGACGACGTTGCTAACATGGATCCTAGCAAGAGCCGTGCTTCGCAGAATCTACCACTGGATCTGAAACGCGGCCCACTGAGAAGATCCGGCGAGAAACTCAGTGGGCTGTGTCTGTGGGTTAATTTACTCGCCGAGCCCTTCGTCGCAAACTACGGGTTTGGCGAGGACGGTGACCGGTGCTTGAGGTACCTAAAAGCATCGTTAGTGGATGGGGAGGATCCGTAATGGTGTGTTTTGGGCGACGTCGACTGCTTTCCATTCGGTTCGCAGGATCGGGAATGGACTTTAGCCCCGTAGGCCACCAACCCGGTATATATATCTTATCTATGCCACTAGCAAATAGGTAGGGAAAAAAAAAGAAGATCCAAGTAGCTGTGACTCATTACCACCTGCGATAATTATAAGGTGAGACGCCTTCTACCACATTTACAGGCAACAGTATAGCCAAGGTAAGCATTGGAGTTTTGAGATTTTATTAATTTAGAGATTCTTTAGATCAGATTCTTCAGATAAACCTCAGGTCTGACCATTGGTGGTTTGTTCACTGTCTAATATTTCTAAAAGTCCACAAATATTGGAAAAAGGAACAAAATCTCCCAAATATTTTCTAAAAAGTTAATCCAATTTTCAATAATTTTCACTATTTTTCTGTAAGTATGTTTAAGTTCACAATTTGTTAATTAACCCGTTTTTCTTAAATTGCATGATAAGTAAATTCGATAGCTTCTCGGGATCTTCCAAAAAGTCTACGTAAAAAATCATCATTTCACTGAGACTATATTTTATCGCATATCATGTCGTTTCATAATTTTATCACAATTGAGTAATGTCTCAAATTAATCAACTTAATTTCATTTCGTTCCTTTTAGTTTTTATAAAACAGAAAATACAAAAATTAGGTTGTATGGTCGGATTTCGTTGCCTTTCCAGTTAGAAAAATGGAACCACTACTTTATTTTGACAATTGACAAATACCTCCACAATCACATTCTGCCAATCGCCATTATTCGTTCGTTTGTGAATTTAACAAATACAAAACTACACAGTTATTGATTACTCTCGTGTGATAAACAATGGCGATAGTAGAAGACGAAATTCAGAACGGTTCTGAAGGGGAAAATGAAATTGAAGTTGTGGTTGAAGAAGATGATGGCGACCAGGATCCAGATTCTGATGTAAGCTATTCTGATTTTAATTTACAAAATGATACTTTGTCTGTATTTCAAGTTAATTAGCCGGTTTTCATTTTAATACATGTGATTCTACGTTTTACCAAAGCAAATTATAATTTGTAATTATTAACTCCATTTAAAAATACAAATTGAACCTAATTTTGAAATCATAATACAATGTATCATAATAGAATGTAAACATGTTTTGTATATTTGCTTTCTTTAGTATGTAGCTGTACAAACTTAACTATAAAAATATCTACCTTATTGTGACACCAATAGCATATGTAAAGGGAAGTTTAAACAAATAAAAAAAATGAAATTTTGGTTCATTGTTTTTTTTGTTTATATTTTTTTAGTTTTTTATTACACAGATAGGTGGACGAGCTCACTGCCCACCTAGTGTTAAGTGGTTACTGGAGCCCATAGATATCTACAACGTAAATGCGCCACCCACCTTGAGATATAAGTACTAAGGTCTCAGTTTAGTTCCAATGAATTGGAATGAAAACGTAAACTCTGCTAATAATTGTAGGCACAAATGTCTAGATGTAAATTAAGTTTTGGGTCAATTTAAAGATAATATAATATAAAAGTATTTTCTTCATTTTTCAAAGGTCATAGATATAACTAAAACTTCTTTTATGATTTAATCGAGCAATTTAATGTCTAAAGCTTAAACTCCACTGGCATTTTGCAAATTTCACTTTCAGCAACAGGATGGACTCAACATATGCACTGTTAATCCCTGTGTTTCTAAGATATTTGTCTTATTCCTATGCTTCAAATACAATTCAGTTACATTTTTCATGGACACACAAGATAAAATTTATCAATAAATAAAATGAGAAACGTATAACTATTAAACAATGTTAAAATATATATAGTAAAATAATTTTCTGTGCTTATAATATTGTTATTATAACCCCACAGTTGCTGTCAAGAGGGTTGGATGTCCAAAATAAAGTTTTAATATAATCTAGCCAGTTGCTTTACAGTCTTGAAAAAAACGTTTTATTGTTATAAAATTTGTAGTTAGCATACAGGGTTGGGATGACACGGTTGCCTTGAATGAAAACACAACCCTTACTAATTAAAAATAAAAACATAAGATTTTAACAAAATAAGGAAATGAGAAGGTATTCAAAGATAATATATTGTTTGTATATGGTCCTCAAGTAATTGATCTTTTTTCTCAAGCAGTGTCCGACTTAATCTCATTAATTGAGTTTGAAAACATTTCCCGGCAATGTTTTTTATTTGTGATCATAATTCCATCAAAATTGACCAGCATTTATTGTTGAAGCCACATATTAATAAATAGCAAGAATTTCGTTGTGCACCTAATACATAAGTTTCACAAAATTATAAAGTTTATTACTATCTTCTTAAATGTAATTTACTGAGCTCATTAAATTATAATTCAAGGAAGTGAATAATTGAGAATATGGTCATGTGTATAAATTATTGAAACATAATCGAGTGATACAAGAAAAACTATCTTAGTAACTAGTTATTTCAAACCTCCAAGGAGTGTGAATATTTATTATAACTTGTGCAATATCCAAGCAAAGTAAAAATTGAAAATGTTTACAATATTCAGAAATAATAAATTTTAGGATGAAATATTGGAGATGGGAGATTGGCAGAGGAAAGTGGCCGAATATGAACACAAAATCACATTACATCCTTTTAATTATGATGATCACATTGAATTGATCCAGACTTTGTGGTAATTATTATATTGAATTTCTCAAATAAGTTTTTTTTTTAATAATTTGTTCCTAAAATGTTTTGATCAGAAATTTTCCTTTAATCAAATTTAATATTACTTCATTTAGAGCGGGGAATCCCAAAGTGTTTCAAATCTTGTTTTTTTATTAAACATGTGAGTTAGAATTTTATAATTTATAGATATGTATTTGCCAAAAACAAAGCATATCAAATTTTCAGGCGTCTATCGGAACTGGGGCAATGGCGAACGGCGTTTGAAAGATTATGGGAGATGTCAGTTATAAAAGTTGATCATTGGCTCTTGTGGCTCCGAACAGAAGAGAATATTTCACAGTCTGAAGAACTAATTGCCAATTTATTCTATAAGGCAACCTGTGATTGCTACTGTGAGTACATTTAACTTCAGAACATTTAAATTCTAACTGCTTTAAAAACGAAATATTTCGGTGTTTTAGTTATTCTAGCTATTCAAGTACTTTTTCTACTTAACCAGACAAAGCTTACCTTACTGTGAGTGGTAACAATTGCTCATGGAAATCACCAATGCTGGGGCAGTGGCCTGGATCTGAATACTTACTTCACTGGTGGTAGGGTTCTGTGTAGAAGCCCGCCCGGGTTGGTACCACCGTCCTGTCTATTTCTGCCGCAAAACAGTAATACTGTGTTCCGGTCTGAAGGACAGGATAGCCGGTGTAACATACATAAGGCTGCCCATCCAGGCCAGGATAGGCAGCGCATCTGAGTCACTGATGTAGTTTGGATGTCTATGGGCGACGGTTATCATTTCCCATCAGATGAGCCGTAAGATCGTCCGCCTATCGAAAGTAATAAAAAAAAAAAAAAAAATCCNCGCCTATCGAAAGTAATAAAAAAAAAAAAAAAAAATCCTACTGCTGAGGTTGCTTATCAAAAAATTTTATTAAAATATAAATGCCTTTCAGCTATGTCTATACTGTCAAGATGGAGTTCGTGGGCCCTTTCATTAGATGAAATACCTAAAATTCGAGCGCAACTTGACGAAGTTTTGCGTCGTGGAGGCTCCGATCCGTATTCAGGAAAAGTGTTGTGGGATCTAAAAATTGACTTTGAAAAATCACAATTAAATGAGACATGGTATGTATAGGAGCCATAGCTAGTATGTCGACTGACCTTTATAGCCCCAGTAAAAAGCTACAGCTGATCTACAAAAACAAGATCTGTTTCGAAATTAAGAAGTTACAAGTGATTTAATTTCATATCATATACAGAGAATTTACCATGATGTCAACATTAAAGAATAAGATACGGTTTCAACAACAACATTCTTGTTGAGGACAGACTGGCAGACAGGGATACAGAACCCCTTGCCCAATCCCTAACAAAACTTATAAATGCTTAAATTTTAGACCCTTAAATTTTATAATTTTAGGCCAATTTAATACACAAATGATATTTATTCCTTATTATGCCTATTAAGTGCTTATTGCTGTTGCAGTTTGTGACATATTTCCAATGATTAAAATAGCTGTTTCTATAAACCAAGTGATCCTTCTGACATGGCTGCATTCACAGTTCCTTGTCGGTAGATTTTGGCGGCGATCAAATTAGGGTATTGTAGGGATTCCATTGATAAAACATATTAAAACTTTCACAGCAAAGAAGATTCGGGTTATAAAGAACAAGAAGACCGTGTGTTGAGGTGTTTAGAGGTAGTGGCATCGCTTCCTATAAGCAGAAATCAGGAGGCATGGGATCTATTTGAAGATTTTGCTAAAGATATCCGTGAACAGGAGTACATAGAGAAGGTATGTTTTCGTTTATAATAAAAATATAGGTTTCATCATATTAATAGAAAGACTCTTATGGAATATATGTTTGGAATTATTACAGGTGGAACAGCAACATAAGGCAGCTGTGGATTACTTAAAGAAAATTATGCCATATGAAATCAGAACAAAGACCACTCAGTGAGTTCTAGCGAATACTTTTCAACAAGCTTTTGCCCGCGATTCCGTCCGCGTGGAATAGTTACTTTGGCATCATAACGCTAAATTTTACTCCCACTTCATTTATGTAGAAAGTGAAAATATTTTTGAATTATAGAATGTTAAGGAGCTCATTAACACCCCTATTTTGAAACATTCACTGAACTGAATTCAACACTGAAAGAATTTTTCAAATGGGACCAGTAGTTCCTGAGATTAGCGCGTTCCAACAAGCAAACAAACTCTTCAGCTTTATAATATTAGTATAGAAATAAAAAATATTTTATGTAATTTAATAAAATTGTATAGATTTATTAATCTACAGCCAATCTAATATTCGACGATCAATAACACTATACAGTGAACTATGTGCGTACGTATGTACAGTATTGGCGACCTCGCCCGTGCCACGCGTTAGTATAACATGTGAACATTCATAAACCTATTTCAGATTGCTTACACTTGGCATAGCATTTTTTACTGGTGGTAGGACCTCTTGTGAGTCCACGAGGGTAGGTACCACCACCCTGCCTATTTCTGCCGTGAAGCAGTACTGCGTTTCGGTTTGAAGGTTGGGGCAGCCGTTGTAACTATACTGAGACCTTAGAACTTGGTACCCACCTTGAGTGGGTGGCGCGTTTACGTTGTAGATGTCTATGGGCTCCAATAACCACTTAACACTAGGAGGGCTGTGAGCTCGTCCACACATCTAAGCAATAAAAAAAAATTGCTTTCAAGAAAACAAAACACAAGTATGAGATGAGACTAAAACTTATATCATTGCATTGTCATAAAACAGCCTTGTCGACTACATCAAAACTGATTGTTTCAGATGTTATATGGCCAATTACAAGGTATACCTTGAGTATATTGATCTTGTGAAGCAGTTGTCTGTAGAAGAGAAGTATGCTGAATGTGATAGCGACGGTCTGCTCAGGGTAAGTCTAATTTAGCTTAATGTTAAACTGTTTCCATCAGAGAGATTCAGATCAGAGAAGTTTACATCAATGTCTATTGGCAAAAGGATACAGAGTGTGGTGCCGCTGACAGTTATTTTCACCATTTCTTTTAACTTGCACCCTAATTCTTAATGTTGTGAGTTGCGATGTATGACTTATTCCATCTTGGAGGGGTGATAGGTGATATATTAGTGGTAATATTTTATGTCTCAAATCGGTTGGTCGAATTCACGTTGTGATCTCATTGTCATTGGAAGGCCGCTCAACATTATTCAAAATTAATTAAGAGTGAAATAAATTATATTTCATTTATTTACTTAATGTATAAAATCAGAATACAATTTTATATGTGATTGTTATTTAGATATTGCTACTTAATGTGAATTTCATTTACGGTTGAAGCAGTCCGTTTATGGAATGCACTACCCTTGAGCATCAAACAATCGCCCTCGCCGGAAATTTTCAAGTTCAGATTAAAATCGCACTACCTTGCACAATAATATGGCTCCTACGATGTAACTGTACAAGTTGCTACTTATTTTGTATTTACTTGCATATTTTTAGTATTTATTTGTATTTAATCGTATGTAAGTCTATCTCATATTGTATTTATTTTTCACATGTGTGTATAAGTATATGTTTTTATGCAAGTTTATTAAGATATAGCACCGTCCAGTTTGCTTATTCCTCTCCCTGCAAGGTTGCCTGGAAGAGATCGCTTTCAGCGATAAGGCCGCCAATTTATATCACCGACTATTATTTGTTTTATATCCTTACTCTGTCCATGTGGTGTTAAATAAAGAGTTTTCAACTTAAATATGGCATAATCGAACGTAAATTATTATACAGTCAAACCTGGATAAGTGAGAACTGGATAAGTGAGAAAACTCTATAAGTGAGAGTAATAGCCAGGACCCGTCATTTTAAGCTCCCAAAACCTCTATTAGAGGGAAACAGAAACCTCTGTAAGAGAGAGTCGTTTTTCCCTCATGGACCTCCGTAAGTGAGACTGCTACTTATCTATACCTCTATAAGCGAGAGTCGAGGAGGATGGATTTAGGAGGAACAAATGACAAAACAAATTACAAGTTTAACATCTGTTATTTTATGACTCATTGTTAACTTTTGTGGAACTTTCTACCATATTTTTTGAATTGTTTTCTCGTCAATATTGAACCTATTCTATTTCGTGGAACTAAATAACGTTGTTATTTTATCGCTTTCTTTTCGAATGGACACGTGTGCCTGTGTACCGTCCTGTTTGTCGGACTTACTCAGTTTATTGTTAATCAATTGCAAAGAAAAGTTCTGTTCTGCATCATGTCAAAACGGAAAATTAAAGTACTGTCATTAAGTGATAAACTTAAAATAGTGAATGCGTTTGAATCCTTAAATCGCGAAATAAAATTCAGAGGGAGCATTAGCGAGAAACTCGGGTTAGTGAGAAACCTCTTTAAGCGAGAATGAGATTGTGCTCCCTTGAACTGTCTCTTATCCAGGTTTGACTGTATATAAATCTAAACTAGATGATGACCAAGCTTTGCTCGGTTTTTTTTTTGATAACGCCATCTTGTTGTGTCTTTAAAGTGGTTAGTTGCCTTCAATTAAGAAAAATAGTATTGTTCTTGATTGTGAATTTCAGACTGTATTTCCTTTGTGATTTTTCTTAGGTGGTTTGTGAAGTCTGCCGTTAAATTACGAATACTAGTGAATTCCCTTTGATTTTAATTTGAAAGTAATATTGTGAAAGTATGTAATAATATTGCGCGTCTTGTAGCTGTTGAGTCCTGTTCAGAAGTGAAGGTGGTTGTGTGTTTTGTCCGCGTCGCGGAGCTCGCCATTCCGCCGGTTTGCCACCCCCTCCCTCGCCGCGCTGCCTGCGTCTTTCCCGACTTTGCGAAAGAGGAGTTGATGCGTAAACAAGTATTATTATTCGCCAACAGATGTCGGCTAAAGTTGATCATTGAAAACACGAATAAAACAACATTTTCTGAAAATAAATCGTAGCTAAATCGATTTATCGCCCCCGAAATCCCCTGTATACTAAATTTTAAGAAAATCGTTGGAGCCGTTTTCGTGATTCAGATTATATATATACAAGAATTGCTCGTTTAAAGGTATAAGAAAGATATATTTTTTCTTCTGGCCACCAATAAAGCTCCTGTACGACCGGGCGACGTACGAATGTCTGCTCAATCCGGCCGTGTTCGAGTTGCTGGTCGAGTTCGCGAAGCACACCCAGGTGACGTCATCACGCGCGACGTACTGGCGCGTCCTCGAGCTGTGCACGCGGCGCTGTCCGCAGAAGCACACCTTTTGGACCCTCAAGATGCAGCAGGCTGAACACGAGGAGAAAGACTTCGACGAGGTTCGTCAAATAAATTGTAAACAATTGATCAATGATAGAATTTCCTTTTTTTTTGGAACGAAGTTCCTTATGGGACGATGCGGAGGGGTACCCTAACCAGGAAAAAACGTCCGTAACGTAAGATTTTTATTTGTAATGCACACAGTGTACGACTTAACTTTGTAATAACGTACAAATTAGTCATGCACACAGTGTACGACTTAGCTTTGTAATAACGTACTAAAAATAGCATTTTTTTATCATTCATTTCAATAAACAGATATATACCGTTTACATATAATATGAAATAAATTAGCTTGTTGACTAACACACAAAATTAATTTTTTTTGGAAATCAGGTGAAGTCGATCTTCGAGACTGCCTTATCGAAAGGTCTGGAATCTTACAAGGAGGCTGAAATGCTATGGCTGAACTATCTCGAGTACGTGCGCCGCAACACGAAGTTCAGTGACGACGATCAGATTGAGCGGTTGAGGCGCACATTCAGGCTGGCCTGGGACTCGCTTGCTGAGGTAACCAACGAAATCTGAATAGTTTGCACGTAGATAATTTTTGCACGTTTTTTTACTGGTGGTAGGACCTCTTGTGAGTCCGCGCGGGTGGGTGCGACCACTCTGCCTATTTCAGGCGTGAAGCAGTAATGCGATTCGGTTTGAAGGGTGGGGCAGCCGTTGTAACTATACTTGAGACCTTAGAACTTAACTCGAGGTGGGTGGCGCATTTACGTTGTAGATGTCTATGCGCTCCAGTAACACACCAGGTGGGCTGTGAGCTCGTCCACCAATCTAAGCAATAAAATAAAAGATAATTTAAATCTTCGCGTTTCATTCAAAAATTTGTGTTTCTACACAAGTGTCTGTTGTCTGTGGTAAAAGTTTGTGGATCTATTGTTGTTTTTCTTTTTTTTTTCTACTTTTCTACTTGTTTGCTTCGTATTTGAGAAACTACAGTTTTTATATGTTTGAATTTTATCATTTATTTTAAGCGTACTTAAATTTCAATTAGAACATTTTTGGAATTCTGTTCATTCAACACATTACTAATTTTCTCATACTCATTGAATTTATACAGTTGTGAGGCAACTCAATAAAAAATTGGCCTTTTAAATAGAGTTACGTATATTCGTTGTTCAATTATGTTTTTTTTTTTGAAGATTGAAGAGAACTTCCTTAATGCAGGCGTCCATAGCAAATGATCTCCTATTTTAGATATCCGTATTTTATTTAATTGAATTTTTGCGGTGTCATAGGCATGGGGCGATGAAGCGAATGATTGTGAGATACCATTGTATTGGGCGAGAATTGAATACAAATTCTTGAATTCACCAAAACGAGGGAAAGAGATCTTTGAAGAATTATTCAGTAAGTTGTTTATTTACAGAAATTGAACTGCGATAATGATTTTAATTTAAAATTACTTGGGCTTGCTTTTCATCTTCCTTTGCTTTTTTTCGCCTCAAAAAAAAAAGTGACATCTACATTTCAAGGGCTGTCTTGTATAACGAGCAGACGAGAAATTACATAATATTATATTATAAACTTATATTAAAAACATAGTAGCTACTGTAGTCCACAAACACAAAAAAATATCTATCTTACTGACTTTAAACATGATAGTCATTATTTTGTATACCAGTTATCCGACGTTCCATTGAAAAAGTATAATGTTCGGTTTATCCTAAGCTAGTAAATTATTCAAAAACGATAAATAGATATACTGGCCGGTAAAAATAGATTAAATTAACTCCATAAAACTAAGTATATGAAGAAAGCTTCAATTTTTATTTCAATCACCTCACTGAATAGACAATAACAATAAACCGATCGATAATAATAATTGATAATCAATTATCTTTTTTAGAATATGGCTTCAATAAAACCATGTCCAAGTATTGGGAAGCTTTGATACAATTAGAAAGTAGCCGGTCTCCTCCGCTGTCCGAGTTCAAGTTCCGGGATCTGCTGAGACGCGCGTTGAGGTCGGTCACCGACTACCCCCCGGCCATAGCGCGCCTCTGGACTGATTACGAACGAGACTACGGGAAGCTGGACACCAGTAAGGAGTGTCAAGAAACTTGTGAGGTTTGTCAATCTGTATGATTCGTAAAGTGGCAGAGTGTTTTTTTTTTTTCCTTCCTTAGCTGATGGTCTTGAGAGACCAGTGTCAACGGGCGGGTAGATGAGCTCACGGGGCTCAAACCTAACGTTGTTGCTGACACGAACCGTAGAAGAGCAGTGCTTCGCAAAATCTAAGACCAGATGAGGAGATCCGCAGAGAAACTCAGTGGGCTGTGTCTGTGGGTTAATTTACTCGACAAGTGACTTCCTTGCATCGATAATCCTCAATGCTGAGATTCATGGCCTCATGAGGCTTTCTTGGGATAATACACATGGTGGGCTCTCGCGTTATTCCACGGCAGTGCTTTTAGAAGAGATTTAGTTCTCAGTATTCGCCAGATATTCGGTGTTTACTATTTCACTGCGAAAAGGTCGAACTCCAACTCAGCTCTCCTCTTTTCTCATCCGAGTTTGGGACCGGCATTGGCAGAGTGATTTATAAGGTCGGAGAATTGAATGTTGCCTCAGCGTTACACTATTGTACAAATCCTTGTCTAGGAATAAGTTTAAAAAATCTAATTACAAGCCTGAAGAAGCTATTCATTGATTTACCATACCAACGATAACCTCAGAGGTCCTGTCTCAATCATATTTGTGAAATTAAATTTATTTATTTATTTATATATTTTATATTATTATTATTACACCGGGTATTGTATATTGAAAATAATTCAGATGATTTAGCTAAAGAATGGAAATTAAAAGTTATTTTAAAATTAATTTTTCAGTTAAAAATACGGGAGTGGAGGAAGAATTATCAAGCTTTGAAGGAAAATATGACAAACAAAAACGATACTGATAAAACAAATGAGAATAAGAAAGGAAAATCAGCCAACAAAAACAAAAAACTCGAAAACAAACAGAAAGGTAAAAGGAAATTGAATGGCGGTAGTGATGAAGCTAGTGACGTAAAGAGAAAAAGAGACGGAGATCAAGAATTGCCCGTGAAAGAAAAGGACGGAGGTAGTTCTGGAGTCAAGCGGGCACATACTGAAGAAGAGACTGAATGTATGTGATAATTTTTTTTTTGTTCATTGTTCTATTGAACAATGCAGGTGTTTATCACTAGTTGGTGAAAGCTCATTCCTGATCCTGCGGACAGAATGGAAAGCAGTCGACGTCGCCCAAAACACGTCAATTCGGATCCTCCTGATCCACTAACGGTGCTTTTAGGTACCTCAAGAATCGGTCATCGTTCCCTTCGAACCCGTCGCTTGCGACTAAGGGCTCGGCGAGTAAATTAACCCTCAGACACAGCCCACTGAGTTTCTCGCCGGATCTTCTCAGTGGGTCGCGTTTCCGATCCGGTGGTAGATTCTGCGAAGCACGGCTCTTGCTAGGGTTCGTGTTAGAAACGTCGTCAGGTTCGAGCCCCGTGAGCTCACGTACTAGTTAAGGTTACGCTGAAATAGCCTCTCAAAGCTATCAGCTTTGGTAGGAAAAAAAAGAAAGGTGAAAGCTTACCTCATGATAACTCTCTTACTCACTCATGAACACTCTTCATGATACATACGGTATAAAACACACAGAAGACCGTAGTCGAAGAAAAAAAAAGTTAATTTCCGCATACAAATTTTATTTATTAAATTTAATGTAGCTAATTGTTTATGTACAATTTTTTGTTTATTTTTTCAGTAACTGAGAATAAAAAACAGCGCGTAGAGGCGGCCGGTACAGCGCAGTCTGCGAGCACAGAGGCCTGCACATTGTTCGTCAGTAATCTAGACTTTAAGTACGTTGGATTTAAGTTTAATTTGTTTTGAAATTAACTTTTATGAACAGATTCACTAGTTAACCACGTTTGCATCTCTTGTCCAGAATTGACGTACATTTAAAAGCTCTTAAAATATTTGTTAGGAACCCTGACTGTTTTTTTTATTGCTTAGGTAGGTGGACGAGCTCACAGTCCAGCTGGTGTTCTGTGGTTACTGGAGCCCATAGACATCTACAACGAAGGTGCGCCACCCAACTTGAGATATAAGTTCTAAGGTCTCAGTATAGTTACTATGCGAAGCAGCATGAGTTCCGGTTTGGAGCATAGAGCAGCCGCTGTACTATAAAATTGAAACTTAGACCTCATGTTCCAAGACCAGATTCGGTTTTTTGGGCTCCAGGAATCGCGTAACACCAGGTCCGCTGAGTTACTTAATTTAAAAAAACTCTTTAATAGTGTATAGTTATAAATAACGTCGGTACTAAATCGATGCGATAAAATTGAAAATCGAAAAGCAATATGGCAAGACGAACACATACATATATTTATTACCTTCCTTTTTGGCCTTTAACCTACGAGAGACACATCTGAAGGTTTTTTTTTAATTGCCCTTGTAGGCAGACGAGCATTCGGCCCACCTGATGGTGAGTGGTTACCGTCGCCCATGGACTTCAGCAATGCCAGGGGCAGAGCCAAGCCGCTGCCTACCGAAAACTTGTAATGCATTAGTACTGCACATATATATGTTTTCTATTTAAGAAATTAAAGAAGTATGCGTTTTAAAAACAAAAATTTAATTTCAGAGTCGATGAAGATAAATTACGACAGGAATTATCGAAGTACGGTGACATCGTCGAAATGCGGCTCAGATCAGGAGTGAAATCGTTTGGCGGCTCTATTTGCTACTGTCAATACAAGACCGCGGTGCGTTATTTTAGTATGATACTACCCGCATCCAGAGTTTTTGCTACACAATTTAGGACAAAACGAAGTCAATTAATGAAATATCACCAGCGATTCGATGTTTAATTGATATACATCGATACTGGTGCTAGGGCGTCTTGTGAGTCCGCACGTGTATGTACCACCACCCTGCCTATTTCTGCCGTGAAGCAGTAATGGGTTTCAGTTTGTACTGTAAAAATTGAGACATTAGAACTCTTTCTCAATGGGGGCGGCGGCATTTACGTTGTAGATGTCGATGGACTCCGGTAACCAGTTAACATTGGGTGGGCCGTGAACTCGTCCATCCGTCTAAGGAAAAAAGTTATAAAAAAAATACATCGATTTCAAAGTATCGATTATTCATAAACTTCATTTTGATTTCTCTTCAAACTTCCCGCCATGCGTTAGTACGTGTTGAGAGCAGGTACAGCGGCTCTCTCTATTTCTACCGCGAATCGATCACGTGCTTTAAAGATCGAAGCGGCAGTTTGTACAAATCGATAGAGATGAACTAACGCATCGATCCTTAGTTTCGCAGCACTATAATCCGAAATGTTTTATTCGACAGGACTCAGTGGAGGAGGCTCTGAAGCACGATCGAACTCCTTTAGACGGCAGACCGATGTTCTTGTCTCGATACTCGGCCGATAAATCTAAGGCGACCTTCAAATACGCTACCACGATGGAGAAGAACAAGTTGTTCGTGACGGGCCTGCCTTACTCGCGCTGCAATAAGGAGTGTTTGACCGAAATATTTGAGAAGTACGGCAAACTGAAAGACATCCGGGTGGTCACTTTCAAGTGAGTACACACGTCATCGATTAACATAGTGCTCTCTCTGTCTAGCACGAATCTAAAACAATTAGTGTCACGAAAGGAATTTATCGTTATTTTTTTTGCTATGCTGATAAGGGTAGTTTTCCAATTATAGTGCATAATGCGACTCAGTGGCACAAAATGCCGAATGATGCTGAAGCTTAATTGTAACGTGAATTAGTTTTCAAATGCATTAGCAGAGTGCGCTAATTTAGCACAGTTTGAATTAACTTTGATTATTCCAAGAAACTACGACGAAACGAAAGCCTTATAAATTTTTTCAACAATAAATAATATTACTATTTTTTTTTATGTGAAACATCTATAGCCGCACGTAAAACCGATTTCTGGCGTGGCGACGCATGCCGTGGCGACGCGTCGCCACGCCATATTATAGTATATATATACAGTCTATATGCAGTAGTGTGTACGGTGTGACGTCGCGTCGGTTGCCCCACCCTTCAAACCGAAACGCATTACTGCTTCACGGCAGAAATAGGCGGGGCGGTGGTACCCACCCGCTCGGACTCACAAGAGGTCCTACCACCAGTAAACGAGTAACGATTACAAAATATCGATCAATGCCAACTTAAAGAAAAAAACACTTGTCAATTTTCTGTCACTGAGTCGGTATCGATTGCGAGTATCACGCGAGAACAGTACTTTTGTGAGTGCTCGAATGTGCGAAGCGTTGCTGTAGTTGGAACATCCAACGTTGAGCATTATGCCGCATAATGCGCTCTAGTGCTGTAATTGGAAAACTACCAAGTCTTGAGAGGCTATTTCAGCTTTACCCTCGCGTGTAGGTGAGCTCACGGGGCTCAAACCGGAGATGTTGCTAACACTAACCTCAGCAAGGGCAGTGGTTCGCAGAATCTACCACCGGATCGTAAACGCGACCCACTGAGAAGATCCGGCGAGAAACTCAGTGTACTGTGCCTGAGGGTCAATTTACTCTTCGAGCCCTTCGTCGCAAACGACGGGTTCGACGAGGACGATGACCGGTGCTTGGGGTACCTAAAAGCAACGTTAATGTTTTGGGCACATTTCATAATAAAAGCATTATATGAATGATACTTATTACTAAAGTATGTTTCGTTATTGGTGACCAACTGGGTATTGTTTACAACAATTTAATTTTAATTAGCGTTGATTTACAAAAGAAATTCATAAGGCACTTGTTTTACTGCTCTATTTGAGAGTCGAGTTCATGAACCCACGAGCTACTAGTGTTAAAACGGTCAAACCGAATACATCAGGACGTAAGGAGACCTCGCTCGCTTTAAAATGAAATCAAATATTTTTTTTTTATTCAACATAATTGAAAGTACATAATTATTCAACGTCAAAAGAACTACCGCCAGTTCACAAAAACTAGCCTCCATCCCGAGAAGAACTGGCAAGAAACTCAGCGGGAATGTCATTATTTTTTTTAATTATAATATTAGATAAATTTTTTTAATATTCATTTCATTCATTTGAGGTCGTATATTCACAATAATGTTAATGAAACGACAATGATTCCAGGGACGGGAAACCAAAAGGCTTGGCGTACGTCGACTATGAAGACGAAGATTCCGCGGCCAGAGCCATAGCGGCGACGAACGGCACGACGGTGGGGGACAGGAAAATAGAGGTCGCGATCAGCCAGCCCCCGCCCCGCGCCGCCCGCCCGCCCCCCGCCAGCCGCCCGCCCGCCGCCGGCATGTGAGCACGCACTCTTGTCACTTATGGTCATTAAGCGAAAGCGACACGACGCTGATGGAAGTTAAAAAAATATTAAACATGACCGTTGAATTCATATTGAGATAATTAAAATTTTGTACGCAAACTATAGGTGAACTATAATGAAATCTTTTGTAATTTCTTTGTTAAAGGCGGCGGACGCAGCTAAGCTTCCTTCCTCGAGTTTTGCAGCAAGCCTCAACGAGCAAGGAGTCTTCGACAAACAGCCACGCCAACGGCACCGAGAAGCGACCTCTCTCTAATAGTGACTTTAAAAAAATGATTGCGTCATCTTCTTCTTCTCACGACAATTGAATCATAACATCACATTATTTTTAGGATTCATTTAAGTAATAAAAACATTCTCAATAATATCTTAATCTTAATTAAATTCTATCCTCGGTTTCAGCTTTAGTATACATTAAAATTGGATTCAAAAGTTTAAAATGAATCTATTTCACGGTCCGTCTGATGTTTTAAAGTTACGTAACCGCACGTGAATCGCTAATTACAGTGAATGCGATTTGTTTTTTGTAGATATTTTGCTTGCGGCTCACGTATACATGAGAATTAAAAGAGGGACAGACTAAATCGAATGTTATCTTTGATAATGTGTGATTAGAAGTTTGAATGATCGATAAAGGTGATTTACATTTGCGTTTTCTGATTAAGTGAATGTACATACATATATATCTATGAAAAATATTATAAATCGTCGCATGCATTCTACAACGTCTCTCTGTGCTTCATTGTAAAATGTTCGATTTACGATATTACGTCAATGTAATTAAAAATACATAGACGTAATATCGAAGTTTGTCCCTAAATCGGCTTATAAATTTAAAAAAAAAAGACTGTTGTGTTATTTTTGTTAAAACGATATTATCGTTGATTTGTGAATTGCAGGTCAAATGCAGTAGGCGAAAGTAGAAAACTATTTAAATTAAAACGTTTACTCAACTGAAGATGTGATTGTCGTTGTCTCATCTCAGTGAAATCTATTAATGTAAGTTAGTGTTAATATGTGAGTGTATTCGAAGAAAGTGAATAAAGTACTTGTTTTATTATTAGACAGTTTTATTTCAGTGAGTACTTGGGTGCTTGGTTATAACAATGACTCGGAGTCTACGGTTGATATCCAAAAACTGTTCTACGCATCTAGTGATTTAAATAAACATAATTATTTGTGTATTTCTATAACTGACCTCCTAAAATATGACAAGGATTTTACTGTTTTGTTTGAGTGCGACCTGTGCTTAGTGCGTGTTTCTTAACGTTCTCGATAGCGTAAAAGTTAACTCAAATTTGTATGAAGTTGGAACATGACTAGTAGAAAACGTGAGCAAACGTTCCAACTCCATACAAATTGAGACCGTCAGCACAAAAGTGACCTAAGCTTACCATAGTTAGTATGGAGGCAATTAGGTTTGAATTTTCATGAATTTGAATTTGACTAGGCAAAAAAATAATACGCGCAAAAATAATGTTTACAAAGCTATGTGTTATCTATGGGTGAGAAACTATGGATAGGCCGATTTTGTATCAAAATTTATTATATTTTAAATAAATTTCAATATACGTCATATAAAGCTTGATTATAAAATATTGTGGGTTAGGTCACTTTTGCGCTGATGGCCTCAATCCGAGTTAACTTTACGCTATCGATAACGTTGAAAAACTCGCACTAAGCACACTGGTTAGTATAGAATTGGACCCGATAGGTTGAGCTGCGACAAGATCAAGACAAGACAAATGTTCACGATTGATTTCCACGGTGAAGGAACAACATCGTGTAATAAAAATGAAATCCGCAAAAATTATAATTTGCGTAATTACTGGTGGTAGGACTTCTTGTGAGTCCACCCGGGTGGGTACTACCACCCTGCCTATTTCTGCCGTGAAGCAGTAATGCGTTTCGGTCTGAAGGGCAGGGCAGCCGTTGTAACTATACTTGAGATCTTAGAACTTATATCTCAAGGTGGGTGGCGCATTTACGTTGTAGATTGTCTATGGGCTTTAGTAACCACTTAACACCAGGTGGGCTGTGAGGTCGTCCATCCATCTAAGCAATAAAAAAAAAGATTGGATTCTTTTTCATGTTTCAAAGCAGCAAAACCTGTTTAACCGTCCTCACTAACACCGTTATAAAACTGCAGCCGATCAAGTATTTTGAATAATTTTATGATAATATATTGCTAACTTATTGATACCTAATATGTAACTATAATCAAACTGTCCAAATAGTCGGTATTCCGAGGCTTCACACAACATGCATTTATAGAGAGTCGATCTATCGACGGTTCGCGCTCAAAGGCATAAATAAAATCACAGTTAAGGTAAAACAACATTTATTTATAAAAATATACACTTTTCGTCTCAATAGAGAATATATAATCTTATTTATAAATAGAGTCCTACAATAAACCATTTCAAAGCATTGCACATAAAGGAATAAATACATCCTTTTATACATATATATATTAATTTAATATTTGTACTATAAAAATAGTAAAGTCAAAATCGCAGTTTTGAGCATTTCAATTATTAGATCGTATCTCATTTATTTGAGTGTATTCATAATTTTCTATCTACGGGGTTTTGAAAAATTTCTAAATTTATTAAAATATAAGTAAGCAAATCGGTTTTATTTTCTACGAACAGTTTTATAAAGCAATGGCATGGCACCAGAATTACATACACTGGAGAAATACTTATTATAGAATGTTTAATTTCCAATAATAGACTAGAACATTAATTATACATTAAATTTATTGTTTGGCGTGGAACAAGCCCTTGACATAATCAAGGTTAGAGTTTTTTAACGTTCTCGATAGCGTAAAAGTTAAGTCAAATTCGTATGGAATTGGAACGTTTGCGTACGTTTGCCGCTAGGGGCGCTGTTCCAACTGCATACTAATTTGAGTTAACTTTTACGCTGTCGAGCACGTTAAAAAACTCGCACTAAGCTCACTGTTATAGAGAACGTAGCGACTGACTGACTTTGTTGCTGACCGGACTAGTTAATTTCGGTATCTGAGTATAAAGTTGTTCGTCATTGCGGACACACGCAGACCGCGTGTTCTGCATCGACTGAGCAATTCCGTGCTCTCGTTAAATTCGACCCTTATATTTTGCATAAGGTCGATTGAGGCGATTCTTAACTCCTCATTATCAGAAACAAGGCCACGAATAAGTCTTTCTCTGTTCGAACATTTCAGTGGGATAGCAAGAGCTGCGCTTGGATTGGTGCGTTGGAGTGTGGCGTAGGGAACGTAAATCAATCTTGTTTCGACGCCCTCACAGTATCAGACGAAGCGTAGTGAATCAATGGAAATTCGAAGGTTTTTGAAACCTCTTATGAAATTATGCCTTTTCCCCTAAGCGGCAGGTCCTATTCATGTTTTTTCTGTGTTAAACGAAATATACGAAATTCCAGAAAGGTCTACAGTTTAAGCGCACATCACAGTAAAAACTAATTTCAATATATGAGTCGACTATTATCAAAGCCGACAATGTGACTTTTGGATAATTATTGGTAAATCAGAAAAACGAATTATTGAATTTGTATTCCATTGGCAGTCACAAAACTCTTCTGAACGACATCTTAGATAAATAACAGGTTAAGTATTAACCTTTATTTAATGCAGGTTTTGAACCGTATTCTTTGAAGGAGACTATTATATTCAAATCAATCTGTATTGAAATATCAATAATTTTTTTTTGTCCAAATGCACAGATTGCCACCTTTGATAATAGACGACTCATATATCATATTATATGATTTTTACGTAGTCACTGGTGTTTAAGTATGAAATTGCAAACTTGGCGTCAGCTATCAATAAGGAATATATATTTAATTATTTTAGTCATTTTATATGAATGTGAAAAGAAGTTTAATTTCATAATATAAGTCTAAATATTGATTTGGGACAAATTATCGCGATAGAACCTCGACACCTAACTCCTAATCACTACTAGCTATACAATCACAACCTGGTAACAGAAAATTTTATGACGGAAGAATACATTATTATTCTACTAGACTATTTAGAATCTACTTAAATAAGTGAACGCATGTTTACGAAACGCTACGAATATTACTTATAAATTAACTATATTTTAGCACCTAAACAAACCGTGAGGTCAGTCGATATGTTTTCCGTCTTTCCAACGCTTTTTCGAACGTTCAAAGGCTTCTATTATGCATGACCTGCAAAAGAAGGCAATATTTATTTATTTATAACTTAATATACTAGGTTGTTAGAGAATGCCATAGGCAACCTTAGGGGAGTGCAGAGATGAACCTTGGTAGGTGTAGTGTGAAGGTGATATTACTTAAACATAAATATGTGTATATATAACATAGATAATATTTATAGATACACATACTCGTACTTAAATAAATACATAAACATAAATATATACATATACGTATCATAAATATATACGTACATATAAAACATATATAAACAAATATTATCAATATCAGTATTGAAAAAAAAAACAACTGTATTCTAAACGTTTATGGTCTGATGGCTATGACTTCAGGTAATGTAGATTTTTTTCCTAAGTAAATCGACTTTTACTAGATATAGAATAAATTTACTAAATTATTGGAAGGCCGTAAACCTATAAAGGTAGGCACCGTTAAGCAGTCACGTGTTCCTCTTCGAAGGACCGTGTGCTTACCGCGAGCTTTTTAACGTTCTCGATAACGTAAAAGTTAACTCAAATTTGTATAGAGTTTGAACGTTTGCGTAAGTTTCCTGTTCCAATTGCATAGAAAATTTGAGTTGTTGTACAATATAAGTGAGAAATCGACCTCAAGATGTTTAGATGGACCGGTCACTACTGATCGAGGTTCCGGACTCCCTTCCTCTCCGACTCTGGCCTATTTCTGCGGTGAAGCAGTAATGCGTATCGATTTGAAGCCGTTGTAACGTATACTCACATATCTCAAGGTGGGTGACGGCATTTACGCTGTAGATGTCTATGAGCTCCAGTAACCACTTAGCAACAAGTGGGCCGTGAGCTCGACCACCCACATAAGCAATAAAAAAAAAGGATTGTGTGGCTTTATTAAACCACGGTAAAAGTGAAACTTTTTTTCACATTATAGACGTTTAACTCTGACAAACAAAATTTACATTATAATATCCGGCAAACTTCTTGAGCATTTGTTGACGTAGTGGGGGTAAGTTTGCGCATGGTACACTCACGTGCAAAAACATTATTTACTCTGCGTCATAATGCAATTAAATTATTAAAATCAACATATGTATTTTTTTATATATTTATTAGAACATCAACAAAAAATGTAGGTTAATAATTGTAATAATTTAATCTTGGGGTAAAATAGATATTCCTTCTATTAAGTCAAAACTAGAGCTGTTGCCAGGTCTTGGTTCAGTTGAAGCGAAGCTGGTATTTGTATTTTTTTTTTCGTTATCATAATCTTGACCATCATCATCATCACTGTTTTCATCACCCGAGTCGCTATCATCGTGATTAGTCGACATAGGGCTCATCGGTGTAGTTTACAACTCGGTCGATTCGGTCTTCTTTTTTGTCTATAATTAATTATTTTTTGAAGATATTCGATTCGTAGTAATCGAATGTTACTTTTTTCATTTACCAGCTTCCGATTATTTTCTGTTCTTTTTTTCCATCTGAAGCCTAGCTCTTTCATAATTCGTCGTAAGCTTCATTCCGAGCCATTAAAATTTATATCTTCTTTAAATTTTTCGAAGCCTTTCTACGGTACGGAGTTTCGCTGCTTGTTATGTAGTTATTATGATTACATCTTTTTATTACAGATTGAACGAAACTATCCATTCCGGTAACTTTCTTCTTCCCTGATCTTTTCTTACCCGGAGTCCGAAACACGGCGAGCAAGCCAGAGCCTTTAGCTTCGTTAATAATGCACCTAACAGTACTCACTGATGTTTTTGTTGCTTCCGAAGTCTGTTTTAATTTTTCCATATCATTCTTCCCCTGTTTTATAATGAAGCAATATACGTCGTACACAAATTTTCTACCCTTTCTTTTAAGTACTACACCAGTTTGTCACGGCATAGTGTATGTTTTATAAAAAATCAACAAACACTCAACAAATAGCAATGGCAACAAAGTCCACAAGCAATTATAACAAATAACTTAACGATTAATAACGATAGACTTTCCACTGTACGCAAGCGTACTTTTGGGAGCAAGCGGAATGAGGGCGCGGTGCGGGACGCAAGGTTCGACTGATCTACCAATAAAGCGCTCGATACGATTTCCCCTGCCGTCGCGCCTCACCCTCACCACCAAAGTGATCTAAAATTCGGTTCTGCGCAGTCAAGGTCATTTGCTCAAGATGTTTGCCGGTTACTATAAACACTGACAAAAACAAACAAAATAGCGTGGAGCACTGGCACAAATGAGTAATAGTTTATACACTACACGGTCAGCTGCTGCGAACTATAGGCGCCGCCATATTGGCCTTGGCTGCTCTGACGAGCGCCTTTCACTTTATCCCTACTCCGCGGCCGACCGTCACGCGACAAGCGACACACAGACGAACAAGTTTGAGACGATGTAATAAAAGTTTCACTTTAAAATTAGCCCTAGCAAGAGCAGTGCTTCGCAGATTCTACCTTCGGATCGGAATCGCGACCCACTGAGGAGATCCGGCGAGAAAGTGAGTGGGTTAGTGACGGACCACGGTGTTTTCTGAGCGCTATGACATGTCCTTCTTCAAACGAGGCTTGTGGAGAGTATTAAGCGGTAGGCAGCGGCTTGGTTCTGCCCCTGGCAGTGCTGAAGTCCACGGGTGACGGTAGCCACTCACCATCAGGTGGGCCGTATGCTCGTCTGCCTACAAGGGCAATGAAAAAAAATAAAAAAATAAAAAAAAACCTGAACAAGGACTGGTGTAGCAGGTATGCGGACACGTGGCCCGCGTCCACGTAGCGCACCTCGGCGCCGGGCCAGATCTCCTCCAGTGTGCCCACGTCGTCGCGCGGCACGTACGCGTCGTGCTGGGCGCACACGGCTGCATAACATCGACGACACTTAATATCACTTTACTAATATCTATATATTAATACGTCAAGCAAAAACTTTGTACGTTTTTTACGAAAATTGCGCGGACGGGGGAGTATTTCCCACACTTATAGAGAAGACTAGCTGTACCCGTCCGCTTCGCTGGGCATTTAAAATTAACATTATTATTTCTCACCCCCACAAACATTCTCATCATTAACGCCCCCGCAACTGGTGTAGGGAGTCCAACACTCATATAAATATTAGCCTATCCATTAAGTACATGTATTTTCTACATGAATACCAAGTTTCAAGCCAATCTGATGCATGGTTCAGTAGTTATAACGGAACATGCGTAAAAACCACTGTAGATTTATATATTAGTATAGATAGTATAGTATAGTATAGTATAGATAGAGCAGTGATTATCAAACTTATTTCTTTTACCGCCCCCTTTGAAAATCAATTATTTTTCAGCGCCCCCCATTTTTTATACACCCTTAAAATTTTAAAACCACAATTTCATTAATTTAATTAATAAATGTTGTATTAATTTTAGTAAATGTAGTACACGTAGTACATATGTATTTGTAGATGCTATTATTGTTTCTTCATATTATTATATGTCCGTACATTGCTACAAAGCGTGTATTTACAAATTTGCAAAGTAAAAATGAATTCTTCTCATCAATATGTTTGTTTAAATTCAGAATTACCAAAATAAATTGCTAGTTCACTGTACTATTACTATGCTAATTTATTAGAACGAAACTNTAAACTAATTATTCGTTATTGTGTAGTAGGTGAGTTTTAATTTTAGTAAAATTTAAAATACTATAAAGTAAATGAAATTACAAATTTTACAGCGCCCCCCTAACCCACATCAACGCCCCCCATTTTTTCGTGGGCCCCTTAACGCCCCCCTCTAGGTTTCAAACGCCCCCCAGGGGGCGTTATCGCCCACTTTGAGAAAGACTGAGATAGAGGAATGCAAAATGTCAATCTTTTTAAATTTATGTTCAAAACAATACATTAAGTCAATAAAAAAAAAAAACATAACACTGTTTGGGGTATTTGTGAAAGTGCACAAATGTGGGAAAATGAAACAAAGCCGCTGAACGTAACTTCTCGGGATCCTCCAAAAAGTCTACTGAAAAAATCTCAGTAAATGACTACCATTTTACTGAGATTATATTTCATCCCATATCATTTCATTTAATTTCATACCAGTTGATTAATGTTTCAAATTAATCAATTTAATTTCACTCCATAATATCATTTTTCATAAAAATATGAATATAAATTAAAATAAGACATAAGGTCTCAGTTACCAGGTCATAAAATCCCTTAAAAATAGATTAAATATTATTTGTCTTTATTAATATTTGTTGAAATATGTATCTTACTTCTCCCACAAATTCCCACTCTACTTACTTAGTATTAAGTAGAGAGAGAGAGAGAGAGAGAGAGATACCTCGGTATCAATATAGTCAAGGATATGCTTGTCATTCGACAGACTTAGTAGTTAATTAACATAACATACAGCTTACCTATGATCAGGGAAGTATCAAATGGCACAGAGAAATTGCTTAGATGGGTGCACTCGTCCATAATGCCTCTCATGAATTGCAACGCTTCTCTATCCCTCCAATGTATTTTGCCTATGTCTATCTTCTTTCCGCTTGGCTTGAAGAACGGCAAGTTAGCCCAGATGTCAGATGTGAAATCCGTTATGTTCCACGATTTACTTTTATCAGCCTCCGGTATTAGTTCGTTTTTCTCTGGTGCTTTCAGTGTCGGAACGTTCGTATTGTCCGCTGTAATGTTCGAGGTTCCCATACTTCTCTGCTCGGTCATGTCATTAGATTCTTTGGTGTGTGTTAGTGTTTCGGATAGCAGGGTTTCCTCGTTTCTGAGTTCTGCTGAAGTTTAATAATAATTTTAACATAGACGTATACATTTTTCTTTCACACAAAACATAAGTAGCAAACTGTTGCTCATCTCTACCATGAAGCAGTACTGTGTTCCGGTTTAAAATGTGGAGCAGTTGTTATGTAATGCTTTTAGTGTTATACAGTGAGACTTAAAGCTGTATGTAGGCCGTGGCATTTACATTCTAATGTCTATGGACTCTAATAACAATTTAATATCAGGTAGGCCGTGAGCTTGTTCAGTTTCATGTAATGCAATAAAAATAAACATAAGAGCATTGTTACTAACCAACTTTACATTTCAATAGCATTTCCTTCAATTTATTCTCGGTCAATTTGTTAATATCTTCAATGTCTTGAGGATCCAATTCGAACTTTTTGTTCGATATTAACTTCTCGTACAGTGCCTGATTTATTTTGCCTTCCTCTAAAAGTTTTTTCAGTTCTTCATTTAAATTTTCTATTTGATTTTCTAGTTCAGTTCTGTTCGCATTTTTTACAATTTTGTTACTGTCTAAAACAGTTTTCGTAACGTCTATAACTTTTTCAGTATTTTCACTTTCATTTTTATTTTCCTTGTACGTAATATCTAAGTTCTTGTTACTATTATTCCCTACGTTATCACTGGTTTTTGTTTGTGTGGCCGTCTGGACATTTTTTTCCATGTTCTGTGAGTATGTTCGAGCAAACTTTTTCCCGGCTAAGAATGCTTCATCTACTATGGTTACCATTTTAGATAATTTCTCTCGGTATTCGCCATCCGATAAATACTGATCTTCTAGGAGGTCCCAGTTTATTGAATGAGCCATAACTCCCTACAAAAGATGTTCTATTTTATACGCGTTAAAAATATTTTGTTCAGTACTAATGGTATTCATGTATCAGAGATGATAATTAAAAATAAATTATTTAATTAATTTAATTAAATAAATTGATGATTAAAATCGAAAAATTATAATAAGATTTACTATTGTTTAATACCTTGGCAAATGGCATTGAATGAGTTCTTCAACTAACACCAGTACCTAGGATTTCGAGTTTAGAATGCTTACTTAGTTATTTTTTTATTTTAAAACCTACATGGAATCATCAGAATAACAGAGTAACGGAATTACGCAACAATGTTAGACCTGTAAGAACACAGCCGATGCTGTCGACCAGGAGAGGCACGGGACTAGGACTAGAGGCTTTGGCCAATTAGTCGCTGCTAGAGACGCCATCTGTAAAAAAAATAAGCAAGAGTTTGCTGTGTGAAAAAAAAATCTACCTATTGCTAGTAACCCTTTTTTTGGCTTAGATTGGTGGACGAGCTCACAGCCCACCTGGTGTTAAATGGTTACTGGAGCCCATAGACATCTAGAACGTAAATGCGCGGCGGGGGTAGGCGGGGTGGTGATACCTACCCGTGCGGACTCACAAGTGGTCCTACCACCAGTAACCTAGAGGGGTTATGCTAGTTTCACCGAAGGTGTAGCTATAGTTGTCCTCACAGGGCACAAATTGGAGACTTTGGTAACACTAGTTCATTAGGTTAATTACCAAAATTTACCAGGGATGCACAAAACTTTTACCAGTAAGTTAGCAAATGTCACAAAAATACAATATATTTTTTTAAGCATTTTTTTACTTACATGTCCACCCATAGAAAGCCCCGTGACACCAAGTGGACCTAACCCATTCCTCTCGCACCAGTGGAATAGCACCAAAGACTCCAAGATCAAGCAGCCTCCCATCACAAATATATCCGACACATTGTGGAGAGACGAACGGCTATTTGAAATTAATAAAAAATAATGCGTAATATATATAATATGACATTCAATAATTTTTCAATCTTAAAAATGATATTTGGAATTTTTTATTCAAACATGAGAGAAGTTTTATTTGGATTTTTGTGTCTTACTTCACATAAATATAAATTTTTTTCATGTTAGTTGTTGAAAGGCCACATGAGTCTGCAGTAGTCTGCACTATGGTCCTGGTTAGTTTTCCTCCCAAAGTAATAGGACACTCCAGTATGACAACAGATTGGGAGTCATTCACATTCTATTGACCTGAGTTTTAAAAAGGTCAGAGTGTGGAAAAAAATTGTTTGCTAGTGCAGGATTTCTTGTTAATAAATTCAATTCAATTAGAGTAAAGTTGGAACACACAGACTCTATCAGTGAATGATGTTCCTTTGATTGTATGATGAATTCACATTTCGAACTTAACTAGAATAGTTTGCTTTTTTATGTACTTACATTTGATCAATAGGTTTACGAAGTCCATAAAATGGGTTCTCAAGAATGATACCGCCAATACCGGCTTCCTTTAGTAACGGTTTCACCATTAAATTACGACGACGCCAATAAAACTGAAATTAATAACTACATAGGTTTATTATGTTAGCTAGACATGATATTCAAAATCAAAATATACTTCAAAACAAGGCTTGAAGATAGGTTTTTACCTATAACCTTACTTAAACTAAAAAAAAAACAGTTTGAAGCCTTCATTCTGTAAAAACATTCTATAATGTAAATATTATTTCATATTATGCTTATGTGCAGTGTAAATTTTATTTCAAAGCCGAGTGCCACCCCTTAATTTTTTTTACAATATTTCTATATAGCCTGTTTACTGATTAATTAGAAAATACATCAAAAATGTTCATAACAAATGATAATTTAGAGACAAAATTGTTTTTTTAATCTTCTCTTTGAATGAAAGAATACGAATATGAAATAATATTATCCCATAGAAAAATTTTAATGGACCTGTTCTTAAAATAATAACATCCAATGACAATTCACACGTAAGCAACCATAGTCATATGTCAAGCAAGTGTGAAGTCAGGTAATTTTTCACTTTATCATGGCTACTTGCCAAGAACTTGTTATGAACTACATAACACAGTAAAGATAACGTGAAATGAGAGCTGATTATGTGTGAGTGCTACTACAGTTCACATGGTAGAAATTCCATGAACAAACAATTATGAGAGAAACATCATATCTTGATTCCCTATGATAATAAATTATATAACTACTAGCTGACCAGGCAGACTTCGTAGTGCCACAATCAATAAATAAAATACCTAAACTTTTGTATAAAATAAAATTATTATTTTATAATTCCGAGCATTTTAATATTTATCTACCTTTTAAACCTTCTCTGGACTTCCACAAATAATTCAAGACCAAAATTAGCCAAATCGATTTAGCTGTTCTCGAGTTTTAGCGAGATTAACGAACAGCAATTCATTTTTATATATATAACTATTACTTTGTTTACTAAATTAATATGTATATGTGTTAACTATTTCTGATACACACACACATACTCAGGGCACATACCAGATTTTTTGATTGTAATCTGTATTTACATTGAACACTTGTTTTTTTGAACTTTATCATTATACACAAAGATAAACGACCAATATTAATATTAGATAACCAAACAGGTATTATTTGTTCAGTTTAAAATTTTGATTGAATTTGAAGATGTTTGTGATATTCATTTATTGTCAATCAAATCGCTGTTTATGTTTATATTACATTATGCTTTCTTTTTTGATAACAGATTTTTTACGAATTGGACATTCCATGAGTCAAACCTCTTTATGGGCTTGATGTATGTGCTCAACATTTAGTCAACACATATTATTATTTGTGCACACAATTTCTTATCTTATAGCAAAAAATATTAGCAAATATTAAATAATCGCTCAGGTGAAATCTAGCAATAATACTTAGCTTGAATTCTTGTAAAACTTACATGATCACCAGTTCCTGCTAAATGAAGACAAACTGGTTTACAATCTTTGTCAGGCCACTTTGTTGGTAGCAGTGCTTGGAAATGTGCCTTTTGTGCTATCTCTGGTACAATTCCTGGAAGGTGTTTCTCAAGGGGACTAGTGAAGTATCCTTCAAGAAGCTTGCCCTCGGCGACATTTTGTTCCTTTTATTTTTAATTATAAAAATGATTTAGTAAAAGGATGTTAATGGTGTTGTGGATTAATTGTTAAAATGTTAACAAATATGAAATTTTATTTACCTTAGTAATGGTGACGGGATAGTCTCTTTCAACCAATTTGAAGCATTCTTCACGATTCGATACAACTTTTCTGAACTCGAATAACCTAAAACAACGTTGTAAACAACGTAAGAGGTTAGGTCTTATGTCATATACTTATAAAAGTTAGTGACTTTTATATAACATAGCAAGAATCTGCTGTCTGAAGTTCTAACCTGCGCAAGTTTTCCGGCTTACCCCAGCCTTTCGTAAAGAATTTTGTTAATAGAATACTACGGTATACGGCGTCTAATTTACTAGCGGACATTCTCTACGTTATTTTGATAGAAAATAAAATTGTTTTTAAGTTAAAATTGTAACTTTGGTGACCGAGTTTATTTCGTCAACATATTGGCTGAAAAAGAAATGATTGATTGAACTTGAAGTATGTAATTTTAGTGATTGAACATTGAACTTGTGTTTTGGTATTTTAATCTATGACTGAAAACAAGAAACGTCACTGTCAAACAAGATATCTTTAGTCCATGCCTTGTACTATACAGGGTGTTTTTTTTTAACTTTTTGGCGGGAACGCGAGGAGTGAAGTTGTGTGATTTCTTTTATTTTGTCTATTTAGCGTATCTTCAGGTTTGAATGTGTAATTTAAATGTGTAATAACGGTGGTTTATTAACTGTTTAATATCTGTGGAAGTGCACAAATGTGGGAAAATTCGGGATCCTCCAAAAAGTCCACTGACAAAATCTTACTAAATGACCACCATTTTACTGAGATTATACTTCATCCCATATCATCTCATTTCATTTTTCATTACACTCCATATTATCATTTTTCATAAAAATAAGAATATAAATGAAAATAAGACATGACCTAAAGGTCTTTGTTACCAGGTTATAAAATCTCTTTAAAAAAAGGGTGATTTTTTAGGATTACACGATATTTTTTTCGATTTTAATCTAAATTAATTATCGTCTACGCCTTAATCGTACAATACATGATATTTTAATAGCAGCTGTCTTCAAACCGTAGCGTTTCAAACTTCAAACCGTACGTGCAGTAACCCGTGGAGGTATATTAATAATAAAAGTGTCTGTAATGGCTGTATGGTTAAGCGTAGACTCTAAGTTTGATTCTCCAAAAAAGTTAAATACTTCGTACATTTAATTTAATGGTTTACCTTATTAATTTAATACTTCAACAAAAAAAACAAGTTTATGGTTAGTATACGATACGGTCATATTCTTCTACTAGCGGAAAACGTAGGGAGGCTGTTTCAACTCCATACAGATTTGAGATAGCTTGCGATAGAGAAGATAAGCTCGCATTAAGCACACAGAATGTCTTCTGTTCTTTCTGTATCAAGTGCCGTATGTTCCATGAAGGGTGTTCTGAAGGATTCTTCGAGGTGGTCCTCTGTCTCATTTTTTACTATCGCACCTCTTTTCACCAGTGTGCTTAGTGATTAGTGCGACATTATTTTGACGTACTCGATAGCGTACAAGTTATCTCAAATTTGTATGCAGTTGAAACAGCGCCCCTAGTGGCAAACGTAGGCAAAAGTTTCAACAAAAATTTGAGTTAATTTTTACGCTTTCGAAAAGCTTAAAAAAATATCGCACTAAGCACACAGAGCAAAAGTTTATTGTTTATCCACGTTATCTAGAACATTATTCTATGCTACGCTATCTAGAATAATGGCGTTTACCTACTGTGCGTTTTCAGAGTTTTTTTTGGGCACGACTAATCCAGCTTTGAAATGAATTTGTTTTCCGAGCATTATGATTTGCCCATCTTTGAGGTTTGCGAGGGTACTCAGCGGCAGCCAGTAACTTGGCTGTGCCCTTGGAATTACTAATTTCCATGACTACTTAAGCAATAAAATAATAAAGAAATTGGTAACGAATTGGCCAACAGCACAGACGAATATTACAAACTTTTTTTTTATAAAGAAACCTCTCGATTTTTTCTTTTTTAAATTTTGGTAATGTATGTTGACTAATCTGTGTATTTAAAGTACGTTTCTATTTTGTTAAAACTATTTTGTTTCTTTTGTATTCGTATGAATTTCATTTCAACATTCAATGGTCTTTATTTATTAGATTACTGGTGGTAGGACCGCTTGTGAGTCCGCACGGGTAGGTACTTACCACCTCTCCTATTTCTGCCATGAAGCAGCAATGCGTTTCGGTTTGAAGGGTGGGCTAGCCGTTGCAACTATACTGAGACCTTAGAACTTATATCTCAAGGTGGGTGACGGATTTACGTTGTAGTTGTCTATGGGCTCCAGTGACCACTTAACACCCGCTAGGTGGGCTGTGAGCTCGTCCAGCCACCATATCACACAATAAAAAAAGTCTGAATTAGATGCCGTAGTCCCCTTGTTAATACACACATTATGTCAAAATAATCGTCATCTGAAAGGTCGAAGGACCACTTGAACGGTCGGCTAGTTCTTTTGTCGTCTATTTTATTCGTGTCCGTCTTTTAGGAAGTAAAAAAAATACCGCCTGCCGCTAGTCACGTACGCCCTCGTTCCATTTCTCTATATTTTTGAATTCTTGTCAAGTGTCTGTCTGTCTTAGTCTGTATATATAGTCGTTGTAGGTCATAAGTCCTGTCAAAGAGGTTGCACGCCACGACACTCATCCAAAATTTCTATATGTAAATATAAGGGCAAAATTGGTTATCTAAGTAGTAAAGTTTTTGTAAATACTATATTTATACATATAAATGTATGAGTATGTACTATCTAGCGGCAAAATCAATTTAATTAGTAAACGTCACAATTATTTAAATGCAAATTTCTACGTAGGCAGATCCCATTAAGTTAAAGTAGAGGATGGGCACTATGTGCTTACGGAAAAAAAAACCATATATAATACATAATTTATAGATGCTAATGCAAATAAAAGACATGTTGGCCTTGATCTGGCTTTTGGTGATTTTAAATTTTTGGTTGCTAACCAAGTGCTTTATTGTTACTAGATAGGTTCGATCTTTTAATTTGACCAATGTACTGGTGGTAGGACCTCTTGTGAGTCCGCACGGGCCTGCCCACCCTGCGTATTTCTGCCGTGAAGCAGTAATGTGTTTCGGTTTGAAGGGTGGGGCAGTCATTGTAATTATACTGAGACCTTAGAACTTATATCTCAAGGTGTGTGGCGCATTTACGTTGTAGATGTCTATGAACTCCAGTAACCACTAAACACTAGGTGGGCTGTAAGCTCGTCTACCCATCTAAGAAATAAAAAATAAAAAATTTACAATGTGTCATCCGTGCACCATCAGTGTCGGAGACTTAAGGGGGGTAAAATATAGGGGTTTTTGTCGACAAATCACTATCCCAATTTTCTCTTGGCCCCTCCATACTAGAATGGCAACGATTTTGTTTGTTTTTTTCTTCTCCACTGATTTAATCATTGCTATCGATGTAGACGTCTTAGGAAGATGAAAGAGGTGTCATTTGAAAGCTAACAATGTAGACAATCAATTTATGATACATTTTATTCAATATCTTTTTCAAAAAATAACAAAAAAGTATTAATAAAATAAAAATTATAATTTTATATTGCATTTTTTTAAGGTTTTTATTTTTTTCATGAAAACTAACCCTGTCAAGCTAATTTTTTCTTTATTGCTTGCTCATAGTACAGAATATTTTCATTGAAATAATCTTTACATCAATGTCCTAAGTAAAGAGTTTCGCAGCTATGATGAATGAAAAAAGGTAGGTAGTGTTTCTAACTATAGGGTGAGAAAAAACAAATAAAGTAAAACCATTAAAGTAATTATTATCATTTATTAATTTAATATTACTTAAGCTATTACATCCACGATTCAAAATGTCCTCCATGCCGAGAAGCAGTTGCCGATAGCGGTATGCTGATAGTCTTGAGAGGCTATTATCAGCGTTACCCTAGCGTGTAGGTGAGCTCTTGGGACTCAAACCGGAGGTGTTGCTAACACTGGTCCTAGCAAGAGCAGCGCTTCGCAGACTCTACCACCGGATCGGAAACATGACCCACTGAAAATTTCCGGTGAGAAGCTCAGTGGGCTGTGTCTATGGGTTAATTTACTCGCCGAGCCCTTCGGAGGCTCGGTGAGGACGGTGATCGGTTAGTAAGCTCTACTGTTGGAAATAAATCTCCCCCAAGTTCAGCCTTGCGTCACCCACATTCAGCGGATATCGTGATCCTCATATCAGGTCATCGGTCCACCTTGTACGAGGCCGACGTATGTTACGGTGCGCGTCTATTTTGGCCCCAGCGGTCATAGTAGGTGTAAGGTTACTGGTGAATTACTGGTGGTAGGACCTCTTGTGAGTCCGCGCGGGTAGGTTCCACCACTCTGCCTATTTCTGCCGTGAAGCATTAATGCGTTTCGGTTTGAAGGGTGAGGCAGCCTTTTTAGCTATACTTGTGACCTTAGAACTTATATCTTAAGGTGGGTGGCGCATTTACGTTGTAGATGTCCATGGGCTCCAGTAACCACTTAACATCAGGTGGGCTGTGAGCTCATCCTCCCAATAAGCAATAAAAAAAAGGTGTCTTATCCATTGCCACTTCATTCTCGTAAACCTATTTCTATGTCTATTTCTGTTACCATGGCTTTCCTGCGAATCTATGCCTAATATACTAATAAAAATGATGATAAACTATCACAAACACTATCTTACGTAATCGTATGTGGGTCGAATGAGTCAAACATTTGAAGACATAGGTATTATTTTTGTTCCTGTGTTGATGACCATAACGATATGTTAAGTTTGGTATTTAAGATAAATAAATCTGTTCTCTGATCTTCACGATGTTCGAGCAATTAAAAGAGGCGTTGTCTTGGGCCTTTTTAGGATTTATTGTTATTATAAATACTCTTCGAACATAATAAATGCTTGGAAGATATCGATTGTACTTTATTTGAATCATTTAGATTCTCTTAATGGTTTATGAACGTGAGCATCGGGGTCAAATCCCTTAGTCGCCCTTTATGACCTTTTGATTCGATGGGCATGTACCACTGTCTTGAAAATGCCTGCCACAAACCAATCATGCGTTCTGATTTGAAGAGCGGAACAGCACTTATTCAACCTCACATGTCTAGTATTGTCTAGACCAGTCATGACGTGGTGAAGTTTAAGGACTCTGATAGCAAACGTCAAACCACTTTGCACCATGCAATAAAAAAATAGTAAGCCCAAACGATTAAAAGAAACCAAGAAACCACTTAGCACCAGGTGGACTGTAAGCTCGTCCATCCATCTAAACAATAAAGTAAAAACGATTTTTCCTTTTTAGGAACAGAACGCTAAAAGTAATTCCAATGGAATGTAGAATAACAAATATGATAAATTATTTAACTGTGCAGGATTTTCTTTTAAAATACTTAAGGATATCCGATTTTTCAATGATTGCTTTGATTATTGTGAATGTTTGTACTAAGACTTTGTATATTGCTAATATTGGGG